GCCACCTGCTGACCTCTGGGCTCCTTTCCCAGAATCCCTTGCCTTGTACCTATAGAACTCCAGAACTGTGTAGAGGAGCATCCGACCATTTCATCGTGTGTAATTAAACTAAATCTTTTAGTAAAGATGTCACAGTGTTTCCTCTGGTTCCTCCACCCTCTTGCCAGACCTGGCATTCACCTGTCTTGTACTTACTGTGTTGAAATGAAATGTTTCAGGAGAGACAGAGTGATGCAGGCCACGTGGAACTGAAAAACAAGGAATGAGCTGGATGTTGTAAATGAATACATTGTATGTGCATTTTGTCCTGATATCTGGTCCTGAATGTATGATTTCCTGTTGTTTTTTTAGATGACAAAACGGGTTTTTCAGAGGTTCATGATTGCGTTCAGGAAAAAGATAACATTTTGTACTAATCACTGGAATTCTAATATACAATATGTTTAGTAATTATTTTTATAATATTTAGTTTTATTGTTCTCTGATTCTGTTAAAGGAGATTGAGTCTTGAATAAAATAGTTTATATTGTATATTATATATATATATATATATATTGTTGATTTTTGTCATTTTCATTCAAATGCAGTTTCTGTTTTGGGGATGAATGTGCTTAATTGTCATATAAAAAAAGAATGTCTAAATGGTACAAAAATGCTTTATTCTCTTTATGTCCTGGATATGTTCTTGACAGGCTTTGTGAGATTTCAAATGATAATTTCACGTTTTAACTTAAGACTACATCAAATGTAAAGGTAGCAATGTATTTTGACGAATAAATATCAATGCTTGAGAAAAGAAGCAAATTTGATATTCCAAGATGACAATGTTATTACCAAATTAAATAATCTGAAAAATGTTTACTTTGTATAACATCATTTTCCAACCACTATGAGAGTTCTGTTAGATGTATAAACCTGAAAAAAAAAAATAGCCTCTAAAAATATATATTAGATAATAATATAACTTATTAATAGATATAAATATTCTAATAATAATAAAATATTTAATTATTAAAAATGTTACAAGTACTCATATGTAACTTTTGGCCCCAAGCGGTTAAATAAACTGCATGTTGATTCTCATTTCATTAAGAGCTCTGTTGACCTCTTTTTGCCAGAAGACTCTAGAGGTTCGAGATTTAGCGTGCTTGCATATAAACATTTATCTCGCTTGTTGTGACAACCTATGCCACTCCCACACCATACACGCGTCAAAGTAACAGGAGCAACTTTTCTCTTTTTACAATTATGAGGAGACACTTACGGACGAGTGAAATTTGTTGTACGTAATTTCCCGCCAAAACCATCCCAACAGAAAAATGATCTAACACTCATAATAGGCTTAGCATAGTGAACCATGATAAGACGATGTATTGACTCATTATTTAAATTTAGTTAATTTTGAACACAAAGTTACATTGTGTACCTTTAACTATGCAGTTTAGCCAGACCAAACAAACTCAAAACATTTTTTTTTAAAAAGAAAGATTGTGCAAACAAAAATTTAAAATAACTGTTTAAAATTTTACATTTAAAACATGACCTTGACATTCTCTTCACCCATTTAATTTTCAAGTCAGAGGGTGTTTTGCTACATACATATGCAAAGGACTAAATCAGTCGAATTGACTTTTAACTTACAGTAAGACATTATTTGTTTAAGCTGTCAGGTCAATGCTTCAAAATAAAATCCCTCAGACAACAACAACAGGTTACAAATTATAGTCTGTGTGTGTGTTTTTAAATTATAATATAATAATTTGAACTTTACACTTTAATTGTTTGTTTTTATTGCATCCTATCATTTATGAAAACACAATATATGAACTTATATATTCTGGTTTCATCCTCTCCTTTAATCTGCAATGTATTAACTCAAGACTAAAGATACCTTGGATGCTTTGGCGCTTCTAAAATGTTCTCTTTATAATCCTAAATCCTGGGATAAACAATAAACTTATCTGGCTGGGTAGATTTACTGTCATGCAACATCCAACATTTAATTTCACAGTGTAAACACAAAACCATTACCCAGAGTTCTGATAAGAGATGGCATGAGTGGCACTTTGTCGTCAGGGAGGACGCAGAGAGGGCAGACAGGATATAAATTCCCTGGTTGCCAGACATTGGATGAGAATTAGCTTTATTGTGCCTTTGCGAGTCATTATCCGCTTTAAGTAGGCCTAAGTGACGTTGATGGATGTCTCTAAAGCGTCGGATGTCTGTGATGATAGGCCTATAATAGCCTAACCTGGATGCTGCATATATGAAGCTGACATGTTATTTTTATGCAGAGCTGCAGTTATAAATTGCTCTCTTTTCAGAGTTTTTGAGTCCAAATTTCAGACACTAGATGACGCTACAAACCCATGATTTTAGTTTGAGAGAGAAACAGAAAGGCTATTTAATACTGGGGTACTGCTTTTTGCACATTAGGCTACATTATTTAACCAGATACATTTGGTGTTGGGTTTGTAGAATGATGGGAATCCTTCACTGGCCACAAAGCCTGCATGCATTTTGTTTTCGTTCTGCTTCGGCTCTGCGTGACTGACTGTGCGGATGAATATGACCTTTAATGAACTCTGTTGGAGAGCTATACTAATGGCAAATAATCTGTTATAAAATAGCCTACTTTACTCTCCTGTTGAGTAATAAAAACGGCATCAAACGTCGCTTACAAATCCGAGAGTTCTCGTCATCTCCGAAAAAAGCCAAGCCAATGTTGATTCTCTTGTTATTACGAGCTCTGCCGCGTTCTCTTTTTTTGCCAGCAGACTCTCCTTTGTTCGTTTTTTTTTTCTAAAAACGGATGTTCGAGATTTTGGGTACTCCACGTCAACCTTTCTCGCTAACAAACTAACCCATGCCACTCCCACACCACACACACATCATAGCCAGACCAACTTTTCTCTTTTTGAGAAAATTTTTGAGATTATACTCAGTCTAGTTTCAGACAAGGTCATAATACGGAAACAGCACTATTAAAGGTAACAAATGATCTGAGATGAAATACAGATGAAGGTAATACATCAGTTTTAATCCTCTTGGATCTAAGTGCAGCATTCGACACGGTTGATCATTGTATTCTTTTAAACAGACTGGGAAAGCTCGTAGGTCTCTCTGGTAATGTTTTAAATTGGTTCAAAACTTTTTAGTTAATATAGGTGACTGTATCTCAAAGACATATGAAACATTACATGGTGTTCCACAAGGATCAATTCTTGGGCCAGTTTTATTTTCATTATACATGCTCCCTTTGGGCAGCATATTCAGAAATATGACATGAATGATCATCTTTATGCTGATGATATACAATTACACTTTAGTTGAGTTTAGAGACACTGTTGTATAAGAGAGGTTGTCTGACTGTCTGTCCTGCGTTGTAAAGTGGATGAACACACATTTTTTTAAATTGAATGAAGAAAAAAAATGAAATTCTTATTGTGGGCCCAAAACATGAGCGGGAGAGGATAGAAGCTGGGCTGGGCTCCTTATCGCTACAATCTAAAAAAGAAATTAAGATCCTAGGCGTAATTATGGACTGTGACCTTAGTTTTTAAGTCTCATATTAATCATAAAAGTGACAAAAACATGTTTTTATCATTTGAGAAATATTGCCAAGATACGTCCTTTTTTATCTTTGGATGATGATGGGAAACTCATTCATGCTTTTATCTTCTCATCCTGATTAATGCTATATACACTGGCTTACCTAAGGGTTCTATAGCGAAGTTGCAATTGATACAAAATGCACCAGCCAGAGTACTAATGAAATTAAAAAGCAGAGCATATTACACCGGTTTTAATGGAATTGCATTGGTTACCAGTTCATCAAAGAATTGATTTTAAGGTTATTTTATTAGTATATGAAAACACTGCACAATCTGGCACCTCTATACATTTCAGACTTTTGTGATGTCCCGAATCGTAGTTTAAGTTCCTCTAGTGCTAGCCTTCTGGCACATTATACAGTAAAGCATAAACAATCTGGTGGTACTTCTTTTAGTCACTATGCAAAAATTTGGAATTGTCTACCAGATGAAGTAAAAGAGGCTACTAGCAGTCATATTTTTAAAACGTGGGTAAAGACCTATCTTTTTAAAGTTGCTTATCAATATAACAATATGCTGTTGTAATATAACAAAGCTGTGTCAGTTTTATGTTCTTTTTTACCTCCTATTTTTTTTCACGTTGTTTTATTTATTTTATTTTAGATTGATATTGAGGTCAAACTATATTGCCAATTTACTTTATTTTATATGCTGAACCTTTATAGTTGTTTTTGAAATATTTGTATATTTACGTTGTATGATTGTATTATTTGATTTTATGCTTGTGAAGCACTTTGAGTTGCATTCTATGTATGAAAAGTGCTATACAAATAAATGTTTACTATTATTATTATTATTTACGGATATGTCGAGACACGCACTGTGACGTATGCAAAAACTATCCAGACCTGATCCCGACAGGTTAAAATATAATTACTAGGCTTAACCGGGGTAAGACAAAACACGTTTTGGAAGTAGGATTGATGATGTATTGACTCTTTTAAATTGTGTTAATTTTGAAAAAGTTACAGTACGTTGAACAGTACCAACACTGAAGCACAATTGGCTAATATAGGAGGTAATTTGGGTGTTCTATGCATAAAATAAATGAGCAAAATTACCATGATAATGTATGGTAGTAAGCTATTCTTAACAGAAACATAGAAGGGGGAGGAATAGAAAGAGATAAGTGTTATTTTTACCACATCATCAGATTAGTATGTGCTCATAGTTTTAAAACAGTGCCAGTGTATTCTGGACCAAAAGCAGCTTTCAGTGAAAGGAAAAAGCCCACCCCAATAAAACAACACAGTCTCAATGCGCTAATGTGTTATATAAATCCTGTATTAGAAGACATCATAAATTAGAAATATAATTTGTGACATCTCTGTATACAGATTGAATTGTACGAAAAATATCCTTGCTTTATAAAATTCACTTCTGAGCTGAAGTTTGAATTGCGCCATAGTTTAATGAAAACAGTCCAGAAATTTTTGTGTGTAACTTCCTGAGCATTATGTTAAAATTACAAAAAAAATGCCTCTTAATATATGGCCATTGTCTAATCACTGTCCTTATGCATTGCATTACATCTAGTGTCTTTGCTTCGAAGGCTGCTTGTGCTAACATGGGTCTGAGCGATCAGCATGGCTGGTTGTTGATGCTGGCCAACATCTTGTGGTGTGGAGTTTTGTACAGGGCAGTGAAACTACCGGGATTGAGAACACCACGGCCTTCCTCGTCCACCTGACCCATCAGGATGTAGTTTTGACCTAGTGAAGAGAACGTTTTTTTGTTAATAAATAGATCATTTGTCGATTTGTAAGAAATGAATGACTAATGAGCAATAAAGACCAAAGAATGCATATTGGCGGTGTGTTATCTGTGCATATGTGGCCATATACCTCTGCGCAGCAAGGGGCATTTCTTACAGGGCATCACAAGTTTAACAGACATAGTTTCTCCAGCTTGGGTGATTGTAAGACTACCAGTCTTATAGGCCTTAATTAAGGACACTGTGGCTTGCATACTTCCTCTAGGTCCAGAAGTCAATGTTGTCAGCGTACCGGTGATCACTGAGAAATAGAGAGAAATAAAAGGTTACTCTTATAGAATGATAGATAGTTCAGCCCTTTACACCCCCTATATATTATAGATCAAAATGAGGAATTAAAAAAAGAGTGAGTAATTTTTTTTGGTGAACTGTCCCTTTAACACCATTGCCATACGCATACAGTATGTCTATACAATCTGAATGCCTATACCATTCAGATTTTCTTTTTTAAATAAATTAATACTTTTGCATTAAATTAATTAAATGTGACAGTAAAGACTTTTAAAATTGTTGATCAGTTCTGTCTTTCTGATGATCACAGTTTTAAAATGTTTTCAACACTACCTATTATAAAAAGAAATGTTTCTTGAGCAGCGAATCAGCATATTAGAATGATTTCTGTAGGGTCATGTGACACCCAAATACTTGAGTAATGATGCTGAAAATTCAGCTTTGCCATCACAGGAATAACATATATATTTTAAAAAATATTTAAATATAAAACAGTTATTTTAAATTGCAATCATATTTCACAATATTACTATTTTTACTGTATTTGTAATCAAATAAATGCAGCATTTGTGAGGATAAGAGACTTTTTTTCAAAAACATTATAGACCCCAAACTTTTGAATGGTAGTGTAAAAGTTCCCTCTGTGTGCTTTATGTTTTTTAATGGTTGCTCACTTGCTGTATGAAATGACTTACCAAATTCACTAGCACAGAAGCTGATCTTGATGGTTCCATCTCTTTTACATGTCTTTGGGCACAGTGGGTTTGTGTTTGTGGCTGAAAAAAAGCATTCAACATTGTCTAACAAGTTATGATAAACTGTAACCATCAATTTGTTACTGTTATCTTTTCCGGCTTACAGGGTCTGGATCTATCTGGCTCTGGTTTACGGACTGGAGGCGTCACAGGTTCAATGGGTCTAACAGGTTTGGGTCGAGGCTTTAGCTGGTCAGGAGCTTTTGTAGTAGTAGTTGTAGTTGTTGCTTCTGTTGTCAACACAACTGGTTTCTCCTGTTTGACTGGAGTGAGACGGGGTTTTGTGGGTGTGGAAGACACTCTAGGTCCTGTCGCAACATCGCCACCTGCAGTCGGAGTGCGGAGGCTACGTGGGATGCTGTTGAATGACGCCATGAATCCGTCTGAAGTGACGCTAAGGTCAGATACGAACTGCACCAATAACACATTGCTATTGGTAACAATGTTCCTGTAGGTGGGACACAAAAAAACAGGGTTGAATGAATGTGTGTGGTAGTTTTTTTCATAGAAATGATATCAATAATAAAACGACAGTAAAAAGACAATGAGATAACTGACTGAGGCGAAGTGTCTCCGCAGAATTTTCCGATGCGCCTCGAATCGTCTTTCTCTCCTCCATTAAAGAACGCCACATAGTCGAAGCGGCAGTACGTGTCAGACTCCAAATCAAACTTACCGAACTTCACCTCAATCACCTGAAACACAAAACCACAACACTTTACAACAGGGTCCCATTAGATAGCCTAAGTCAATATTTCCAAATAGACCTGTTTTTTATCATTTAATGAACAGGATGCAAAAATGTCTGGCGTGCCGCCACTAATTCAACATTGAAATCTTAACTGAAAACGATCACTGCATGTTTATGTTTTTTTTTCTTTCTGACCATTTCCGGCTCCACTGTTATAAGCCAGGAACAGCTGATGCCCGGTGGATAATTTTTCTCCGGCCAGTTGGGAGTTTTGATTGTGCCCTGAGACTTTGTGAGCTTCCCGCCACAAAACTGATGCTCTGACATAAAGAAAAAGAAAAGAAAGACCACTGAGGCTCCAAACATTCACCTTCTAATATACAAAACCTCAAGCCAAAACAACACGCAGCACCAAGTTATTTGTCTGAAAATGAAAAACCTGAACGAACGGCACAGTCAATTGCAAGCAGTGTTGGGGAGAGTTACTTTTAATGCATCCAATATTGTGTTAGTCCCTTTAAAAGTATCGAATTACGTTACTTAGTTACTTTTTATGGGAAGTAATGCATTACATTACTATTGAGTATATCTTTTTCTCACCTGGCTGAGGCTTAATTTAAAAAAAGTAATTCATTAACGCAGCCTATATATAACATACACCTTCATTTTTTTATCTTCAAACACATTTAGAATAGGCTATTCTGACCACTTTAATATTTCCTGACTACTAGAGCTATGTATGCCATACAAAAGATCTCATAACATTACAACAAACTTTTATTGAAAGTTGAAAGTAATGTGTTTTGTTTCTTTTATAGATTGTGTCAGTTCCAGGCAGTGCATGTATGAGTGTAAATTTCTAATTGATTATATTATGGAGAAGAGAGAGAATTTTAACTGAAATATGAATGTGTAAATAAAGTAATGCGTTACTTTTCAATGCGTTTACTTTTAATCTGACTACGTAATGCGCATTACTTGTAATCCGTTACCCGAACACTGATCGCAACACATTTGATGTTTAATTTGTTTAATTTCACCATCCACATGTGGCTTTCCTCCATTGAAGTAACCCAGGAACCCTCTCCCTCCTGTTCCTGAATCTGATACCATCTCTACCATCATGGTGTTGGACGTGGAGATGAGAGCCCCGGGCCGGAACGTTCCGCAGAAACGCCCGAGCTTCTGCACCATGTTTGAGTGTCCGTTATACACATCCACATAGTCGTAGCGGCAGAGAGGGTCAGCCTCCAGGTCAAAAACCCTGAAGGAGAGCATGACCACATTGCCTTCTGGAACCTAGTACAAAGGGAAAGGCTTTTACTCTGTGATACAGCCCCAGGGTGACGAAGACTCTCGAGTGTGAACTCAAAGTGAACTCACTGTGATGTACCAGGTACATTTGCTGTTGGGTTTGTAGAATGATGGGAATCCTTCACTGCCCACAAAGCCTGAGTCTCCAGCCAGATTACCGCCACAGTTAAACACAGGCCTGAGAAAGTGATGAGGAAGAGTGAAAAAGAGGGATTTCTGGTGACTATAATAAAATGCTGATGTGAATGTGTTTATATTGCACAATAAATTGCACAATTGCACAGTGTTTATATCATGAAGGCGAGTCAAAAGCTTGACCAAGGCATAGATTGCAAAATATATCTCAAAAAGTACAAACATATGCACATCGATGAACCCACAGTACAACAACTCAAAAACTTGAGTTATGGCAAACATCCAGGATGAAAATATTATGCTAACCAAAAGCTATTAAGAGACCAGTTTTACAATATTATTATTATTCACTGCATAGTCTAAATAAAATGTCAATGTTTATAGCTTTAATTTGTATCATGAGAAGCATAGTTAAACTAGATAAATGACAGAAACATTTACAAAATTCATTTAAAAAGTGCTTACATATTGTCCAATAACAAAAATAGTAAATCTGACTAGTTGATCCAATTAGCCATCAAACTAATGTAGAAAACAGGTTTTAACAGGAGGCTTTTAATAATAATAAAAAATAATTGTTTATGTTTTTCTGCATTTTTAAGAGCAACATATTACTTAGTGCATTTTCAACTCAGTTATTTAAATTAGAATGTATTTGCATTTTTTTGTTTAGCATTTAGTGTAAATTGATTTGTTCAGGTTTAATGTAATCACGCTAAGTATTCATCTTTGTGCCAGAAAAATGCTCAAGTGATATAAATTACATCATGATAATTACATTAAATAGATATTTTCTCCAGTCAGTAGCTTCCAGTTAGTGTTGCTAACAAGTTTTTTCAAAAGAACAGTTTGACTGCAGTTTAAATATTTAAAATTACGAGCTTGGCTGGCAACATTTTCAAAGCTGTTTCAGAAAGGTAGAGACTTTTATTCAGTGTTTACAACATCACAGTATTTCTAAGATCACTGACAACTTAAAATCCCATTTGAATGTTGAGACGTCTACAGCAACATGTTTATAGACTTAAACTCTACGACACTGCAAAATAAAACACAGCTCTTTTGTAATGTAATGGTGCAGAGCCAGAACACTCAAGCAGACCAAAAAACTGTTATTATGCAGTTACTCCCACAGACCCCGTCTGAGACAGATTCTCTTCACTCAGCAATGGGGACATTTACGACATGTAGTCGTTTCAGTGAACTTTTCAAATATTTACTGTTGATAAAAATTAGCGAGATAATAAAAATAGCATTTAAACACTGGAATGGATGCATCTACAGTTTTATTAGCAAAATATTCATTAGTGCATTGTCAACTAAAATACTTATATACTATATAAATTAAAATACTTGTTTTTGTTTAGCATTTAGTGTAAACTTCGTCTGTTCGAGTTTAAAAAAAGGTTTCCATACTAAAGCAACAAAAAAACATAAATGTGTTCCATTTGATTAAAATTATTTAATCACACCCCTTACAAAAAAATAAGTATCCTAAGTTGAAGTATATTTTTAAGTGTACTATTTCGATACTACTTGAGACTAAATTGGCCCACTTCTTAGTGTATACTTTTAAGAGTAATTTAAGTGTAACAGTGGTAAACTGTAACTTTTAAAGTAGTTTATAGCTACATTTTTTATTTAAAATAGACTGAAAGAATACTTTCTTAATTTTAGTTTAAAAGAAGCACACTTGAAAAAAAATATTATGTCATGATTGGACACAAAATTAGATGTTGTTTTACGTTGTAATTGTGAAGCGCATGTTTGTTTGTTTTTGTACTTTTTTGGCCTTTTTCTATTTAATTTCATTGTATGGAAAAGAGCAGCATAAACATTCTACTAAATTTCTCCAATGAAGACAGAAAGTCATATGGGTTGACTAGACAGCCTAAATTTTTCAGCCTAAAAAGTTTTCCAGAATTCCAGACCATATAAGGATGTCATATTACTCAGTCTAGTCATTATTTAGTAAATTATCCATCTGTTTTCTTCAGAAAAAGCAATTGCGCTCCCAGCAAAGGAAAGCTGGGTGAAAGGGTAAAGCGACCTGATTCACCTTAAAAAAAACACACTAACTCAAAGTACTTCCATCTGCAACCCTTTATCACTCTGTAAACAATACATTCATCATTACCGAGAATTCATGCATTTAAAGAGTATAAAAATGACACTTACTACCAGACAAACTCTTAAAAAAGCTAGAACGTTTAAACAGCTCCTGCAGCAGAAAAGGTTTGTAAAAAGAGTTACAGCAGCAAAGAGCTGTCTTGACATGCACACTTAGTTCGTTCTCACCCAAAGCCCTATACCGCTCACCTGGTATAGTTGGTGGTCTGACACAAGGCCCCTCCAAAACTCAGACATAGAAGAATCCCCAAATTCCACACAGCAGCCAAACGCTCCATATTTCTCAGCAATGAGATCCACACATGCAAACGCGGCCACAGGACACATGACACAGAGAGGAGGAGGTATAGAGGGAGGGATGCTGAGGAAAGAGTAGAGGGAGTGGGAACGTGACGCTATATTGAGGGGGGGGGGGGGGGGTTAATTAGAGCCAGATGTTCAGAGCCAGAGTTAGAGTTAGAGCCAGTATCAGCCTCATTCACTTTGGCCAAAGGGAAGAATGCTGCATCAACAAAATCAGGATAGAAAAGAAATGCAATGCAAACTCTGTAAGGAAGCCATTGAAAATGAAATTCATTCTGCCAGATCTATGAGTTTAAAGTCGTTTTACTCTTTGGAGAGAAGCTGCTCTGGTTGTCAGGTTTCATGACCTGCAGGCTGCTCTGTGTGCTATCAGGAAGTGCCAGAGGCTCTTCTGTAGAGATCAAGAGGTTGTGTTTACAAACCTTAACAATTGTACTCCAATTACACCTCCTTGGGATATTAGCATATTTGATTTTCTCAACTACTAAGAAAGTTCAAATATTGTTAGTCGGTTTGTAGGTGGTATTGGTGGGAGTAACTACTATTCTCATTCGAGAATGGACAAAAATCTGTATAAAATGGAAGTCTGTTTGTTCAGCAGCCTTCCAGTTTTTAAGGAAAAAATAAAAGCAAGAAGGTAATTGCGACTTTATGTGACTTGCTCATAAATGTCACTTTATGTTGCATTATCGCAATTTCATTTTTCACAACTGTGATTTTCTTATTTCAAACGCTCTCATTATTTTTTATTTTATCCTGGCGGAAAGAACCTTTGTTATGAATTACACAATAACACCAGGAACATGCAAGAAAATGAATACGGTCAATTTTGATTTCATGCAGGGTTACTTTATTTATTTACTATTATATTTATATTTTCAGTTTTCATTTTAATTATAGTTTTAGTGATTTTGTTATTTTTTTTATTGTGCAACAAACACATAGGCTATTCAAACGTTTCAGCAATCACTTCACCAGTGAATCATCCAATACTTTCCCCAAAAAATCTTTAAAAGAAAGTGAGTTCAATGGCACCAGGTGGAGACTCTCATCACGGGTGTTTCTCATTACAAGCGTTTCCAAACCAAGTCAACACCAAAAAACAAAAAAAAGCATATACAAAATAAACAACATAGGCCTACATCAAATCAACAAACCACAAAATATTCAACACATCAATTACAACACAAACAAATCATTAATTTATAAAATAACATCTAAAGTACAAAAATGACTAAAACCTTAAAAAAAATAGTGTACACTGTAAAAAAAAAATTCATGATTTGTTTTCACAACTTTGTATTTTTTGTCAAATCAACTTGGATAATGAATGTGGTTCAGATAACATAATATTTTGAGTTTCTATTTATTAAACCAATCTCCATTGTATTAACTCAATTTTTTTATTTGAATGAACTTTTTAAATTTTAAGGCAAACAGGTAACATACCCGTTTAAGTTAAACCAACAATAATATTTTGCAGTGTATATTTAATTTATTTGTATTTCTGTTTTAGTCATTTTAGTACTTTAACTTATTTCAATTAGTTTTCCATGACAACATTTCTCTAAAGTTTTTCATTTAAGTTTTACATTTTATTTGATCTAATTCAGCCAATGATTCAGTTAACAAAATTGTTAATAGTTAGTTAACAATAACAAAATGGAATCCATGTTCTTTGAGTCTTAAAGGGATCCACCCAAAAATGAAAATTCTGTCATCATTTACTCACCCTCAAGTTGTTGCAAACCTGTATGAGTTTCTTTCTTCTGCTGAACACAAGGGAAGATATTTTGAAGAACGATTGGAACTTTGGCACCATTGATTTCCATAGTATTTTTTTTTTTTCTACTATGGAAGTCAATGGTGCCAAACAACTGTTTGGTTCCAATCGTTCTTCAAAATATCTTCCTTTGTGTTCAGCAGAAGAAAGAAACTCATACAGGTTTGCAACAATTTTCATTTTTGGGTGGATCCCTTTAAAACAGTATCAGAAACTGATGGATGACTGATATAATTTTCTTCTACAACACAGATGCTATCCAGTAATCTTTACTTAAACCCAGAACATTCCTTTAAGATTAAAAGGCACTTCTGGTTGAAATTAGGATAAGCGACCTCAGTGTTGTGAACACATTCATGTTATCTGTCTGTGTCTGAGAATGAGTCACGTTGTTTGAAGAATTCACCCCTTATGGTGTTCTGTTGCAGCTCTGCCTTTCGATCGACATTACAGGGGCCTGTACAGGGGCACATCCGCATAAAACCTTCAGAAGAAATATAAATCTCATAAAGATCACAGGAGATCATCAGTTCTCAAAGGAGGACAGCATAAAGATATCTAGTCACCACCATTTAATATATAACAAACAATAAAAACGATCTAAAGCTAAGCATTGTTAGCAAAGTACAAATCCAAAAATATGCGAACACATTCAAACTGTATCATGTGAATCCGTTGTAGATGCTGCTAACTCTGTGTTGTGCTTGGCATCTGGTTGCGTTTGTTCTCTCTGGGATGTGATTGGAGTTGTCAACAGCACAAGAATGTGGTGACGTGGGACTTTGCTGGGGGGTGGAGGAGTGTGAGGTCTAGCTGACGGGTGGTGTTGGGCCAATAATGGCTTGAAGACCTGGAGGAAGGTCAAGGGTATACCAAAGCAAAAACAATCCATCAAAATGTATTGTTGGCAAAGGGACAGGACAGAATTAGAAACTGTATGAGGAATCATTTGAGACTGGGGGGGAGAGGGGGTTTCAGATATTTCACAATTACATTTGGCAGTAGAACATGGATTTAGAAAAATGGCTCTTTATATGCTCTTATTATGCTCCGACTTGTTAAACAAGGCTATATCAAGACTTGTTAAACAATTAAAAGTATGTAATCATATACCATTAATGTCCAAACCTGTTACTTACTCTCTTCTGTGAAAGACAAAATTAGATATTTTAAATAATGTTCATGCTGCTCTTTTCCACATAATAAAAGTGAATAGAGATGGATGCAGCTGACCTCCAAAATGGACAATAAATCACACTAAAAAGTATGTGCTATATTCTATAGTTTTCTTTTAAGTGCTTCAACATAAAAAAGGGAAATTTACGGTTAAAAAAAAGGCAGCTGTGGTTGCCAGAACTTTACCGTAAAAAAATACAATAGCAACTACTTACGTTTTACAGATTGAACTTAAATTTGCAGTTAAACACACAAGTACACACATGACACTAAAATAATGCAATAAACATTAAAGGTAGGGTAGGCAATTTCGGAGAGGCTAGCAATAACAAGCTAGCTTTGAAAGCATAAGATCCCACCCTTCCTTCAGAGCGCTCTTCAAAGCCACGCCTCTTCCAAAACACATTAACACACAGTCAGAGTCTGCAATGCGCCATTGAATTACCTCATGTCTAAAAGCACATAACATTACAATAATAATGACCGTAAAACACGTACTGACCTCTTACTTGTACCACCTGACTGCTGGAGATCAATCGCTGCATCGATAGTGTTGACATAGAAATGCATAAATCCGAGTTTGAGGACGTGAACAGCTCCGGAAAGAATGTCATGGGTTGACATCTCGTAATACGGTGCATGAACGCAGCACAAGCTCTCGTTGTTTTGGATCAGGAGGAACTGTAAAAGGCGGCTGCTGTTTGTTTGTGGCGCTCGGTGGCTGTCTGACTAGAACCCTGCATATCCTTATGGATATCCTTATCCTTATGTCTGCGTGAGCAGGTGCGCGGAGGTGTGGAAATAAATATGTTGACAATCAGGTAGGACATCATATCATTGCATTCGGACCAAGTGCAATGATTGGACGAAAATGTTTTGGTCCTGAGACAAAGATATACGTACATGTTTTGATTGCTATCAGGATGTGAAGAGTTTCAGTATAACAAAAAGTGTTTATAAACAATTGCCTACCCTACCTTTAATTTAACAACATGAGATATAACATAAAACCCTAATGTACATTATTGATAACAAAAAAAGGTAGCATTTTACAATAAATAATAGGTACTACTAACCCTGAACCTACTCCTAAACCTAACCTTAACCCCTGTAGTTACCTTATATTACCCAGTAGCCTACTTTCTTAGGCAAGTACACATACGTACATACTGTTAAAGTGCAACCCAAAAAACTAAGAAGAAACATAATTATTTAAAAGAAAAACTATCAAATGTGAGGTGTCACATAGGGAAATCTGGAAATGTCAATTTATGTTTTTTCACTGAAAATTATATAACGAATTATCCTATGAAATGTCCCGTTATTTATTATAGTTTTTCACAGTATAGCTACTTACGGTTAACCAATTAACAGGTTTTTATCGTAGCATTTTTACTATTAAAATTATGATCATGTTTTACAGTGTACAATTGCTTTGTGTGAGGAACAGACAGAGTATGTCATTATTGACAGAAAAAAATGTTGCAACCGCTTTCAAATTTCATAAGTGCTTCAGAAGATTAACTTATATTCAGTTACAAAATTTAATAGCCAATGGTGTTTCGTGTTATTGATGTCAAATATGGCACATATTGACTTAAGCCGGGGACATGCTTAACGACTGTAACGCCGATTATTAAAATGTAATTTGATACGACTGATAATGCCCAAACACGCCGAGTCAGAGACAGTTGCGTTCAGTCGAGCCCGTTCTCATCCCAAGGCGTTGTTCAGTCGGTGTTTACAGTCGGTGTTTGAAATCTGCTCCAGTCATTGGAAACAGTCTATTAGTGTATTCAGTTCAGTCTTATAATGTTTCAGCTAGTCGATAAGTGTGTCCCCGGCATCAGGGTGCTTTTTGGAGCTTGACAGCTCACCAGCTCTTTCATTGTAGGAAAAGAACAGTATGAACATTCTTCAGAATATCTCCTTGTGTGTTTAATGGAAGAAAGAAAACAAGTTTGGAATGACACGAGGGTGATCAAATGACATTAATGGGTGATCATTTTCTTAACATGTGTCATGTAATTCATGAAATTCATTATATTAAAAATCAGTTAAAAAGAGTGGATATGAATGAAACAGAACTGCAATCCAGAACTGCCATCCCGCATTATACACAAACAGCTTGTTGGAATGTATCATGCCACTACAGTCATCTCCTCTCTCATTAAGGTTTGAATATGAAACCTTCTATCGCACAACGTCAACAACAAACAGCTCATTGCTTCTCTATATCAGGTTTTTCAGAGAGTTCTATGTAAATATTCATAGAGATCAACAAGGAGAGCTTACAGAAACCTGTCAGTTTTGCTAATCTTTAGAAATGGAGACGAGAGCCATGAGACAGTCTGAACTGCATTCTTGAGCTGGAGAAAACTACAGATTTAAGCTTTAAAAAGTAGGCAGGGAAAGTGGAATGCTTTCTCCTTATGTCACCTTAGACACATATTTCAATTGGGCTGTGAAAACAGTTTGCCTTTGGAAAATGAAAGAGTCAAAATCTTGGAAATATTTGATTTGGGTGAAGATAATTCAAAGCAAAGCATGAAGAGACAATTGTGGATGTTACCAGATATGTTACAATGCGCCCTCTAGTGGCTACGAAGATCAATTCAGTCATATATTTATAAAAAAAAAAGGAATAAAAACATCAGATGGTCAAAGCAGATTACTAAAAGCATAACATGTATTTATTTAGTTTAAAAGCAGAAAAATACCATTTTCAAGCGTGTTTGTGTAAAAAAGATTGAATCAAGGACTTGGCAAATGTACAAAATCAATTTACAATTCCTGCACATTTAACAGAAGCTTTAAACAGAACTGTACTGCATGTAAACTGATTGGGCCTGTCTGCTTTCACAGAAAAGCTTTTGAAAATCCCTCGCCGACAAATCTGAGGGAAACAGAAAACACGGGTAGTAGCTGACTTGTTTTGTTTTAAATCCTAATTGTTTTTTTTTTTTTTTTTTTTTTTAAATAGAGTCCAATCCTGCATTTGTTGAGGAACTGAACAAGACATTGGATGCTAAAAATAGTACACACATAGACTATTCTTGTGCTTCTATGGACCATCTAGTGAAACAAAGGGATTGTCAAGCTCATCCGCGAGACTTTTAGAAGTAAATACATCTCTATTCAAAATCCATTTATTTACATTTTATGGACTTAATAGTATCAAAAGCACCTTCAAATACATTGTTTTGTAAACCATATCCAGTTGTTTGAATATGAACAAATAAATAAATCTTTACCACTACCAGTAAAAAATTTCGTTTGTGATGGACTGGAACGCAAGTATGTGAGCGCAAATGCTTTTAGCGAAGCAAAGCTAATTTCATGTGTTATTGAATTTTGATTGTCTAAGATTGCAATTCTAAACCACAATATATAAACGGACATTTGAAGGTAAATATCATACAACGGGACAATGGACTTGCAATTGGCAACTTGGTTAGAGGATGTTTCTGGCCTATCATACCTCTTTTCAACCAAAATAGTTGCCATAATTCCTGGGAATCATTCAGAACGGTTTGAGAATTGACACACAGTGTCTGTAAAAAGGGCTATGGATGTCAGACTGTCTTATTTCAAACTTATGTGAAATCAGTAAATTCCTGGTCCAACTGTTCATAATTCTATAAACTCAATAACTCATGGTTTGAAGAACTGCCTGTAATAGGAAAAGGTCGTATGGTGTCATGAATAATTCTGAAATAGCGCCTGTCAAAGGATAAGTCCAGGCAGGCTCATAAATAATTATAAGAACCTGGAAGCAGAATATAGTGCAACAATGTTCTAACATCCACCACGTGCAACAGGTTAACATCTCAAAACATATTCCCTTTGAGCTGTAAAAATTAAAGGAAGTCTTTCCCTTCTTCTCTCTATTGTTCAGATTGATATACTGACATCATCTGAGAGGATAAAAGTTCATAAATCTTTCACACTTTCAGCTTGGTCCAAATTCAACTTGGTCCTAAAAGTCTATGAGGCAGCAGCACAACCATTCACTGTCCAGCAGTCTGTAGTCCCTCTTCACTTTCACTGATTATGTCACTTCCACCTCCTCCATGGCCCACTCCTACGTGCTCGTGCTGGCCTGATTGTCTATCTGTTCATAATCAGATGAAGGGGGGCTCAAGGGAAAGGCTATTTCTGCAGTGATAAGTTTATCTTGTTGTTTGGCCTCTTCTCTCAAAACCATGCTGAGATCCATCTCATGAAATTCCAAATCGAATGGAGGAGTCAAGCAATCCGGGGAAGTTGCACATCCTGTGCAAGACTGTGAAGAAAAGTGTGAAGCACATTAGAGACGTGTTAGAGATGTTAGCATGTTGCTAAGCTAACACTCTAAAAGGCAGAAAAATGCACTACCACACAAATGTTGGGTAAAAGTCTTTTTTTAAACTAGATTTAACTATTGCTATACATTTTTCAGTACTTCAGAACACTATATATTTTAGGGCTGCAACTAACGATTATTTTGATAATCGATTAATCGGACGATTATTTTTTCGATTAATCGATTAATCGGATAAAAAGATTCACTTAGATTTTTTGTTTATTGTGACTAAATAAAACCCGGTTACACTTTATTTTAAGGTGTCCTTTTTACAGTGTAATTATATAATTTAAGTACAGAGTAATATTAAGTAACTACATGTACTTACTATAGGAATAGGGTAGGATTAGGTTGAGGGTTAGTTGCATGTAATTATGCATAATTTACTGTTATTACTACAGTAAGTACATGTAACATATGTAACAAGGACACATAAAATAAAATAAAGTGTTACCTAAAACCCTAAATTAGGATATTTATGTGTAAAAGTGTACTTTAAAAAGTGCAAAAGCCACACATTGAGTTTTACAAATATCAATATTTGCATTGTTTTTAATGATAATTGCTGATGGCAAGTTGACAACCATGATTAATGTAAAAAAAAACAAAAAACATTTATATCCAACATATTGTTTTAACACAATTTTTGTTAAAACAAATTTACAGACATGTTGTTCAGATGTGAAGATATAAACTAAAAACATCTAAAAATATATAATTCATTTAATTTTTATTTAAAATTAATTGAATTATAAGGATAATTTGTAAAAATAAATATAGAAAGACTGAAAACAAGCGTGTGAACATAGAGCCGCAGTAGATCGCGTTTGAAAAACAATTAAAACTTAATAGTAGACAAATGCTATATAAAGAGAACGGAATGGAGGTACGCAGCAAGCTAACAGGCTCGATTAAAAAGATAGGAAAATGATGCATTAGTGCACAAACATTCGCTGAAACCCACTGAGTACAGTGACTAAAAAACAATATTTTACTGCTGCTGTTATTAACTGCCTTTATATTTAGTGCTTCGCTTTGTAAAGACCGTTTTAATTTAATATTTCTGCGGTAGCACTATTTTAATCCATCACTTATGTTGCGAGCGAACTGATTGTGCAACCTGATGCTCGAGACGCAAAATACAGACATCCCAAGTCTCCCGGAAGTTCTGGAAGTCACCCGCATATTGATAGCGGCTCCCTGATGCTCGCAAATTAGTTCAAACTCCCGGGATTTGAGCGCGCAAGCAAGAGCGCGCATGCGAGACAGAAGAGACTGTGCTCCAAACCGTGTAGCGCGACCGCGCGGCAGAGCAACGGAGAGAGAGAGACCTTGTGCGTGTGTGCCTCATGAAGCGCGTGTAAGACAGAGAGCATCCTGATTGGCCTGTTTCAACCAATCACCAGTAAACGCTCCCCGTGACGTAAGCAGACCAACTAATCGATAATGACATTCGTTGACAACGATTTTCATAATCGATTATTATCGATTTTATCGATTAGTTGTTGCAGCCCTAATATATTTAGAGTTGACATTTCTTTCGTCCACCATCTTGAATTAAAATGTTGAACGAGCTTGTTGTAAGGCATTCTGGGTAATTACCTAATTTGTGAAAGATACATGCAGTGAGAACTGCATCAGAATCTGTCCAGAACTAGAAAGCAGCAAAATGTTTTGTTAAGAACTACTCACTGTAATGTTGATGGCTTTTGGTAGGCAGCCCGTTTGAATCCAGGGGTGAACCTGAGTTAACTCTTTCTTCTGCTCTTCAGTAAAGTGAGGCTGATGCTGCTGAACAGCTTTCAGGGCGTTTCTGTCTTCTTTCAGTACTGAGTCTCTGTCTCTGTACACATACACATACAAATTAATGTACTCTATCTTCCGGCAGAGTTTAAGATACACTTAATAGTAAAAAAAAATATTTGTCAGGGAGTGGAAAAGGTAGAAAAATAGCCCTGTGAGTCAATTTTATTCTTACCAAATTTGCTTTGTAATTATAGTACCGAAACTCATAATTAAAGTGTTAGTTCATTCAAAAATTTTAATTCTGTCATTAATTACTCACCCTCGTGTCGTTACAAACCCGTAAAACCTTCGTTCATCTTCAGAACACAAATGAAGATATTTTTGATAATAAATCTGAGAGCTTTCTGTCCCTCCATTGACAGCAACATCATTGCAACTTTCAAGGCCCAGAAAGGTGGTAAAGACTGTTAAAATAGTCCATGTGACTACAGTAGTTCAACCTTAATGTTAAAAAATACTTTTTGTGCACAAAAAACCCTAAAATAACGACTTTATTTAACAATATCTTCTCTTCCACGTCATTCTCCTACGCTGTTGACGTAGTGTAGGAGAATGACATGGAGGAGAAGAGATTGTCGAATAAAGTCGTTATTTTAGTTAAGGTTGAACTACTGTAGTCACATGGACTATTTTAACCCTCTGGGGTCCAAGGTGTTTTTGGGGTCCTTGAGATGTTTTGACATACTCTGACATTTGTGCTTTTTTCAGTTGCTTATAAACATATTACTGGCAAAGGTGTAATTACACTCTATTTAGCACACACAGGGCTACCATAATGTGTTATCAACATGTATGTACATTTTTGTATTTTTGAGAGAATATTGTTTATGCGTGGTTATTGGAAAAACTAAAACTTAAAGTTTCTGAAATAAGGCCACAAAACACATACTAAATATCTGTCCACAAGACTTTTGACTAATGGATGTTGTCGCCTAGAGTTTTTTCTTCAAAATGATCTGAAAATCATCCTGCCTTATCATTCACATAAAACAATAGATTGGTTTAAATTTAAAAATGACACTTTTTGTTTGGAAAGGCAATATGCGCAGGGGTGTGACCTGCTGTGATTCACACCTGAGAAGACAATGGCCCGCATAATGAGCGCATAATGGGGCTGCATACTAATGACCCTTTCATTCAGGTGTGTCACTGAGCCACAAGAATGCAATGACAATATATTTACATTTACATTTAGTCATTTAGCAGACGCTTTTATCCAAAGCGACTTACAACTGAGGACTAAACCAAGCGAGTCATCGTGAAGAGGCAAAAACAGCGCAAGAAGTGCTCAAAATACACAGTTCAGACATAGCTCGGAGTAGCATAAGCCAGGCAAGCGAGGATTTAGAGGAAAGGATTTTTTTTTTTTATTTTTTTTTTTTTTATGTTAAGTGCTCACGGAAGAGGTGAGTTTTCAGTTGTCTTTTGAATGCTGTCAGGGATTCTGCATTCCGGATGAGGGTGGGGAGATCATTCCACCAGCATGGAACCGCGAATGAGAATGTTCTGGAGAGTGATTTTGTGCCCCGCTGTGATGGTACCACGAGCCGTCGCTCATTGACCGATCGTAGGCTTCTGGTAGGGATGTAGACTTGTAGTAGTGAGTGGAAGTAGGAGGGAGCTGAACCTGTGGTCAATCTGCAAGCAAGCGTCAAAGCCTTGAACTTGATGCGAGCAGCGAGTGGTAGCCAGTGCAGAGAGATGAACAGAGGAGTGACGTGGGCCCTTTTGGGCTCGTTGAAGACAAGACGAGCTGCAGCATTCTGGATCATTTGTAGAGGTTTAGTTGCACATGATGGAAGTCCAGCCAGAAGAGCATTGCAGTAATCAAGCCTAGAAATGACCAGGGCCTGGACGAGAAGTTGTGTTGCATGCTCAGTTAGGAAAGGCCTGATCTTCCTGATGTTGTGCATAGCAAACCTGCATGATCGAGCTGTCTTTGTAATGTGGTCTGTGAAGGTCAGCTGATCATCAAAGATTACTCCAAGATTTCTGACCGACCTTGATGGGGTGATTGAGGATGAATCTAGCTGGATAGTGAGGTCGTGCTGAAGAGACTGATTGGCAGGGAGGACGAGAAGCTCAGTCTTTGCCAGGTTGAGCTGCAGGTGATGTTCCTTCATCCATGCCGAGATGTCCGCCAGACAGCTTGAGATCCGTGCAGCTACTGTGGGATCATCTGGTTGAAATGAGAGGTAGAGCTGGGTGTCATCAGCATAGCAATGGTAAGAGAAACCATGTGCCTGTATGATGGGTCCCAGTGATGTGGTGTAAATGGAGAAGAGGAGCGGTCCGAGAACTGAACCCTGAGGAACCCCTGTGGTCAGTTGATGTGCTTTGGATACCTCACCTCTCCATGTGACCTTGAAGGACCTACCTGTGAGATAGGACTCAAACCAGTTGAGGGAGGTTCCAGTGATGCCCAGTGATGAGAGGGCGGTCAAGAGGATCTGATGATTCACAGTGTCGAAGGCAGCAGACAGGTCCAGTAGAATGAGAACTGATGATCTGGAAGCAGCTTTTGCGATCCGCAGGGCTTCCGTGACTGACAGCAATGCAGTCTCAGTTGAATGTCCTTTCTTGAAGCCAGATTGGTTGACATCCAGCTGGTTATTCAGAGACAGGAAGGATGATACTTGGTTAAAAGCAACTCGTTCAAGTGTTTTCGCAATGAATGGTAGGAGAGAGACAGGTCTGTAGTTCTCTAGAACTTTGGGATACATTCCCAAAGTTAGAACTATATATATACACTCACCGGCCACTTTATTAGGTACACCTGTCCAACTGCTCGTTAACACTTAATTTCTAAGCAGCCAATCACATGGCGGCAACTACGTGCATTTAGGCATGTAGACATGGTCAAGACAATCTCCTGCAGTTCAAACCGAGCATCAGTATGGGGAAGAAAGGTGATTTGAGTGACTTTGAACGTGGCATGATTGTTGGTGCCAGAAGGGCTGGTCTGAGTATTTCAGAAACTGCTAATCTACTGGGATTTTCACGCACAACCATCTCTAGGGTTTACAGAGAATGGTCCGAAAAAGAAAAAACATCCAGTGAGCGGCAGTTCTGTGGGCGGAAATGCCTTGTTGATGCCAGAGGTCAGAGGAGAATGGCCAGACTGGTTCGAGCTGATAGAAGGGCAACAGTGACTGAAATAACCACTCGTTACAACCGAGGTATGCAGCAAAGCATTTGTGAAGCCACAACACGCACAACCTTGAGGCGGATGGGCTACAACAGCAGAAGACTCCACCGGGTACCACTCATCTCCACTACAAATAGGAAAAAGAGGCTACAATTTGCAAGAGCTCACCAAAATTGAACAGTTGAAGACTGGAAAAATGTTGCCTGGTCTGATGAGTCTCGATTTCTGTTGAGACATTCAGATGTTAGAGTCAGAATTTGGCCTAAACAGAATGAGAACATGGAACCATCATGCCTTGTTACCACTGTGCAGGCTGGTGGTGGTGGTGTAATGGTGTGGGGGATGTTTTCCTGGCACACTTTAGGCCCCTTAGTGCCAATTGGGCATCGTTTAAATGCCACGGCCTACCTGAGCATTGTTTCTGACCATGTCCATCCCTTTATGGCCACCATGTACCCATCCTCTGATGGCTACTTCCACCATGTCACAAAGCTCTAATCATTTAAAATTGGTTTCTTGAACATGACAATGAGTTCACTGAACTAAAATGGCCTCCACAGTCACCAGATCTCAACCCAATAGAGCATCTTTGGGATGTGGTGGAACGGGAGATTCGCATCATGGATGTGCAGCCGACAAATCTGCGGCAACTGTGTGATGCCATCATGTCAATATGGACCAAACTCCCTGAGGAATGCTTCCAGCACCTTGTTGAATCTATGCCACGAAGAATTGAGGCAGTTCTGAAGGCAAAAGGGGGTCCAACCCGTTACTAGCATGGGGTACCTAATAAAGTGGCCGGTGAGTGTATATATATATATATATATATATATATATATATATATATATATATATATGCCTATATAATACAAAATTGGTTCACAGTTCCAATTATTTATTTTTCAAATTGTGCTTGCAAATTGTATAATATCAAATGTAAAAATTTCTAGTAATTGTGCAGTTAATTATCATACTGTTTTTACAGAAAGTTTGGGAATGTATCCCAAATGTGTCACTAATAAAACACAATACAAATAATTTAAAGAGGAGGCTTATATTGAGCTTTTAAGATTTATTTATATGTAGCCTACATATATTTTTGCTATTTTAATAAAAAGGTTACAATTACAACAACAATTAAAATTTTAACTATATTTCAAATGTAATCTTTCTTTGTATTATATACTAAAGTATACATTTTATCATACATATTTCACAGTTGCGGATTAATTAGTTTGAATATAGCTTACAATCGAACAAACACTATAATAACATCTTAGCAACAAGCTTATTTGATGTGGCAGTATTTTACAGTAAAAACGACATCTTGTCTTTCATATGTAACATATCGTTTTTATGATTAGGACATATAAATGTTAATTTGCAGTTTAATACGTTGCTTATACAAAAATATTTTATTTCAACATATTTCAGTCGATTTTTACTCATCTCAGTATTGGAATATAGTTAGGTAAAAGCTGTTCATTCATTCACACACAAAAACGCGATTCAAACAGTCTTTTTGTTTACAGACACTATTTCATATCGCGATTAGCACAAAGCACTTGAAAATAAAGAATGTACCTATTTCCTCGGCTGGATCCGTTGCTCCTCCAAATGAAACTACCTGTAGCCTACTTCTGAGGTAATTTTTTCCAGGATTATTATTAAGATAGTACTATTATTCCTCACAGCATCGTAATATGAGTCTCTTTCGGTGGGTTATCCAGCTGATGTGGGCGTGGATCGCCTCAGAGCATTTGTGTTTGAATAGAGCGCGCGCTCTGTGGGCGTGGTCAAATTAACTTTAATGAGCTGAGACGAGAACGACTATCATCTCTCTCTTTTCGTACAGATTACATAAAATGAGAAATTTTTTTTTTATATAAATTACTTCATTTAAAAGAAGATAATTCAGGCTTCATGCCTGTGTGTGCCTGTATACCTGTTTGACTGAGTATTTGCAGAGTTACAGATGATTTTTCGGACGCGTTTCAGAATGGACTTCACTGACAGAGAGAACGCAGAACGCGCATCATGTTTATTTTTCTTTATTAGGCGAAAAGCACAACACTTTGTTTTTATTATGAGGTTCCACAAAAAAATACAAACTTAACAGGATCGAATGATGTAAAACACTTATATGTAAGATCAAAATTAACAGAGTAATTTGAGTCTCTTTTGCACTGATAAGGAAAAAAGTGAGCTGGTATCGCCGGCGAGACCGCCGACCCCAGAGAGTTAATGATGTTTTTACTACCTTTCTGGGCCTTGAAAGTTGCAATGACGTTGCTGTCAATGGAGGGACAGAAAGCTCTCAGATTTCTTATCAAAAATATCTTAATTTGTGTTCTGAAGATGAACGAAGGTCTTATGGGTTTGGAACGGCATGAGGGTGAGTCATAATGACAGAATTAACATTTTTGGGTGACTTTTTTTTTCTAAATTAAATACATCAGAACCAGCAAATCAAGATCTTTGGACAAGGTTTTTGTTATTTTTATATAACAGACAAAGTTGTAAGAACAGGTTTGGATGTAACTTTGGTAAAAATGGCCTTACTTGATGGGAATCTGGTATGTCATCATAACCTTGTCATCTGTGTTGGCCATGAGGAGCCAGATGGGGTCCTGCAGGACAAAATTTATGAACTGTTCCCCTTCCCGATCCTCAGATGCTGGTTTATGAGTGTGATCATTCTCTGACGAGTCAATGCTTCCAAAGTACTTGCTTGTATTACTGCTCCCTGAGATAAAATAAATAAATAAATTGTAACTGCATAAAAAAGAGAACCAGTACAATTCTTAAAAATGTCTTAATTTTTGTTTCATCAGAGAAGAAAAGTCATACAGGTTTGTAAAGACATGAGAGTGAGTATTGGTGAGTTTGGGTTATCTATAGCTTTAAGAATGAAGCATACATGAGTAAATTACTCACTAGTGCCACTTCCAGATGTGCTACACCCATTTGATCCAGAGGCAAATGATCCAGACCCAGACCCAGACCCAGACCCTGAAGACCCAGAACCTGAGGCGGCGGATCCAGTTCCTGAGCGGGAGTCCTCTTGCAGCAGTAGGTCCAGCATGTCACTGGAGGTCGACATGGAGTCCTGGTTTGACTCATTGACTTCATGCTAAAAGAAGTTAATTCAAAGTTAGCCAGGAAGCAAGGTAATTAAAAACAAACAAAGAATTTAAACAAAGAGTTTAAAATGGTTCTTAATTCTTACGCTGTTATTTGGTTTGGCATCTTTGGTGTTGCTGCGATTGCAGGAATTCGGCACCACAGTCCCGCCCACTTGTGTTGCTCCTAATCCTGGCGGTGGAGTCTGTAGCGTAGCATCTGTTCTGTTGCTTGGCAATTCCTCAAGTTGTAGAAGATTGAGTGGGGAGGAGCATCGGGACTGAAAAAGAGGGGATCCGGTCCCTTCTCTCTCGCCAGCCTGTTGCCCGGTGGACTGGGGTGTGCTGGAACGAGACTGTCCATGTAGTGTAGTGTTGGCATTTCCTGCTGGCATTGATGGAGAGTTGGGGAAAATGAACGGGGGATTTGGGTTGTAGAACTGCTGGGGAATCACTGCAGGCATAGTGGGATTCATTTGAGAGCCCAATGGATGTAACTGCCCTACTGCAGGATTAAACGATGGCACACCAGGGTTCATTTGAACAAAAGAGCAAGGGAACTGGCCCAAGGGGTTCATCTGGGCAGGCAGTTGCCCACTGAGCTGCAAGTTGGCTGGGTTCAACTGTGGTCCTGGATTACCAAGTTGTGGAAAAATATAGTTGGGCATCATGAAGGTCATGGCTGGTGGCAACACTGGAGGAAAGCCTTGCATGGGGAACCTAGGGACACCTTGCAAAGAAGGATCCGTTCCCATCTGGGGCATCAAGAAAGGCGACGAAATGGGAAACATGGGCATGTAGCCTGGTGGAACGGAGGTCATCACGGGAGCATGACTTGTCTGGGATGCCACAGATGGTTGCCAAGATGTGGAAGAGTGCTGGATTAAGGGGAAGTTGGGTCTTATTGCTGCAGGATTAGATCCTCTATGGGGGCCAGATAAAGAGAGGGAGGGAATGTCCGGAATGTTGTCTTCTATTTGGTGTTTCCGTCTTTTCCCACCTCTGCCATGCCGACGACTCTTGCTGTTATCTAGAGAAGGATAGTTCTGGGGGCTATTCACTCCTAGACAGAACAAGCCAAATAATAAGGGCATAAGTAAAAGAATTCAGGCAGACAAATACGACCTCTTAACAACTATACAATGCTGTTACCTTTTGTCCCAGGTGTAGACGTGCTTCTGAGCTGTGGTGGCTCGCTGGGTTGGACCATCCGCACCTGGCTGATGTCTCTAAAACGGTTGAGGAAGGCTTGCTCTTCTTGCTGGGTGTGTGTGGATAACATCGCCTTCGTGAGGCCCTTTCCTGCACTTCCTCCACCTCTTCTCTCCTTCTCCTTTTCTTTCTCGGGAACAGCAGCAGTGGGGGACGGGGTCTGCTGAGGGTTCTCAGGCATGGCAGAGGCAACAGCAGTGGTTGGAACTGACGTGGAAGGTGTTGGGGTGGTTGGTGGCTCCTCCATCATAATAATGTCTGGATGTAGATCAAACAAAGGAGATTGCTTGCTTTTGAACGGTCTGATGTGTAATGTAATATAAGACATACCATGTATAGGTCGATGACAAGAATAGATTGGAAAAAAAAATGTCATACCCGATTCAGGTGGCTTCTTGTCACCAACATGAACGATGGTGCTGCTGAAACTGCATTGGGAAGTGGCAGAGACAACGCTTTCTGCCTTACAGTGCAGAGCCAGAGGGGTTAGGGGGTGTCCTGGAGCTGCAGGGACAACCTTTGACCCCTCAGTCACCACAAGAGTCTCTGCTATGTTAAAAGAGAAGTGTGAACTTCAGCTACACAGAGGACATAGTACACAGACATCAGTCGACACTGAAGGAATACCACTAGTGATCGATTGTGTGAGTGTTCCTCTCCATCCCTGACTTTCTGAATACTTATAGGATGTTTTGGGTAAATATCCCATTACCCTTTAGCAATCCATTACTCACCTTTGGTTGCTCCAGCTTCTTCCCTTTGTTTATCATCATTAGAGGTAGAAGAGGTTGTATAGGAAGATGAGCCACACTTCCTCTTCACTGTGCCAGGGACATTAAAGCTCTCCAGATATCTGAACAACACAGTGAAAAACATGAGACCACCACATATCCAATAAAGAAACTTTGTAACAGTTTAAATGTTACCTGAGTTTTTTATAGTTTATTTTCTGACTATTGCCTGGGAAATTACCTGGGTCAAGTGGTAGTACCACTAAAATCCGTTTGGGGGCACTAGTGAGTGGGGCCTGCTAGATATAAGCCTGGTAAGCAGTGAAGAAGTCAGTTCAGTTTGGTAGAGGGAAACCGCATGGTTCATCTAAATGCTATCTGCTGATACATTTGAAGTCCTGGTTTGAGAACTCAGGGAGTTTAAGCTCAAACGTGAGTATGTTCTAAATGTGTCTTCTAATCAAAAATGTTGGTGTTATTGTCATGAATAAGTCTTATGTTAGCTGTTTTTCTTTTTGTAGAAAGGACTTTTCATAATTAACCACTTGTCACCATTGTTTCAAACCACACTTATTATCCTGCATTGTTTTGGATGATCTGATGATCTATACGTCTCCTGGAAGAGAGGAGTAGGAATCCGTAGGATATCACCGCGCTGTAGCGAGGCATCAAAGGCCATTGACACCTTCATCTCATTCTCATACTGGATTATTGGATTTATATCATTGCGTCGATCTCAAATATCTCTTCACCATCATCAGTTCAACCCTTCTAAAGACTGGACACTGACGATAAGTTGTTTATAATTGTATCATTTACACAGAGACAAAGACTGGTGGGGTCATTCTATTCTTTATTATTATTGTGGGCAATTATATGTACATGGGAAATAAAATAGGAAAATAGTATTTGTTGAGTGAAGTGGTTTGAAATTTCGGTACCAGTCGAAATCTGTTGATCCCCCTCAGAGGTTTCATCTTTGATAAAAGGAGGTGTTACAGATGGCGCCCAAACAGGGACCCGCTTGAACTTTTGCGGGATTCCTTGTATTTAAAAATAAATTTCGCCGGTACTGAAAGCCCTTCACAAACAAATATTCCTTACTATCATCTGCTATGGAAGAAAGAGAGCATATCACTGATTTTTCTGATGAAGCTTTCGTTCAGCGTAGGGATCCAGTGACAACTTTGATAGATACTTTTAGCGAATTGTATTTAGATACAGAGGAAGAAAGAGAAAGTAGAGCTGAGTCACCAGACCAGAGAATTGAACAAGATGATAAAACTAGGGACTTACCCTTACCACCTCCGCCTCAGGTTTTCCAAGAAGATGAGTTACAATTTGGCAGTAATGAAAGAGGCCAACGAATGAGTAGTATAGAAGAGCACCTTCATGATCTTGAACACAGAATCAGTAACTTCGTTACCTCAGAGACTTTGAGCATGGAACTGAGAGCATATGAAGACAGAATGAATTATCATCTTAAGAGAGAGATAGATCGAATTCACCAACAATGCTATGGCAAAATTGATGATCTAGCTAAGAGCATGGTGGATTGTTTGAAACGACGTGATAACCAGCTGGAGCAGCGGTTCAAGACTATCCAACCGGCCATGTCAACTCCGGTTCATTTCAGCACAGATACTTCTCAACGAAAATTTCACGCCTCCTCTAAGATTAGTTCAATACCACAAGATACGTCGAGGCAAGTAACACATCTTTCTTCAACATCTCATCCTTCTGCTGTTAAAATGGATTTACCTACCTTTAGTAATTTGAATTCAGAAGAGCCCATTGAATTTATAGATCGCTTTGAAGAGTATAATGAATTGAGACCCATGTCCCACGAAGAGGTGTTGGCTGCATTGTCCGTGAGTCTTAAGGGAACCGCTAAGAGCTGGTGGAGAGCAGAGAAACCGCATATTAGAGATTGGGATTCATTCAAAAAGAAATTCCTGTTTTCATTTTTGAACGAAGACCACAAGGAAGTAGCTGCACAGAAATTGGCAAATTATCGACAGAGAGTCGACGAATCTGTGAGAGACTTTGCTTTTAATTATAGAGCGATGTCACTAAAGATTAACCCTTTGTTGCCTGAAGTCGAATTAGTGCAGGCAACATTAAGAAACTGCAATCCACGGTTGGCGTCACTGTTGAGGGGAACGGTGAAAACTATTGATGAGCTGGTTCGTCTCGGGACCCAAATAGAGAAGGACTGGACTGAGAATAAGAGAAGATGGAGTCAAGAGAGAGGTGAGGAACAGAAGAAGAGTTCTGCTGGTGGAAAAAATCAGCCTAATCGCTTGATGCTGATGGATCCTGCTGCTGGCTCTCAGTGTAACAATGTACTGCAGGCGCCTTTGGTTTTAAATCACTCATTCTTCAATGCCGTGATTGATACGGGAAGCACTTTTTCTTTGATGCAGCAGAAAGTATGGCGGAGACTAAAGAGAAAGGATGAGCTTTTGACCAGTAGCGCTCAGACATTCATGCTGGCTAATGGCCAGAGTCAAAAAGCTCAGGGTAAAGTACTCTGGGAATGTGAGATGTACGGATCAAAACATGAGGTCACATTCTATGTGATGAATGATGAAGATTTGGCAGTGCCTATCATCTTAGGTTTGAATTTCCTTAGAGAAGCCAAGGTCACCATCGATTTTAATGTCTCACGTATATGCCTGCCTGATACTAACTCTAGTCATCCAATGTGTTTTAATAAAATGCACGAGCACCCTGCTGTACGATTTTATGCTGCCCAAGGAAAAGATGAGTTGGGGTGCGATGAGAAGTCGAAGTTAATCGACCAAGTCGTGGAAAACTCTCATGCTGCAGTCAAGGTAAAGAGTCAATTGAAAGCTCTCTTGTGTGATTGGCCTTCAGTTTGTACCACAAATCTAGGACGTACAAGCCTGATCAAGCACGAGATTAAAACTATTGACGAACTTCCTATAAGAAAGAGACCGTACAGAGCTTCGAAAGTGAAGAATGATTTCATTGAAGAGCAAATTAAGGAGTTGCTTCAATTAAAAATCATCAAACCTTCTACGTCTCCGTGGGCTTCACCTGTGGTGGTAGTGGATAAGAAAGATGGAGGATCCCGGTTTTGCATTGATTACCGTGGACTGAATGCAAAGACACACCTCGACGCGTATCCGATGCCTCAAATCACGGATATTCTTGATTCTCTCCAAGGAGCCAAGGTGTTCAGCACGCTGGATTTAAAGAGCGGATACTGGCAAGTTGAAATGGATTCTGCAAGTATGGAAAAGACCGCTTTCATTACTGCTTCAGGGTTATATGAATTCTTGTGTCTTCCCTTTGGCCTTAAAAACGCCGCAGCATCTTTCCAACGGTTGATGGAGCAAGTTCTGAGAGAGCACAAGAACAAATATTGCATGGTCTATATCGACGACATCATTATATACTCACCAGACATCCAGTCTCACATGCACCATCTCGAGCAGGTGTTCCAGAGTTTACACATCGCCGGTCTCACGCTCAACCTCACAAAATGTAAGTTCATCTGTTCTTCACTGGACTACCTAGGACATACTATCACTGCAGATGGAGTTAAGATGAATGTAGATAAAGTGGATGCGATCAGGACATTTCCCACTCCTAAGAACTTAAAAGAGGTTCAGCGATTTCTGGGTCTAGCAGCTTGGTACCATCGTTTTATCCCTGATTTTTCTAGTAAAACAGCACCATTGCACGCACTGAAGAAAAAAGAGGCGAAGTGGAAGTGGACTAATGAGTGCCAATGTTCGTTTGAGCTTATTAAAGATGAACTCACTAAGGCTCCTGTTTTAACCACACCTAATTTCGAGGCTTCTTTTAAAGTACAGACTGACGCAAGTGATGTGGGCTTAGGAGCTGTGTTAACACAGGAGGTGGATGGCCAAGAGAGAGTAATTGCATACGCATCCCGTTTGCTCAGAGGTGCAGAGAAGTCCTATTCGACATCAGAAAAGGAATGTCTAGCGGTAGTGTGGGCTGTAGAGAAGTGGCACCATTACCTAGAGGGTAGAGCTTTTGAGGTGATCACTGATCATGCATCCTTAGTCTGGCTTTTCCAACATCCAAAACCCTCGTCCAGACTGGAAAGATGGACGATCAGACTACAAGGGTATCACTTTACTGTACGGTATCGGAGAGGACAATGTAATGTAGTGCCTGACGTATTGTCCCGAAGGTATGCAGCTGAGTCGCCAGCTGTGTTGTTGCACTCATCTGTCACATGTGATCTGCCAGTGGATTTGGCACAAATTGCAGCAGAACAGAAACTAGACCCAGAGTGCCAAGAATTGATGGTTAAAGCCGAAAACCAGAAATCCACTGACTTGAAGAGAACACACTATGTTTTCAAGAACGCAGTTTTATTTAGGAGTGTACCAGACTCCAAAGAAGGTCAGAGAATCCAAGTTGTCATTCCTGCAAAGTTGAAGGAAGCAATTTTAACTTATGCACATGACAATCCTCTGAGTGGGCACTTGGGTAAATTTAAGACATTGATGAGACTTTTAGAGTTCGCCTATTGGCCCTCAATTCGTACAGATGTATGGCAACACTGCAAGAATTGTCAGAAATGTCAGCAACACAAACCGACTAACTTAAAACCTGCTGGGGGCTTACAAAGTGTACCACTAGTTGAACCTGGTTATATGCTGGGAATGGACATCATGGGACCATTTCCACGAAGCACTCGCCAGAATAATTATCTTCTGGTTATAGTGGACTATTTCACTAAGTGGGTAGAGGTTTTCCCAATGAGAGCTGCTAAAGCTACAACCATTGTGCGAATTCTTATAGAGGAGGTTTTCACAAGATGGGGAACACCAGCCTTCATCGTGTCTGATAGAGGTGCACAATTCACCTCAAACCTCTTAGCCCAGTTATGTAAGCAATGGCAAGTAACACAAAAACTCACCACCGCATACCATCCTCAGTCAAACCTCACTGAACGGGTCAATCGTAATTTGAAAACTATGATTGCCACGTACGTCGACCAAAACCACCGTACCTGGGATCAGTGGTTATGTGAGTTCAGATTTGCACTAAATACCGCATGGCATGAGAGTACCGGGTATTCACCTGCTGAGATAGCCCTAGGCCGACAACTTAAAGGTCCTCTGCAGAGAGCCTTACAGAATCCACCAGATCCGGACCAACCAGCTTACAGTCTCCTGGAACGCCAAAAGGTTCTGTACGAGTCAGTAAGAGAGAATGTAGAGAAGGCACAAACTAAACAAAAAAAGTACTACGACCTCAAGAGAAGAGCTCAAAACTTCAATGAGGGGGATTTTGTTTGGGTGCGAACACACCCTCTTTCTAGTGCAGATGATGCTTTCATGGCTAAGATCTCACCTAAATGGAAAGGCCCAGCTAAGATTGTGAAAAAGCTAGGACCTGTAAACTACAAGGTAGCCATGTTGTCTGATCCTGTTCAGGTAGACACTTATCATACCCAGAATTTAAAAATTTACCATGAGTCAAATTTTTAGACCACGGGGAGGGGTATGTAACAGTTTAAATGTTACCTGAGTTTTTTATAGTTTATTTTCTGACTATTGCCTGGGAAATTACCTGGGTCAAGTGGTAGTACCACTAAAATCCGTTTGGGGGCACTAGTGAGTGGGGCCTGCTAGATATAAGCCTGGTAAGCAGTGAAGAAGTCAGTTCAGTTTGGTAGAGGGAAACCGCATGGTTCATCTAAATGCTATCTGCTGATACATTTGAAGTCCTGGTTTGAGAACTCAGGGAGTTTAAGCTCAAACGTGAGTATGTTCTAAATGTGTCTTCTAATCAAAAATGTTGGTGTTATTGTCATGAATAAGTCTTATGTTAGCTGTTTTTCTTTTTGTAGAAAGGACTTTTCATAATTAACCACTTGTCACCATTGTTTCAAACCACACTTATTATCCTGCATTGTTTTGGATGATCTGATGATCTATACGTCTCCTGGAAGAGAGGAGTAGGAATCCGTAGGATATCACCGCGCTGTAGCGAGGCATCAAAGGCCATTGACACCTTCATCTCATTCTCATACTGGATTATTGGATTTATATCATTGCGTCGATCTCAAATATCTCTTCACCATCATCAGTTCAACCCTTCTAAAGACTGGACACTGACGATAAGTTGTTTATAATTGTATCATTTACACAGAGACAAAGACTGGTGGGGTCATTCTATTCTTTATTATTATTGTGGGCAATTATATGTACATGGGAAATAAAATAGGAAAATAGTATTTGTTGAGTGAAGTGGTTTGAAATTTCGGTACCAGTCGAAATCTGTTGATCCCCCTCAGAGGTTTCATCTTTGATAAAAGGAGGTGTTACAACTTCACACATAAACCTATAAAACATCTTTTGTCTCTAAAAATAAGATAAATTGGAGAAATAAAAATAAATTCACACAAAACAAATCCCCAAATCCTGGTACAAGCAGAAACATGAGCGAGAAAATCACCGTATGATGCTATCCAGACAGTTGATCTGCTGGTATGAGTAGATGGTGGGCAGCTCCTTCCTAGGTGGAGTTGACAGTGCCAAACCTGCCAGACCTTCTCTAGAAGAGGCTTCTGCTGTGTCTGCTGCCTTTGCCAGTGCTTCTGAAATATGACAGCAATCTTGTCGTGACCTCAGGCTAAAGAGATGAAGTCAGGTCATTATTATTTGACATATTTGCAATGTTTACCTAAGCTACCCGGTTTGAGAGCTGGCGGTCGGTTTCGGGATTCAATGAAGACTTGCTGTCCACTGGCCTTTACCATGTGCATGTCTTTACAAATCTGCTCAAACGTCATCTAGAAATAAATAAATGAGGAAATAAAGGTTGACATGGCACATTCTATACAAGGGCATATAATAACATTCATACAAGTGAAAATTATAAGGAATTTCACAAGTCCAAATACTTTTGGGGATAAGCATGTACACTTTTGAGGTCAGTAAGTAATTTTTTAAGTAATGAATATTTTTAATCAACAAGGACACATTAAATTGATCAAAAAGAGAAAGAAAGACATTTATAATGATACAAAAGTTTTCTATTTCAGTTGAATGCTTTTTAACTTTCTAATAATCAAACGATCAAGAAAAGAATGTATCATGGTTTCCACAAATATATTAAGCAGCACAACTGTTTTCAAAATTGATAATTTTGTTTCTTGAGCACTAAATAAGCATATTAGCATGATTATTAGAACGATATTAGAATGATAATGGAAATTCAGCTTTGGCGTTACAGGAAAAAAATACATTTTAAATTGTAATATGATTTCACAATATTACTGTTTTTACTGTACAATTTACTGTATTTTTGATCAGCCTTGGTGATCATAAAAGATTACTTTCAAAAACATTATAAAAATTGTACAGACCCCCACCTTGTGAACGGTAGTGTATGCTTGTTTTTATTTCATTATGTAATGTTAAATGCTTCAATGTGTATGTCTCTGGATTGATAATGATAAACATTCTCACTGGTTTCCTGGGCTTGATCTGGTCCCCGGAAGCATGTCCGTTACTCTCAGAGGAGGAAGTGGCACCTTGCTGGTGCTCGTGCGAGCCGCTGCTGCCCAGGCTGCCGTACCCCAGTGAGCTGCCAGCATGAATGGGCTGCACCAGGAACCTTTGGATCACCTCGTTCAGCTGCGGCACATCTGGGGACATGGTTCTCATCTCCCCGCCCTCCGGGGCAGTGAACACGTCCTCGTTCAATGGACTCCTACAGAAAGGAAATGATGGTAGACAAGCTTTGTGAAACCACTTAACAGTAGATTAGCTCATATGAGTACATGCCCATGCAGAACACATTATCATCATGTCAGAGGGGTTGCTAGGGCGTTGCTATGTGGTTGCTGGGACGTTGATTTTTCCTTTAGTGCTGTATGATATAAGGAGAAAAACTGTGCAGCCACTTACGTTCGAACTTTGTGGCGTCCCACTATGAAAGCCACCTTCCTGCTCCAGGGGTTGATGAAGGATGACCAGCTGGTGTCGAGGGTCAGGTACTCCCCACTTTGTGCACGCATACGCAGGGGCGAGTGGTCAAATGGCTGCCCTGCAAACTGGATAACTGATGAAGAAAGGACAAAAACTAGATTAAAGAACTCCGCTGCAAAAATATTCACCATTGAATTGTGTCTGCGTCAAGAATGACCGACTCACTTTTCTTGTGAATGGCCACCATAAGGAGTCGGTCTTCTGGATGCAAGTAAATAAGCACCGGTTTCCCAACCAAGTCCTGAGGCATGTAACCAAGTAATGGCACTGCCCTGCAAATGAGAGAGGAGAGGGTTTATGTAACTGTTCAAAAGGGACACGGACGGTAAAAATGTGGGACAGCTCTAGGCAAAATGCGAACCTTTCATCAATTTCTTGGAAGAGACAGTTTGGGGTATGACTGGTGGTAAAAATTCTCTTATCTGCTGGGATACGAGGTGCTGTCATGTGAAAAACATAAGAACAGACACAAAACAACAGAGAGCACGGTGTGATTATTTTATCACGGTGTGGCAATATTACACTTACATACAGTAAGGGTAATTTTTCAATCAAGGGCATTTGACAAGTAATTACAGAGACACATTTTGAATGTTTAAAGCTATTATAATCTATCATTACCAGATGGTAAGTTAATCAGACCAGTTTCTCGTCAACATGCGTAGTATTTAAGTGTTAAGATTGTGCTTTCATAACAGTGAGATTGGGTTTCATACAGTAAGTACACTACCATTCAAAAGTTTGAGGTCTGTAAGATGTTTTGTTTTTGTCTCTCATGCTCACCAAGACTGCATTTATTCAATCAGAAATACAGTAAATATTGTGAAACATTACAATTTCTATTTAAAATGTAGTTTATTTCTGTGATGGTAAAACTGAATTTTCAGCATCATTACTCCAGTCTTCAGTGTCACATGATCCTTCAGAAATCATTCTAATATGCTGAGCTGGTGCTTAAGACACATTTCTTATTATTATCAATGTTGATACCAGTTGTACTGCTTAATATTTTTGTAAAAACCATGATACATTTTTTCAGGATTCTTTGATGAATAGCAAGTTCAAAAGAACAGCATTTATTTGAAATATAATTTTTTTTGTATTTACTTGTCCTTGCTGAATAAAAGCATTAATTTCCTTAAAAAAATTAAACCTTACTGACCCCAAACTTCTGAATGGTAGTGTATTTGACATTGACAGTGTCATGTTTTACCCTCGTAGCCAGAGTGAACTCTCTCAGCGATGAGGAGGCAGCAGGGCTCAGGTTGGGACGTGTCGGAGTCCCTCAGGGTTAGCTGATATGGCGTGAGACGGAAGGGGTAATACTTCACTTCATTACCGTCACTGTCCCTACCTCTGCTGATCCGACAAAACATTGACTTTTCCTCTGCACAGTCCACCTGTGAGGCTATACACAAATGGAGCTTTAATAAATACTCATTTATCCCATCGTAACAAAATTACAGCCAATCAGAACATGCTGTTTAAAATGATTGATGCTTAAAAGGTACAGTACTTAATTTCTGAGCTACTGCCATCTGTTTGTGTCAACAGCATTGTTCTTTTAGTATCTTTGATATGCTGATCGTTTTTAATATTTTGAATCTTTTTTATATATATATATATATATATAGATACATTTTTCGTCATTTTGTCGTTTTTGTCATTTGTATTAGTTTTTGTGGGTTTTTTTTTATATTTATGTCATATTTATTGTTATTTATATCAGTTTTAGTTTGAGATATTTTAGTACTTCAAGTTAAACTAAATGAAAATGTCAAATGTTGCCTAGGCAACTAGATGACATAAAGTAAGTTTAATATTTTATTTTATTTCAGTTAACGTTTATTTTATTTCAAGTAATGAAAATGTTTTTATGGTTTTAGTTTTAGTTAATGATAATAACCCTGGTCAACATCCTGGACTAGCGATGTTTGCTCGCATGAGGGCAGGAATACCTGGTTGGAAGAGGAAGGGTGGGGGTGGAGTATTTGTGGAGACCTGTTATTATTTTCTGTTATCAATTCCATTTGGTACCAGTAGTGATATAGAAATTACATACTCCACCTTTAAAAAACACCTTTGTGGGACACGATATTGTACGAAATCACATACTGTATAGAAGGTGCTGCATTTGGTTTGAAACTTACTTCGCAACCGTTAAAAAAATATGTTCTATATAGTATGAATGTATGTAGTAGGTAATTTGGGTACTTTTCGCCAACTCTTTTATGCCTACTGTTTTATGAATACTTTGGATTCAGACACACTACTTGGCTCACATACTGTTTTTTACCCACTGTATAGTATGGAAGTAGGCATATTCGGACGCAGCGCATGACTCAAAAATGCACACCCTTAATTTCTTTTTAAAGTGTGCCAATATTAACAGTATTGGCTGATTGGGACAAAAACATGTGCATTGTAGCGAATACAACTGTGTGTAAACAGTGCTTAATTTGAGTCAGATCCTGCCGAATCCTGTTCCGGAAAATGTCAGATTTTGGATTTCGGGAGTTAAATTAAAAATAAGATAATATTGCTAAAATGTCAAAAAGACAGTCAAGCATAATTCATTTTTCATATCCGGGAGTAAAGCTGATGGTGTTTCTGATCAAAAGAGATGACGAGAAGATGGAACTGCACCCCTGGACAATTCTACTAATACTTATCAGCATAGCGGGAGACAAGAGCAACGGGAGTTAGATTAGTCAGAAATCAAAGAGGCGACGACGTTGTTGGTGAGAGAGAATTTCACTGATCAACTGAATGACATTTGGTCTCAACGTAGCTATATACGTGACAGAAAAATAAAATAGGCTGTAGTTAGAGCCATGCAGAGACTTGTGAATGATGCTCTTATTTAGTTGTGCTACCACTGTTTAGTGAAGTCATTGTACGTTCGGGGAAATCTGAAGATGTATGGTAAGTGTCGGTCAGAGTGCCTTTTAAATGTTGTTTTTGATCAGGCAATTATTCGTTTACAAATGAAGCACTGTCTGTAACTGATTTACAAAAGTTTCTACGCACTCTGCTTTGTCACTATATTCCCACAGTCAAAAAACTTCGACATACTGGTGCCTGCGCAGGAGGACCACGCCGGCAGGCGGCTGGGAGCGGTGCTGCTGTAAAAGGTGCCGACGTCCTGAGGCGCGAGCAGCTCCGAAAACAGAGCCCCCTGAAGCCTCTCGGGTTTACAGCGCAGCAGAGAGGCCGCCTGGGATGTGATGTACACCACTTTACCAGAGAGGAACGACACCGCCACAGAGAACGTGTCCTAGGATGGAATAGAGAAAAAACATAAGAAATTCATTCGATTCTTCTAAACAGTCGCAGCCTGATGTGTACGAGGTAACCTGTCCAGTAATACCGTGTTTTGAAGGGTGTACTCTGATGTAATGTTGTCTAGCTCTTCGATAGTAAACGACGACAGGTCCAAACAACACCCATGGCTCTCTTCCACACTCCACTGATGGTAGTACTCTTGATTAGCTACAGAAGAACACAACACGCCCTTTCATTGGCACACATTCCAGAACAAGGAGATGTAATTTAAGTTTTTGTTTTCTTACTCACCTCTCACTTGCTTGACACAGCTAAGCGCATACTGCAGGGAGGCTAGGGTGCTAGATCGGCCCTTCCTGCGCCGTTCCGCCGGCATGCGGACCTTTAGCTCGCGCAGGGCCTTCAGCAGCTCTCTCTGGGTCTGCAGCCGGGCCGCCTGGTCACCGCTGGCTGATAGGGAGGTCGGCTCCGAGCTGCCACTCAAAAGACTGAATGACACCGAGCTGCTAGGAGGGGAGGGACTGTTTCCATTTGAGCTGAGGAGAGACATTTTAATGAAGTAGATTAGCCAGTATGAATTTAATGATTTTAGTCTGCCCTGAGCGTAGCATTCTTGTGCCTCGACCGGTTTAAAAAATAAAAAAGGTTTTCTGGGAACAAACTGTACCAAGACAAACCTAAATGCTGCAATTAGCTTATTAAACTGAATGGTTGAGCTATTTATATATCAATCCTCATTCCCACAAAGTTTTTATCTCTTTTCTGACTAAAGTGGTTCAAAGAGAAGTAACATAGGTTTACACTTGTACATTTGGCTAAGACACATATATACAATGATTCTGCAATGGCATTCAAGCTATTTTATCGGTATATACGTACACCCACTGTTCAAATGTTTGCGGTAGACATTTATTTGTTCAAAAATACAGTAAAAACAGTAATATTGTGGAATGGAATCTAATTACATTTTAAAATAACTGTTTTCTAATTGTCAAAGCTGAATTTTCAGCATCGTTACTCCAGTCTTCAGTGTCACATGATCCTTCAGAAATCATTTGAATATGCTGATTTGCTACTCAATAAACATTTCTTATTATTATCAATAAACAATTGTGCTGCTTAATATTTTGTGGAAACTGTGAAAGATTTTCTTCAGACTTCTTTGATGAATAGAAAGTTCAAAAGACAGCATTAACTTGAAATAGAAATCAATTTTCAACTTAAAATATTCCTTTAACCATCTGCCTACCATTTAAAAGTAATTTTTAATAAACTGATCAATTGATTTAAATATCACATACCTCTTGCTTTCTGTAGTCTCTGTGGTTGAACCCTTGCCATTGTGAGAGCTGCAGGTGGATGTTTCTCGCCCCATGTGTCCTTCGCTCTCCCTCTCGGTCGAGTCATTCCCGCTGGAATGGGTATCAGTGTCGTCTGAGTGTGTTAGCTGAGGTACTGTTAGGATGTCCAGCCCGGGAAGGACGGACTGGCTGTCAGTCATTCCGGGAGAAGCATTACTGTGGGTTTCCCTTTCATCCTTATGTGTTCTTCCCGTCCCTGTACTAGTGGTACAGCTCAAAGATGTTTGGAAGATGTCATTACTCATAATGAAGCAGAATAATTATATATATAAAATCTGTTTTGTGCATCTGTAATGAATTTCTGACAAAGCAGGGCATGTGAACTCCTAGGTCCTAAATATCTGCTGTCCTGGATGTATCCGCATAATAGATCATAAAGTTGCAAACCATCTAGTGGGAAACAATAATAAAAACAGGATAAGCATCAACGGAACACTGAGAGATATGAATTTTAACTTTGATTTCAAGAAGAACAAAGAGAAAAGTGAATAAAAACAAGGTCTTCAGTATTGAACAAATAAGTCAATGAAATATTTACTTTACTGAAGAACCCGGCAGAGGTGTGAAAGGTGTGTCGAGTGAGAACAATAAAAACATGAACGTGGAAGTTTGCCACACCAGACATAGACAACAGACTGCAAGGGAGCAATAATTCTTTTTATTAGCCTTCTCTAAAAACACACATGACATGGTCTTAGAAAATGTTTAATAAAATTCCTAGCTTTACAGATAACATCCTCAGATTTGAAATGAAGTAGGAGCAGACTTGTGGCTTCAGTTGCATGGAAAGGGGTTAAATGCATATTTATGTTCATATATATTAACCTTAACTTAAGAAGTGTTTATAGCTCTCTTTTCTTTCTCTGGATCATGCAGAAACTATTTTATTGCCAACACTGTGTATCCTAAATGTGAATGTAAGAGGTTTTCAGTTTAAAAATAATTTTAATTTATGATTTTCTCACTGATTACCATTTATAAGTCTAAATTAAAGTGTTAGGATTTGTTTAAAGGCTATAATAATAAAAAAAATTTTTTTTTAAATATAGGCTACCATGGAAACATATTGTTGTAAATAATAATTAAAATCACTAGTAGCTAAACAAATACATAACACATTCATTTCTGCATGGTATAAAAAAGATAATAAGAGTGTAACCTAAAAAACACTAGATGTGTGGGGAGATGCATGTGTGTGTCTGAGTTGTTTACAACTATTCAGCATGAAACTGAAATATTAGTAGTTTCCCCCTCCTTAAATTTTAAGTTTTTCACAGTTTTTCCCATCAGTTTTCAATGCATGTTGCATTTCTGTGCATCATGCATATTGAATTAACCTTTTTGGAATGGCAGTGGCAGTGTGGCACTATAAAAAACAACTTTATTATATGGATGGAGTAATTGGAAATACAATATTTAAAGTTATCAGAGTTATCTTTTCGAGACTCCTTATCTTTCCTTAACAGATTTAAATATATGCGCTTATTTGAATGTGAGTCCTCTACCTGTAGACCTGTGGAATTACCTGACATCATATAAACACTGATTGGAAATGAGAAATATTTTGATACAGTCAAGCACATTAAACCCATACATAGCCTACTACATATTTGAAACAGACAATCAAGTTAGTTATTAAAATATGGTGGAAAAGTCAAATGACCTTATATAGATTGGAAATCCCAAGAGCATTCCAAAATAACCATAAAAAATGTTTACCAATGATCAGAGATCCGCAATGCCATCAGGGACGTCAATAGGCCTATTAAATGTTTAGGGTTAAACGATTTTCTTTGTCAAATACAGATTAAACTGTCTATACACATCCAAGACTATCAACTCAATAAGCAAAATATTATGACAACACGTAGCTTTTATTACCTCGTTAAAGTATTTCTGTTGATCCGAATGGCAGTTTAAGCTGCTTTTTCAGAGCTTGTTTCCGAATGACGCCAGTGCAACACAGTAACATTAGTTCAGTACAGTAACTCTTTTCTTGACGGATATACTAACAACCCGTGTGCGGACAACACCACTATAATTCTTGTTTTGTGAACACATTTCACGTGTTACCAGCACCTCTCTAAACAATCTTTCGTTGGCTACTAAACTACCATAATTCCGCCTACTGTGCATGCACCCCGCCCATTGACTTGAAATTCGCGCTGCTATTGGACATATGGGCGGGGCCTTGATCGTTCGGCTCTCCTTTGTCACGTTGTAGCAGAGCTTCCCTCTGACGTCCAGACGGAATTTGCACTTCCCCCAACCGTATTAACCGTTGTAGAGGCGCATATGAGGGCTTTTTACTAATGCGATACATGACTAATACATTTCCATTTTTTATGAAAGTCAAAAAATAACCCTGAAAGTCTGTGAATAATTCTGTATGCATCTCTTAAATGATTTCTTGCATTCTACCGTTTGTTTTGCGCGTCTTTTATGGTGATTACAACATCAACACACTCGCGCGGAGCGGTTGTCCCTCGTGCCCGTGCGAACTTCGCGTGTCTGTCCACCTGACACATGTGGGCGTGTGATGTCTCTCATGCACTCAATGCACTCTCCCTTCGTTTGCTGCTCAAATATACGGTGAGTAAGTGAATCACAATTGGACACATTTGTGGACAACGTGTTAAACGTTGAGAAACTTCTCAAATAATTTGATCAATTTATTATTTTATTAATTATTAATAGTTTCACATTTGTTCAGTGTTTACTGTTTAGGCTGACTTCATAACTCTGACACCCTTTTCAAAATGTGCTTGGGTGATGCCATAGTTTTATATTGGTAGCTATCATGATAATACCTTGATACAGGATACTGTAGTCATTCTCACAAAAGGAACCCTGACAGGGTATAAGGTTCTGTATCACCCTAAAGAGGTTTTACGATAATAAACGGCTGTCTCTGTGCAAATGGTGGGGATTTTTCAGTATTGCAGGTTATATATTTAACGTTACGTCAGTAGGTGGCGAAAAATAACCATCTTTTGTGTATCAGTGGGTCATTAAATCTAAACCGGGGACGACTGTAAGGCCGTTTTATTTGATTTATTCAAAACAGTAACAAACAACTGTTCTGTTCTCGGAGACGCTCGACGATTCATTCTGCTTGGGCAGTTTTAAAACGGGGATAAATTACGACTTAGATATAATTATGACAAAAACAAATCGGGAAGTCTTTATCTAACAATTTAGATTGTTATGTAATTATTTCGAGTTTTATCTCATAGTTTTGACTTATACTCTGACAGTAGTAGTTTATTATTCTGTTTTGAATTCAGCATTCGTGTCACGACCTTTTTTTCCGTCTAATTAAATTTCGACTTTTTATCTCATAATTTTGACTTTCTGATCGTTTTTTGGGCCATTCCACCGAATTGTGCCATTTGTTGTATAGCGTAACTCTTCAAAACTAAACTTTTTTTTTTTTTTTTATCTTTTTTCAACACTGAATCTAATAGGCTACTACACATATTTTACTATTCAAAATGTGTATTGGTCAATCTCAGGCAACTTCATTTAATTTTTACAAGGTTTCTAAGCAGAAGATGGACGCATGTTTTCTCAGTCCTGTTACCGAAACTCATGTGCCATTTAAAAAGCATGTTTAAAAGCATGTCAATTAATTCCTTTGTTTTCCCCACAAGAAAGTGTTTTTTCTTTTAAAGAAATTGTTGTTTATATGTTCAAATAATTGATATTTGTGACAAAAAAAAAAACACTATTAAGGCAAGGTGTATTAAAAAACAACAACACAAAGCCTTTTTTTTTTTTCATTTTAAAGACCGAAGCCTCAAGTTTATAATTTTTTTTATAATTTAATTTATTTAAACAATTGTATAAATGATGGAATGATAAAAACAGTGGTTTAACAAAAAAACAAAAAAAAATTGTAACAGGAATGAACATTGGGTAACAGGAATGAGTGTCTATATGTGTGTACGTATGTGTATGAGAGAGAGTGTACATGACTGTGTGTGCATAAGATTTCTGTGTTGAAGTGATGTACTATGTGCTTGTAGTACTTCACAGCGAAGGAGGTGCAAGAGAAAGAAGGAAAGAGAGGGAGGGAAAAAGAGGAAAGTTAAGAGAAAAAAGGGAGAAAAGAGAGGTTTGCAGCTGTGTCTTGATCCTTCCCGTGCAGCATGCCATAGGTGGGACTGGGAGTTTCTGGCCCCTCTATAGTATGGGGTTTCTCCATCTTCTTCAAAATATAAGAAAGACAAAACGTTTAAGTCACTTCGTGGTGGACTGGCTTCCTGGAAGTATGGTGTTCACATTGTAATGTCTACAATATAAGTAATTGCAACTTTAAAACTCATTATTCAGGTGAATAGTATTATATCAACTAATATTTACAGTATTAAATCAACAAAAACAGAGGACTCTACTCACTCCTGTTACTTTAACTCACTCCTGTTAATTTTCATATAAGTAACAGGACTGAAAGTTATAGGATTGAGTTAAGCAAAAAATTATCAAATGCATGACATATGGCCACATAGCATACATGCTAATAGCATGACGACACTGAGCAAATTCTAGTGACTTACCAAAAGTTAATATTTTTTAAATAAACAAATAAAATCTAAGAAATAATTTAGGTAACAGGACAGTATGTTGAGATTGACCTTCTCAGTCATATTTACAATTTCATAAAATATACAGAAATTAAAATGAGAGGACTTACTTATGGTCTTCCTATTGCCTTCAGAAGATCCAGATGATACAACTTCCTGTTGAAAATGTGTCTTGTGGAATATTCCAAGTTTTTCAGAGGGGGGGATGTGTTAGGGTAACAGGACTGAGTGAAAACCCGAGACACGACTAAAATGTGTATTTTATCTAAAATATTAGATAAAATATTTTTTCTCATGATTTTTCTTAAAGCATAGATTAGATATAAAGTCACACAACAATGCAAAAAAATTCAGATTTCTGAAGGATTTTAATAATTATATTTCATGTAAAGTTTAGAGATAGAGAGTGGGGAAATGCAGAAAATGCTATTTTTTAGTGTTCTATGTAGTTGTATTAATGTTTTTAACTATACATTTTAAATTTGTAGTTAGCTTAATGTGCAGGACATTTTGCCTAATAATAAAATGTATTTTAGAGTTCATTTTCATGCATTTTTATACATATAATGTCCTGGGGACAGAAATGTAACCCTTTCGGTGGAATGGCTCTTTTACAGTTTTACTAAATGATGATTTAACAAAAAATACAAAATTACTGTCAACGCGTTGTGTCTTTCTTCTGCTGAACACAAAGGAAGATATTTTAATGAATGTCGGTAACCAAACACACCACAAAATATCTTCCTTTGTGTTCAGCAGAAGAAAGAAATTCATACAGGTTTAAAACTTGAGGGTGAGTAAATAATGACAGAATTAAAAATTTTAAGTTAACTCCTTTAAGGCTCTTTATTAACTTGAACTGTTTTATAATAAAACGAATACTGTTATTCATAATAAATATTAATGTAAAAACATAATTGCATAGTTCAGTACTTTATGTACTTCCACCATGAAGCATACCAATACAACTATGGTATTAGTTGTACTGTGTCCACAAAGTACCACAGTACACTTTGGTAACTTTTTTGTTAGTGTTAGTCTTTGTCTCCAAATCTTAGCTGCTTTTCTTGTACGTAGAAATATTTTCATTAAATCCTATGAGGGTGATATATAGTGAATAGTTACTTTGTTTGCATTTTTATTGCAGTATAAACATTTGACCTCAGGATTCATTCTGTGGAGGTATAGCTCAGCTGTGCTTATTCACATTTTCTCTACTCCAGTTTTTCTTTATAAATCTGTTGAGCACTGTGTGATCATGAGGGACAACAAATAATAGGTATAGTGAAAACATCCTCTCCAAATGCAGGAGCTGGCCTTGTTTTATACTTTATTACAAAAACACAGCTTATGTTCTTAACTTTATAAATATAAATAATCTTAATATACAATTAAGAAATAATATCTTTGATATTTAATTTTAAAAAATCAACACAGACCCACTTTTATTATATATTTATTTTTTATGTTGTCATTGTTTTCAAACACACACACACATTTTAATTTCTAACTTGGAACAATAAACACAGGTCATCATAACTGTCATTTTTTTGCAATATATATATGTATATTTATATATATATATATTTTCCCAAGATGTTCATCCATATAATAGACATTGACAGATTTACTCTACAATTGAATTCATGTATGTCTGGTTACCAAATGGTTTCCTGTTACAATGTACTTCGTTCTGTTTAATGCAGTCCACTATAACTTATGACACAAATAAATACAAAATTAAATAAAATAACAACAACATAAAGTCAGATTGTGAAGATCGCATTACCCATTATCCTCCAGCCTAGTCCCTCCAAAAAGGCCAGACAAAAAGGGGTAATTCCTCCCCCCAAAAATCTCCATAAATCAAATAAATAAACAAATGAATTGTTATCAATACAGCAACTTGGTTCGATGCATTTCTAGACCTCCACAAAGCTATATGGAATCGCCCCCCTGGAATTCTGCTTCTTTATACTCTTTTTTCAGTCCCAAAAACCTTCGAAAATGATTTGAACTCTTGTAAAACTCCATAACTTTTCATTTAAAACATCTCTGAACTAATAGCAACCGATTAAAGTTGATATTTCAGTCTTTACAAGCTTTCTGAAAAACTCTTGACATGCTAACCTATAATAAGGCAGGGTTCAATTTCCAGTATTAGCCTACTCGGATGTCTTAGGTCACTGTTCTTATATTTAAAATTAAATTCTTGAAAAAAATAATGACTAAGCACAATGAAGCTGTGCTAAAGAGCCCCCCTGTGAAGCCTTAACTAATTTATAAAGTAAACAACTGAAGACTAAACAACTGTACGATGTGAGGAATGGAGAAATCCCTGTCCGGTAAAGTTCTGCGTCTTCATTGGTTCCCTCCCAATAAAGAAGAAGCAGCGTCTTTAACAGGCTGGCGTGACAAAACTACTCCCACCATCCCTCTCAATCCACACGGTTTTAAACAAAACATACAGTAAGTGCCAAGACAAAAGAAAATGTCTTCATACACTCACAAAGAAAAACAGTATAGCACACACATTATTTGTAGTAGTCCCCTATTAGAATCCTTTGATTAATTTGTCATGTTTGAGTCCTACCCCAATGCGTGTAGTTTATTAGTTACAGATCCCTTTAAAATGTTTACAACCCCCGGGAGAAAAATCTTTAGATTTGCCTAATATAATATAGAGATTCTCTATTTTGATATTATTAACATCTTATTCTAACTCCAGATTGTTTATTCCTTAAATGTGAAATCTAAAAAAAGGACCCCCTTCCCCCAGATGAAGCCCACACTACAACACAAAACAATACAGATTTGTTTGTTTTTTTGTTTTTTTCTTCTTAAACAGCTACAAAGTAATAGTTTCATTTTTAATACTCAGCATTACATATACAGACCTAAAGGAGAAGTTGTGCTATCATTGTTTCAGATATCAGGCCTGTGATTTGTCGGATCGTGGTTTCAAAATCCTTATCTTGTTAGCAATCACCATCACTTGTTTACTGATACTAAATATTCTAGTAAAATAAACATAGACCTGAAAACTATGCAGAGCGATAGGGGATTTCTTGAACTTTTGCTGGATGAGGCTTTTAAAAACCAGAGATCTGGGGAAATGTTGTCTCTTAACCTGTTTTTGATGGCAGTTGGCAGTATAAGCGAGATATAATAATATGGTCTTTGGTCATTTTTCATTAAAATAGCTCGACGCGAGTGGGACATAGGAGTGAATGAGCATGCAAAGATGAAAGAAAATGAAATGAACTAAGGCTATCTCCTTTTAAAGAAGAAAAATGAATGAAATGAAAATGAAACAAGCCGTTTGTTTGTTCAGAAACCATAAATACTAAATATTACAGTTAAAGGGATAGTTCACCCACAAAATGAAAATTCTGTCATCAATTAGTCACCCTCATGTTGTTCCAAACCTGTATACATTTCTTTGTTCTGTTGAACACAAAATACAATATTTTAAAGAATTAGGGATACTGAACAGTCCTGGGGCACCATTGACTTCCATCATATTTTTTTTTTCCTACTATGGAAGTCAGTGGTGCCCCAAAGCGGCCTGGTTACAAACTTTGTTTCAAAATATCTTCCTTTGTGTTCAGCAGGACAAAGAAATGTATACAGGTTTGGAGCAGCTTGAGGGTAAGTAAATAATGACAGAATTTTCATTTTTGGGTGAACTGTCTCTTTAATTCTGCTCTAATCATCAGGCTTTTCCATAAACACACCAATGGAATCATTCCTCTAGCCCCACCCCCTCAAACCAGTGGCTCCGCCTCCTGTCACAATCAATCTGCTAATCTATGCCCTCCCCCCAGGTTGCCATGTGAACAGCCTTTCTTTACCTGCAGAGGTCTAAGCAGCCTAATCTCTCAGGATGAAGCCGAAATACTCCACACACAAAATCTATTTACAGCGACGGGCAGCTAGAGGCAGAATCCAAGTGTGAAAGGAGGAAAGCTAATGGCGTTAACTAAGAAACGAGTATGGTGGGGGTGTTCACGTGCAGACGCACACTTCACGCCTGGCTTGCTTCTTGTCGACAGATTGGGCGGATGAGACTGAAGGGTGATGCTGATGGAGGCGTAGGCCTATATGTGTGCGAGAGCAAACCGAGAAGGGCACGGTGAAAAAACAAAAGCACATAAAGAAAAAAACCGTCCCCTCAGGTGCTTGGCAGTGTGTAAACTACAGCTGAACTCAACAAACAGGCACACAGAGAGGTGGATAATAGTGAGGGACACAAAAGTGCTCGCTGTGCACACGGCAGCAGCGTCAAGTCCTGAAACGACGTGGTCCCTTTCCTGCCTGCTTCACACACAAAAATATAATTTACAAATCTATTTCTAAAATTCAAAGAAAGACTAAATAAAAAGGCAGTATCTAGATTTAAGAGAGAGAACCACAGCTGTTGAAACTAGCTCACGTTGAAGTAGTAAGATCAACCTGTGTGCTTTCAGACGGATGAACTCGTGCATCGGTTTGGCAGTAGTTCTGCCGCGAGGAAGTAACACAGCGCATGGTTCTCTCACAGTCGGACCTGCAGTCTAACCAGTTAAAAAGCGACATCGAAAACAAGCTTTTTGTGCATGATACTATTTCCCCTTTTCGGTCAGTCCCACCCCCACACTTTGTATGGAGACTCTCTGGCCTTGAAAATCTTTACCAGCAGAATGAATCAGGTCCTGATTTCGTTTTGTTTCATGTCACTTACAGCGCAATTGAATCAAGTGATTTTTTTTTATATTTTTTTTTGTGCGATTAATTACGACCATTCATGTCAAAACATAGTTTGACTGTTACAAATACTTGAGGTTGTTTAAGACCTGTTTTGGAATTCTTTAAGATAAATACACTTACTCTGTTTGATAGACAGCATAATTCTACACTGCTATTAAGGAATGTTTAAGAGATAAGACACTAAAGACATCAAATTAAGATAAACATCTACAGTCATTGGTCCAGTCTGTTGTGGCAGTTCACTAATAGTGTAGGTACTGTTGGTAAGAAAGAAAGGGGGTTGAGGGGGCAACGTGTAGGTCTGAGATAGAGTGGATGTGATTTAGGAAAAATTTGGGGATATTAATTTAGTACCTCGGTTAAGAGAGTCCATAGCTTGTGCAAAAATACACCAATACTCAGTTAGCAAGAAATAGTGAAATAGAGCGTGCAAGATACAAACATCCAGATTAAGAGGCAGAAGTTTAAACCTGAAGCAAAATAAGTCTTACAAAACTTAAAAAAATATACAAATGCACACTCACACACAAACTACAAAAACCCATTATATCAGAATAAAACTCTACAAAGAACATTTGGAATATATACTGTATAATCTTATCGTATTTTAAGGGTTGTGATTTCTTTTTTATCGGTTGTCGTTGCCACAAGTAATCAGGAGTTTTGAGTATGAACAGTATTTCAGAAAAGCCGGAGGTATTTACAGAGGATACATGGCCACACACTCACTGACAGGACAAACGAGGAGTGACAGGGGCCCAGCTGTGAGGCAGTGGGGGCAAGAGGGCTCGGGAAGGGGCTGATTTAGGCTCTTTGAGGGCAAATAATTTGATTGTTGTGAGAAGTCATTTTTTCTCATCTTTTTTGGGAGGGATTTCTCTGTGGCTTGGAATCGGGCGTTCATGAGCTCAGAGTGGGGTAGGAACATTGCGCTTTTAGGTGCTGAAGTACACTGTGAAGAGAAGGAAATAATTTATTGTCAACACTTGAAAATCACAATAAGAAATATAATTATATAACATGAGTCACTGTGGCCCGGTTTCGCAGACACGGCTTCGACAATGATGTACTAAAAACTGAAACGTTTTTCCTTAAAACATTTTTCGCGTACAAATCGATCCCCGTTGATATGGATCCACGAAAACAACTAAAAACACTCTGTTCTACTGCCAAGCCAGTAGTTGGCGATGTCGCTTTGTAAAGAAACAATACACCCCAGTTACAAATTACAAATTTGTGTTTGTAAAGAAACTAATAATGTTACCTGCACCCTGTTTCCCAGATTATTTGTCAGCTAAAGTCCCGCAGATGACAGCTCCTTTTGTTAAAATTACAGGTCGTATGTGTGCATTTTTATATCCCTGCACTGCGTATGGATAGCCAGGTCGAGCCCAGTGCAGTATGGGTGTTGAACTTTCCCTACTTTTCTGGCAAAAGAGAACACCATAGCCTCTTTCTCTGTTTTCTCTAGTCGTGTAGCACTGATTTTTTTCTTTTTTTTTCCTTTCTACCATAGATAACCAAATTTTATTTAAAGCCCATCTTCTCAGCGGCAAACAACCCCTTTAAATCAATCTATGGAATACATTTTTTAAAATTACAAACTAAGTAATTGTATTTAAACCAGAACATTCCTTTAAAAATGAATTAGAAGATTTTCATTGCTTACCAATGATTATTATGAGGACAATCACACATATCACCCCCAGGATAATCATCATCTAAAGAAAAGAGTTAAAAAGAGGGAGAATGAGTTAAAAGCAGTAAAAAGTAGATTATTAAGATCTAACATTCATACATGTGATCCAATAATGTGTTATTGGCAGGTACTGTTTTCATTTAAATATTATTTTAAAATATATAATATAAAGGACTTTCATTTCAAAACAGTACACTGATTTAAGGTTTACTGTTTGCTTGATTTCGATGTGTTCTCATGAAATACATTGCCTTTTTCAGTCTTACTCAAGGCACTTTGTGTGATGTTTACCTTGGCATTCTTCCACCAGTATTTATTCTTGAGCTTGGCGGCGCTGGTCTCGAACTGTGAGGCTCCAGCCTGCAGGGCATCAGCCCGATCATCCAGTTCTGACAGCTTCTGGTCCCTCTCCAGAACCTTGTCCACGTTCACACGCATAATGTCCACCACCTGGAAAACGATGAAGGGGACTCTTAGTCAAATGTTCCATCCCTATATACATCTGTTGTGCGGTGGTGTTTCAAAATGAGGAGGCGAAGTCCTCACACTTATATATATAGAATATAATATTTATATATACCAGGAAAACTAAGTGTAACAGGCACAAATGGACATCTGGTATATATATATATATATATATACCAGATGTCAATTTATCCCTGTTACGCTTCATTTTCCTGGTTAAATAAACATTACATAAAAAAGAGATCTTGGACAGTGTTACTTTATAAAAACACTTTTTAATGTCACATTTTGTAATATTTGTGTTGTTTTATTTTTGTAATATTTTCTCATCCAGTTTATTTTAGGAGACTGTCTCCCTTGCTTCCTCGGAGGAAACACCGGTCTGGTTGTCATAAAGAGATGGGGTCAACTCACCTCATCCACCTGAGCCTGTGTCTGCTGTAAGCGACGGTTGCTGGTGAGGTTAGGAGGAGCGTTAGCTCCTTCTGGAGCACCGGCAGGGGCTGGAGCAGACCTGCAAATCAACACACAGTACAGTCACTCCTCTATACTACAATATTACAGTATTACTTATACTATATAATAATACATGTTTGTATTTATTAGTACAGTGATTTATAGAACACATTTGCATGCATTGTCATAAATTATTAGAATAGAATAGCCATTTTAAATTTGTTTTCAAATTTCAATTTCAGGTAATTACTAAATCAGTTACAATAAAGACCTATTTGTACAGGAAGTTATGTCTTAATTGTCATGCAAGCAAGATTACATACAATTATATATTGTTATTGCACCCTCATGCAGACTAGCTGCCGCTGTTCACTCTCTTACCTGCCATTTTTGTAAAGACTAGAGTGAAACTATTTGAAATGTATTTTAATCATTGTTGTAATTACATTAAAATGTTCTGCCTTTCACTAACAGAAATGAGAAGTGTAAGTAAAAGGATATTTCTGAAAAAGTCTCCTTGCTAATGCCACTCTCATCCACCAGAGGAAGACAAAACTCTGTATAAAGGTCACCTCTGGAAGATCCCTAGATCTAATCCCTGTTTGCTTTCCTTTCAGGGAAGGAAATACTTTTTCTCACTGGGATCTTTACCAGCCATTTTTCTCATTCTCATTCTCAAGTTCCTTCTAATTTACAACAGCCTATATTTAGACATAAAGTCTTGGCAACTCAGATTTATATTTTGACGTCTAAAATCCATTAAAACAAATCATGATTCTTTGAAAGTCGACTTTAATCAATTAAACAAATCAGAAACAAATGTATTACTGCTTGTTTTCTTTTTTATTTCAAATACATCATAGGCTTTGAGAACAAATAGTCTGTGATTCAGCTATGATTCAATGCTAAATTAGCAGTAGTCAGATTTAGGTGTAGACAAAATCCTAGTAGTTTCATTATCTGATGGCTGCGATGAAAATTTCTCAAGAAAAATAAAATGTGTTATGTGTCATGCCTTCTCTAATGTTATGCGTCATGTATGAGTTTAATGAAATGACACACCAAACATTGTACTGTGCCATCAGAAAAATTGCCTTGCATAACCAGGCCTTTTTTCCGGTGCTCACTGAAAGATTAGAATTGTGTGAGTGAGAAAGCATTGTACATTTACTGTAGTTTTACATGAATATGAGGTTAATCAATTGTTTCTGTGCTCTTCCTTGTACTTGAGTGGTAAAGGCAGGGTCATATGAATGATGGGGAACATCCCCACCCCCACACAAGGCCTTCATTAAGCGTCTACCTGTATCGCTGTCATCGTTGCGTCACGATCAACATTTTTTCAAATAACAGGACCAGATGTTTACACTTGCTAATGCTACCAAATGACATTTATCTATTTTTACATTGTGTAGGCAAATGTTACAACCAATACAACAGTAGGCTATTAATTCAAAATGTTATATCAAAATATCACATTCCAGACCCAGTGCCTTAATAAAAGTATCCAACAGGGCAGGGACTGGCAACATATTATGAAGATATGCGCCATTTACAGCCTCGATTATTTAAACCAGTTAAACGAGCGTGCCTAGAAAATACTAGTATACACGGCCATCTTTCATGCAGAGGAACACCTGCGCCCTTTGTGCCAGTCTAACCAAATATCAATGAATATAAAGGCCCGGTTCCATAGAAACGTGCTGAGTGGATTAGAGAATAATATAACTCGAAAATATAACAAATTGTATCGCCCCCTTTGACTGAACGCGAGCACATGACCGTCCGTTTACCAACCCCCACGACTCGCGTGGAATATCACGCCTCTAGTTTACTGCCTACGTAAGGGGTGTTTTTTTTTTTTTTTAAACCGTGTGAGGTATATTTTTCATCATCTTCATCTAAATGTCATTTGTGAAAATATAGGCCAGGAATGGAATACAGTGGGCCTTGGGCTAATTGAGACAAATTCATGTTTTTTTTCTTCCAATTGACATCGAAATGATCATCTGGACAGAGTGGACAAATAGCCTATATTAATTGCAACAGCTACATAATGTTAACTCATAAATTATTTTCTTTCTAAAAGCGCGCGACCAATTCCAGTCAAACCAGTCCAATCCGGTGTCTAGGCGTGATTCTATCGCTGTCGCTCCAGTCCATAAAGCGAAAGATATCTACATCATACTAAATAAATGAGTTCCGTGGTAACAATTTAGTAAATAGAGACACATTTAGTATGCCAGTAGTAGCAACTGAAATGGAAAAAACATTGGCCATTGGGAGCGACTATATTATATAGCAAGCGCGCTCGTGAGAATTGAGTGGGTCTCCTGAAATACGTAATAGATGTAGAAGAATGCGTATATACAATCAAATATAAACTTACAATAGCCTAATGAAGTATGCTTATTTGTGCATAAATGTATTTACGTGTATGTTTTATTATCCATGGCAGCATAGTAATAACTGAGAAAAGAATGAGGTTTTAAAACTAAATCAGATAATTTAAAAAATAAAATAATTGTAGTGAATTTGTACTCACATTTTAACCGGGTTTTATGTGCGTCTACAAGAAGTGTGGATGAACGCGCTGCTTCAGGCGTTTCTCCCCGTCTCCCGGATAAATAATGCACTCTCCAGGTTATTCCAGTAAAGAGGTATTCCTTGTATATTTGTTACGGTTTGTATTTATTTATTTCCACCTGTGTGCCGCGCCTCGCTATTATTCCTTTTATAATAAGGGCGCTCTACCGCTACTCGCTTCTGTCACTATGTACACATAAAAAATAGATGCTCGGATTAGGGGAACAAAGATGGCTCGTTGACGTCACTCGTCATCCGGGAAGCTGCAGGTTGGAAGCACTGACCATGAGAGACAGGAGATGGAGGATGCATTGCATGTTGACAGTATGACTAGATGGGACAGGTCATGTTTATGCTATACGTGTGGAACGCATTAAGACGGATATGTAAGAGGACATGGTAGGGGGTCCATGGATTGTATTTGCACAACATGCCCTGTGTTTCATTTATTAATCAGGATTGTTGAAACAAACAAAATGGCGGTCTATGAAGGGGGTGAATGGGCTTCGGGCGGCTGCGTATGGTCACTGGTTGGTTACCTTCTGGGGAAAATGGAAACAAGATATCACTTTAAAACCTTGGAAGCGGTATAGTATTAACATATCCCAATAGCACATGGGTCACCAATGCAATTTCATTTTAGCACTAGAATTAGTGAATGTTTCTTAATATTTCGGGTCTACTTATTGTGCCTTACGTTGTTATCTACTGAATGACATATATATGTCTTTAAAGTGTAATAGTACAAAAAATAAATATCAAAACTGTTTGGCAGCGGTGGGATTCGAACCCACGCCCCCGAAGAGACTGGAGCCTTAATCCAGCGCCTTAGACCGCTCGGCCACGCTACCATTGAATGTAGTTGTTTGTCTACAACTGTAAAAAAACGAAATGTTATACCAGTATCTTGAAAAGTGTTTTAATTTTGTTTTATATTCAGGCGTATATATAACTGTTTTCGTTCTTATCATCCATAAGGAAAAGTACTGATAGTCGTTGTTTATTATAGCAGTCACATATTATGATCATGACACTTAATTATCAAAGTGACAACATCGCTCTACAGGTTATTTTAAAATAATGATATAAATAATGTATCCTTAATTTATAATAATAGGTGGCCACGATAATATGGTTATTTGACCACTAGATGACGCTATATGCATACTTGCCTACAAGAAAAACGTTATAATACAAATGGATGAAACGATAACATAAATGCAAATCTACCATTGTTTTAAGCCTTAAAAAATATTTTATATAATGTAATAGAACGGTGCTTCTACACTCACTTCTACAAGTGTGCCCTTGATCAGTTCGTCTGCTTGGAACTTTGTATTAACATTTAAATTCTGGAGAGTGACTCACTCAGCTTCCGAACACCCACAGCCCGTCAAGCCCCCTCCCCCTCCCCCTCCCCCTCCCTCCCGTTGTTATTTTTTAATTAAATAAACGCACATTTTACGTGTTTTATAAAATACTTCGATGTAAATATGAAATAGTATATGTGTATGTATTCATTTAATGGGTACACGAATCTATTTGTGAATAAATAGCGAAAAGACCATCGATTTTAAAATCTACCAATGGGATCGCAGGAAACACAAGTATGTTAACATGAGAGCGGAAAGAAACTGGATTTAACATCTATAGTTTACCCTTTTAAAAATCACAAAAAGCAATTATCTGCTACTATTCATGATATGTATGATGAAATACTTGTTTTGTATTTTGAATCCCTTAACTGAGTTAGAATCACAACCATGATTTAAAACACATGCTGGGTTTACAAAACCATCTCGAGACCTCATGGTTAGTACGTCAGTGAGGTACATCCTTACCTGTTACCTTAGAAATAAGGTTTCAGTACATGATGATTGGATTCTATGAATGCGTGATTATTTTCCGTGTTTGTTAAGGGCTGCAACCCCTTGACGAATCCTTTCTGAACCTGCTTTATATTTGTGTTTTGAATATCAGAAACTTTCCATTGACTTATTAAATGGGGCTTAACATTTAATATGTAGTATAATGTGGTCTTGATGTAAATGATGTTCATCTGATGCAGAATATATTTGAAAGAATAATTATTTCGTGTGTACTGTGCCTTTTTCACGGTGTTTTTTTGTGATTGGGGTGGCGATGGCGGGAAGACGAGGTGGCCGAGTGGTTAAGGCGATGGACTGCTAATCCATTGTGCTCTGCACGCGTGGGTTCGAATCCCATCCTCGTCGAATTGTTTTCAGGAAGTTGTTATGCTACATCTAAACAGTATCAGGTAACAGGAAAATGCAATGAGTGAGAATGTTTTCCATCTATCAGTTTCCAAGGTTTATAGTACTTTTATGAAAAGTACAAAGGTTTGTGGGAAATCCACTTTGTTCTACACAAGAAATGCTCATGCTCTGGTAATCCAGCTGCTTTTGACACTGATAAAACCCCAAATACATATCTAAAACAGGTGATCATTATGTGTTTTGAAAAAACTACCTTATATGATCGGCTTACAGGCGCCGTGGCTTAGTTGGTTAAAGCGCCTGTCTAGTAAACAGGAGATCCTGGGTTCGAATCCCAGCGGTGCCTTTTGAATTTCGCAAACCGTTTGTTCAATACGAAACTGGAAAAAAGACACCAGTAATGCGTTTGTTGAGAACGTACGATATATTAGGATTTTGTGAAAAGGTGACCAGTTAAAAAATGTCCGAAGACCGTTTAAAAAATGGTTCAAAGATATGGTTTTGTTTGAGATCTGTGCTCTGCAACATGCGAAACGTTAAAGGAGTCAGGATAGCCTCCTAACTTTGAAAACGAAATTGGCAGCGGTGGGATTCGAACCCACGCCTCCAGAGAGACTGGAGCCTAAATCCAGCGCCTTAGACCGCTCGGCCACGCTACCATTTGTAGCCATCCAGAAAATGGTTAACAAATAGATACAATATTCTATTTCTGTTTTTTTGTAATTGATTTACGAATGACTAACGTTAATGTGTTTTGAAATACAAAAGAATCTGTTTTTCTATAAGCGTTTCCTCTCCATGACATGACCCGATGGTGTCAGTGTCCACATATACTTTTCATTTAGGCTTAAATAGCCTATTATGAAACAAATAGACAAAACGTATAAATAATAAAAAATAAGTAAACAAATCAGTTGTTTTTATGTAAAAAAAGAAAAAAAAAAGTGAGCATGTAATAACTGTGTCATTCTTTATTCTGGCCTCCACATTTATTTTATTTAAAGAATTTAAATCTCACATTAGCTAGCCTACAATTTATAAACAAGGACATGGTTTACTTTATTTTAGAAATTATCCATCACTGTGATAAAAAAAACATGAATGTAAGGGTAAATTATTAAATGCATTTTTTTTTTTAGACTTTTTAAATCAAGGTGCTGAAGCTGCATGGCGGAATGGATCATATAGATCTTGATTGAAGTCATATGGGTCATAGGTTGGAACTGGAGCATTTAGGATTTCTTCGTTCCTTGTTTCCGGTTTTAACTTCTCAGCTGGGAGCACTGGTTGCGGTTCGATCATCTTTACTGGCCTGGGAGGACTGTCGATGAGGCAGTCAGGGTCCCAGTAGGGATCACAGTCATACTCCATTCCTTTGATAATTATTGGAGGAGGAGGAGGAGGTGGAGTGGATTTTTGTGGAGGAGAAGGGGCATGCGTCACTTGCTCTGGGGCAGTTACAGATGGAGACGGGGGCTTCTGGACAGGGCTAAGTTTACAGTTTGGGTGGTAACGTGGATCGCAAAGTACAGGTACCCCACCGGTGGGAAGGTACACAATATGTGGCTTGCATTGGGGGTCTTTTGAATTACACAGGTACATGACATCCATCTTAGAGACAGGTGGTAAGGTAGAGGGTGGAGGCTGGGTCGTGGGTGGAGGCGTTGACTTAAGTTGAAGACCGAGGGAATTCTGGTATTTGGGTGCATCAGGGCCATAAGTGAGCTCCAGATGTCGCATCTGCTGGTAAAGCATTCGAAGTTTGTCTATCTCATAGAGCTAGAAGAGAAAAATAGAAGGTTGAAATAAAGCACTTTTGTGCAGTTCAGTAGACAATACTTCTGTTTTTACTTATAGTGTATTGCTGGCTGAGGCAAAAGCTTAAAGGGACAGTTCACCCAAAAATGAAAAAATCTGTCATCATTTAAATCACCCTCACATCATTCCAAATCCATGAGAGTTTGGTTAATCATTGAAAACTTAGATGATCCAACACGGAAGATCCAAAACTTGGATTAAACTGCTAAATTTTATGGATTATTTTTGTGAAGCCTTTGTAACCTATTGGATCTTCTAAGTTTTTGTTACCTGGACTTTCAATAGAGGGACAGAAACTTTTCAGATTTCATTGAAAATATCTTCATTTTTCATTTAGAAGAGTAAACAAAGTCTTATAGGGTTTGGAACGATAGGGTGAGTAGTAAATGATGACAGAATTTTCATTTTTGGGTGAACTATCCCTTGAAGTACCGATATTACTTAAAGAATAACTCAAAACAATATTTTATCAGTTATCAGAATCATAATTTGAGGAAGAATTATTAATATTTTACTAAATGAATATAACATTGGTCTTATTTGATTAGATTTAGACCAATTTATTTAATAGGCATCATTAATTTAATCAAGAACAGCAATTTACTGCTAATAGTACCAGTGGATTGTTTTTAAATCAATAATAAGTTTTTTTTTAAAACAACGTAATGTTCTTCTTACCCCTTCAGTGTGGCCAATACTGCTGTAGTAACGATAGTAGGACTGAAAGTCTGGATTTTTGCGATGCCAGTTGGGGTCAGTGGCTCTCCTTGGACGTGCATGTGCCAGAAAATCATGGGCTTGTTCAGAGTCAATGCTGACGGATGGATTAGATGCTGCAAGAGAAATTAGTAATAATGCATAATTAAAATAGCTATTATTTTGGAATAGTCTAGAAGACGATTTTCATACGCGAATGGTGTTGCATGGCAAAAGTGAAGGCACTAAATGTGATTTGAGATATTTCAATCTTACCCATGTCCTTGGAGACTTTTGCTAGAGATGTGGCCTGCGACACTGCAAAAATATGTAAAACGATATTTAATATGTATTTAGCTGAATATTCATTTCTTGAAAAAGGTTTTGGATATAAATAATCATACCTGGCAGAATTACCAAGCAGTGCAGAGCCCCAAAAAGGCACAGCAGATATGTCACCTGAAAACAGTTTTTTGTACTATTAACAATCCTTATTTTATCATACAAACATTGAAATAGATCTCCTACAACATTTCCTCAACTGATTAGTCTGATCTGTTGAAACTTACTAGTCGATGTTAATATAAAAAACATTAACTACATATGTGGCACTGCTAGATTAATTGGAATACATACTAATTGCTATAACAAAATGGCATGTAAATTAAGGTATATACATCTAAGCATTTGGTTTAGCATGCGTAATTGACTAACTTCTTAACTTTGAAAACTGAAAGACACACAAAATCACTCACCTTCTGTCTCATCTTTGGTCTCTGTCCAGATATGAGAATTTCAAATATCAAAGCCTTTAAATACTGGACTCAATACCAGCAATTGCATCCTTACATTTTATTGGCTGTGGAGATCAATAGGCTCCTCCCTCTTGTTTTACCAAACAGTTTATTTTTACACACACTTTAAAATCATTTAAAACTTGTCACCTACTTTATGGGCCAAAAAATAATAAAAGTTCAACTGAAACTAAAGGTCAAGAACTTGTAAAATGTATATTGTGTGTGTTTCCCCTTTTTATTTACAGTCTCAGTTACATAAATAGGTTTTACCAGTAAGGTTTTACAGAAACCTGTTAGAACAGATACATCTGCATTTTGTTTGATTGATCTTATGGCATAAATCACACCATTAAGGGATCTATTATGTATATGACATGTTGTAAATCTGTTCCCTCAGGCGTGTTTTTGGTACAGGGTCGAGAAGTCACTACAGTTTCAACATCTCCGCTGTCTGGTTTGAAAAATAACTCAGATGTGTGTGTTCAGGTGATGATAACATAAGCACCCTTGTCTTAAGAGACGCCGCACAAAATTAAACCTTTACTCCAACAGAAACAGCTGGAGCTCTAATTTTGGACTCGAGAACAAAAAATACATATCTTGAACCAAATACCTCTTGAAAATACCAAATCTTCTGAACTTTTACACTGATTATTTAAAGATTAGGTAAAGGTTTAATATGTTTATTGAGGAAAGGGGCTATAAGTCACAACTATGTTTTTGCATTGCATTATTTTTTGCATAATGCATTATGTTGCACATGTGGCGGCAGGAGAGAAGAAGGATCAGAGCACTTGAAGGCGGAGAAAACTAGAGAGCAGTTTGCCAAACAGGTGTGATCGAACAGAGCTGGAATCTGAGATATGCAGGAAAACAGAGGGTAGCCTATGATGATAATGATCAAATAACAGGAGGACTCAGCATCAAGCTGTTATTGCACACAGGTCCTGTACGTTCAGCCTCTGTTCACTCTCATCCTCATGAGAAATAATAAAAATGATCCCTATTATTCACCCATTTTTTACATTCACCCTTCAGTGCAGTCATTCATCTATCACATGTCTGTATTTGTCAAAAGCAAGATTCAGATTTAAGTTCTGGACATTTTATCTGAAGACAAATGTAACGAACATGTATAAACACTACTGATAAGAACATTGAGCAAGTAAGGCATCTTTCAGTGTCTGTGTTTTGTGATTTTACCTGACTGACTGCTCAATCACCTATTACGCATTGTGTGCCGCCACCTATAGACTTAAGCACCTTTCCTCTACATCAAAATACATTTATAAAAATATAAAATAACTTAAAAACATACTTTAGAATCATTTGCTGTTCATTTTGAGAGTAGCTTCAGACTATTTAGGCGTCGTTGTCGAGGAGCAGTTTATGCTCCAACTCAGTAGATGGCAATAACGTTCCTGTCACTGTCAGTACGCGAGAGTTCACGAAGAAGAACAAACCGGCTGTTTACAGTCACGAAGCTAGCAGAAATGAAACATTTGAGCAGTTAAACGGGTTAATTTTGTCCTATTTCAGAATTCAAATGACGGCGGAAGAGAGAGCAGACTGATTTGTAATAATATGAAACAGAATCGTGTGTGCTGAAGAAAATGATAAGTCAAATCTTCATCTTGTCATCAAAGGGAGATCATCTCATATATAAAGACTGTATCCTTACGACTGGTTTATTATTTTTGTGAGATGTAGGTCATGTGTTTAACGTTACACTACAGGTCAAACGTTTGGAATAATTCAGATTTAAAAAAAAAAAAAATTCGAAAGAAGTGTTCACCAATGCTGCATTTCAGTTGGTGTAAAATACAGTAAAACAATAACTATTTGAATATATTTCAAATGTAATTTATTCCTGTGATGGAAAAGCTGAATTTTCATCATCATTAGCCTAATCCAGTCTTCAGTGTCACATGATCCTTCGGAAATCATTCTAATATGCTGAGTTGCTGCTTATATCAGTTATTATTGGTGCTCGGTTATTAATAATAATATAGCTCTTATTATTAATCATATTGAAAATAGTTTTTGCTGGATAACATTTTTTAAACTTTTTTTTTTCAGGATTCTGGAACAGAACAGAAAGTTCAAAAGAACAGAATTTATTTGAAATAGAAATCTTTTGTAAAATAATAAATGTCTTTAATTTTTCTTCATTAATTTAATGTCCTTGCTGAATAAAAGTATGAATTAATTTGTACAAATTTTACTTAACCCACACAAAAATATTAAGCAGCACAGCTGTTTTCAACATTGATAATAATAAGAAATGTTTCTTAAGCAGTAAATCAGCATATTCGAATGATTTCTAAAGGATCATGTGACACTGAAAACAGCAGAACATTCAGCTTTGCATTACAGGAATTTTAAAATACGTTAAAATTGAAAATTGTTCTTTTAAATTGTAATAATATTTCACAATGTTACTCTTTTTATTGTTTGTGATCAAACAAATGCAGATTTGATGAGCAAAAGAGACTTCTTTCAAAAACATTAAAATAATTGAATTATTTAAATGGTAGTGTGTATCTCTCTGGTTGGTTGGTACAAAAATCACATTATAATGAAGCCCGGCCTGTAGTGCTTTTAAGAGTCATATGCCAAAATCTTTAATCATTTCTACATATCAGAGTTTCTTAATTCTGTGTGTCAGTTCGAGGAGAGGCCAGTAAAGACTCCATCAATGTATTCTATGAGATGGTCACAGCTCTTAGTGGGGATCAGCCTCCGGTTGTCATGGTAATATTTGGGCATCTGATGTCTGACTAGTTGTTTTGAAAATAGAATGATATTGCAGTGCATTGTTTTGACTGTGTACCTACAGTTTTTTTTATCTTGTTGCAGACACACAAAGACCATCATTTCATCCATGTAAGGCAGGGTGGGCTTTACTGGGTTGCGTCCACCAAGACAAACCCATCCCCCTTCACCATAATTGAGTTCCTTAACAGGTTAACAAATCTTTATTTGATCAGTTATGCCATATTATTTTTATTATTACAGCTATTTGTTACCTGTGTAGATGGCATGATGATAAGCAGCTGTTTTATGTCTCTCAGATTAGCAGCTCTTACCAAGGACTACTGTGGCAGTTTGTCAGAGAAATCAGTGCGGATGAATTTTGCTCTAATTTATGAGCTGCTGGATGAGATGGTGGTAAATGTTCTCACTCTTTAATTTTTGTTGTCACATTAAACAAATATGTCTTAAAAGCACACCAACTTTATATATCCTTCCTCTATGTCTGTGATCATCAGGACTTTGGCTACATACAGACGACCTCAACTGACATACTGAAAAACTTCATCCAGACAGAAGCTGTGTCATCCAAACCCTTCAGTCTCTTTGACCTCAGTAATGTTGGTTTGGTAAGTTATATTTGTGTTGTTATGGTCTTTTATGGCATCTTGTTATGTTATGCTTCTTGCTATTAATTTTTTTTCTCACATGTTTTATTTCTACATATATTAGTGTTTTTAAAATAATAATTATAATGGTCTCCATTATAACAGTTAATCTTACTTTAAAGCAGTGGTTCTCAATATCAACCTTACTTTTATTTAGGAACCAGGAGTGGCAATATATTAAATAAAATCATTAAAATCCATAGTTAAAATAACAATGTTCTTTACGATTTACACTTTTTATTATCAATTAATGACTTGATTACAGGTTTTCTTTTTAATATTTTTGTACAAATAGCGATTTCTACACGATAAAATATTTTAGAAGATGACAAAATGTAAAAACGTTTCCGTTGCTTAAAGTAAAATGAGATTTTTTTCAGCTACTTGTCAAATCAACATTTTTCTTTTTCATTTAGTTTTACTTGAAGCACTAAAATAACCTAAACTAAAACTGAAATAAAAATGAACAAAAACTATATAGAACTATTTTTAAAAAACAAATACTAATTAAAATGTCATGCAACAAAATTATTGAAAGTTTAACTAAAATGAAACTGGACTATTTATTTAGAAGAAATATGATTTCAGCTTAAATCTCGGTTTTTAGCTGTTTTATAATTTTAAATCTTGATTTGTCTTATTTGAATTCATTTTAAGCCACCTTGGAAGTGTGCTGAGTCCCCATAATGGGCCCTGGCCTCTTAGTTGAGAACCACTGCTTTTTAAGGCATTGTATAAACATTTAAATTTTCATATTTTGTAGTTTGGGGCTGAGACGCAACAGAGTAAAGTGGCCCCTAGTGTTGCAGCCAGTCGTCCTATAATGTCCAGTCGAGGAGAGCAGGTGGGTTTTCCTAGATTCGTCAGTTTTACATGTTATCTGTGATGATCTTAGGAAATTAGTATGAATTTTCTCTCTCTCTGGCTGCAGGGTGGACAGAATGAGATCTTTGTGGATGTAATAGAGAGGTTGTCTGTGGTTATTGGCTCCAATGTGAGTATAACTTGAATCATGTTTTGAAATAAAACTGCTAATTGCTTTCTTCACTTAAATCGCTTATCTTTTACATTTTATGCTTATTTTAAAGGGAGTTTTAATGAAAGCAGATATTCAGGGAGAGATAAGAATAAAATGCTTTCTTCCAACCTGTTCAGGTGAGTCGGCTACATCTTGCGACCCATGTTAATGCAGATTGTGAAATGATCTTCCCTTCAATGATTGTATATTTCTTTTCTTCATCCTGTAGAGATGCGGATTGGACTGAATGAAGAGCTTAATATTGGAAAGTCCCAGCTGAAAGGTTGAGTATGCAACACTGATCAATACACATACACTACACATATCTTTTATTAAAGGTGCAGTAAGTGATTTCTGAGAAACACAGTTGAAAGTGGGTCAGACTCAGGGGCGAAAATTTCATCAAAATGTTGGGGGGGACAATAAACATAACAATTCTCAAGAGCAATTTTTGAAGGGGACACCAATAATACAGGCAAAATTGTACTTGCAAGGATATGTGTACACCGAGGAAAGCCTTACTACTATTATTAGTGTAGCATGGAGACCGTTCCATTATCCTTCTTCTCAAAGTTTCTTTCTGGTTTAATGAAAAAGCTGACTAAATTGACCAAAAAAATTATTCAAAACCATAATTTTTTTGTAAATAAGTTGTTTAGTGTAAACAACTTATTTACAAAAAATATATGGTTTTGAAGAATTTTTAGCCGGGTTTTCGCCTGGAAGGCTCTATAGAAATCTGGCACCCTATTGAACGAAGTTAAACTGAGAGAGAGTGCGTTCACAGACACCAGAATGAACGCGTTCACAGTAACGTTCATTAGGCAGTAATACAGCACGTTCAGTTCACGTTCGCCCAAAATATGAACGAGTTCATGAACTATCGTTCAATGAACGCGTTCAGTCACAACACTAATTAAATGATATAAACCGACTAAATCACAGTGAAAGCGTTAAAATCTAAATGCGCACCCGGGCTAGTCTAATCTACAAGACTAACGTGTTACATCACGTAGTGTATGCATACACTCTATGGGCGTGGGTGTGTGTGTGGGGATATACTGTATTAAACAAGCTAGGTAAACGTTAAACGTTATAATCGCTAACATAGCAGACTACATCAGTGACAAAAGTACATTAGTACACAATATATTTGTTTTTTACATGATTTATTAATGACTCAGCATCATCTATATTAAAGAGAAAATAATCACTTCATCCGATGTTTAAAGTGAATAAAATAACATTGACTTACTGGAGTTCCACAACTACTCAAAAACATAGTTCATCTCTCCCGCCACCGGAATGTGTGTGTGTCGGTGCTCGGTGGTGAGGTAAAAGGGGCGGAGGCAGTGGACCAAAGCACTGTGAGGAAAGGGAGGGGGGACTCAAAATGTTTAAAACGTTTTTTTGTTTTTGCCCCGTTTGCATTTGTATTATTTTATTTCGTAAACAATTATTTTAAGAATATATCATTATTTTATTTACAACACACATATTTTAATGATATTTTAGGGGGGACAACCCTCAGATAGGGTGGGTCCTGACCCCCCCCCCTCGACCCCCCCGCGATTTCCGCCTATGGTCAGACTAAAAACCAATAGGCAGTAGGGGGCTTATAGACTCGTCATGATGGGTAAGGAGAGAGTGAGCAAGAGGAATATTTGAAGAAAGACTGTAGAAAGAGAGGTGGCTGAGAGACATTACAAATGAGAAAGGTCAGAGGACTATCACTGGAAAAAGAAGGGTTAAGATCAGGCAAGAGCTTTAGGACCCGCGTTAATATTAGAAAAGCTTTCCAGTGCTGGAAAGATCAATGCTGCAAAGATCAAAGCGGGAAGGCTGGAACATGGACACAGAGATTGTGTTGTTTCTGCTCCATTTGTGAGTAACATTGGTTTTGCTATGTTTCACAGAACCAAGATATGCTGTTGTTGTAATGCGAGCTATAGTAACAGGACAGTTTTTAGTGTCATTGTTTGTCTAACAACAAACTCTTGCTTGTATAGACTCTAGTGTACAGTATGTTCATTTTTGGTTCTTCCTTGTCATTCGTTCATTATCTTCGCTTTATTTTTTCGCAAAGCATTATTTTGCTTCATCTCAGCTATGATAAAGAGACTTTACATTGCGTGTTTGTGCATTTTGGAGCGGAGCAGTGAAGGGAGGGGTGTGTTTGTTTGGGTTGATTTTGAATATCAACAGTGTTTCTCAGTAATGTCTTACTACACCTTTAAAAATCTGTTTCCTTTTATTCTTCAGGCTATAGTTCAGCTGTGCGTGTAGATGAATGCAGATTCCACCAGGCTGTTAAACTGGATGAATTTGATACTTTCAGAATATTGAAAGTTTGTCCCAGCCAAGGAGAGGTAAATTGTTGCTACATACACAGAATTGCACTTTAGTGTAATTACTGCATGGATAGTTAGTGATGTTTTTTCCTCTTCAGCAAACAGTGATGCAGTATCAGCTGTGTGACGAGCTGCCGTGTGCACCACCATTTCAGTTATTCCCCTCTATAGAAAAAGATTATGTCAACAGGTCTGTAAACTGATGTATATTTCATTTTGTCCTTTTCATACATAATGTTTTACATTTAAATGATTTTTAATGCAATTGTGAATTCATTTTAATTTAACTTTAAATTAAGTTCATTTATTTTCATCGTGAGTTGGAGATTTAAGACAACATGAGTGACAGAAGTTGAACTGATTATTATTAATAATGAATTGCTCTATTTATTAAAAATTAGTGACTCTGTCATATTGTATAAACACCTCTCGATTGTGGTACAATCACTGTAATTATTGCTTTAATGGATTTTTCTTTGCAGGGTGTTGATCTTTCTTAAACTTCGCTGTGATCTTCCACCTAAAAGGTTAGTCGACATGCTGCATAGTGCATATAATAAGCCATACCTTAGATGAGTGTGAAAAATGGCATAATCAATTCATCAAAATATGTAAATAATAGCACTCAGTTACATCACAAGTAATGTTCTTTACTTTTTTTCTGCAGTACGGCACTTAATGTTTCCATCACCGTGCCTGTGCCTAAAGGCTCTGTAAGGTCAGATTATGCATCGTCATGATTATTAGTGTAATGCAGTTTTATGGACCATGTATAGCCTCTTATGCTTCACCATCCTGTACAGTATGTCTCAGGAGCTCAGTAGTCCTGACCAGACTGCGGAACTGCAGCCGAAGAGCAAAGCCCTGCTCTGGGAGATCCCACGTTTTCCAGGAGGAGCGCAGTTGTCTGCACTGTTCAAGGTGATGTTATAATACGAATATTTGCTTGACGCAAATTGTCATCAGTCACTGTTAATGTATATTCTGATCCCACAGGTGGACGTTCCTGGTCTAAGCTCTGCCTCTTTATTGGAGGTCGGCCCTGTCAGTATGTCATTCGAACTGCCCAAACAAACCTGCACGGGCCTTCAGATCCGCTTCCTCCGACTCTCTCCAACTCAGACAGGACTGTCACAACGTTGGGTTCGATATGTCACTCATTCTGACTCCTACACCATACGGATCTGACCCAACCAGATGGAACAAACATTTAATATGTACAGCACATCAATAGGCGTTGAAGAAACCGCTTTGTGCCTCACCCATCCAGATAAATGTATTATTGTTATTATTATTATTTTGTTGGGAAATCAAATCAGTGATATTCTATGCATATGAACAGATTTACAGATTTGTTCCTTTTATTTTTTTGCTTTGAGAGAGAGTGAACCAACACATCTTTGGAGGTACAACAGTATTGTGTCCAGAATAACTAAACAAAAAGTGAAACACTGTCCATTCCTGTGCTTTAAGTCAAATAAAATAAGCCCATCGGTGTATAAATATCAAATAAATGACTAAAAACGTTTAGTTTTGTTGTCGTATTTTTAATTAAACTTCATGCATAAGCAGGTATAAGAGTGTATTCATGATGAGAAGCTAAAAAAGTCTAAATTATGAGATTAAATTCATGACATAAGGCAAATTATAAGTAAAAATCAGAATTAGGACGTCATATCAATGACTTTGTAAGTCAGCAATTTTGTCATTTTCTTCTCATCTCATAATTAGGACTTTCTCAGAATTTCTCATAACTACATAATTTCACCATTGTGTGTATTTAGTAAGACATTTGTATCTCATAATTATGACAGTATATCAATTCCTATTATTTTAATCTCACTTATGACTTAGCATCTCATTATGTTGACTATTTTAGTCAATTTCATCTTTTTATGACATAGTTATGACCTAGTATGCCATATTTTTGACCTACTTGATATACTTGACTCAGTATTCAGGTAACTGACTTTTGTATCTTATATTTATTATGATTTACTAAGGCATGTTTTTCTTATTTGGCAGAAAAGGGCTTCATAGTTTCTCTGTGAAAAGTGGATGGTTTGTTTCTCTCTTCGTTTAGTTCTAAAATGCAGTCTGACATCTCATCTGTGTGCAGATCTGTCAAATTCACTCATCAGTTTAAACCAGTGTGTTGTGAAACCTTTGCAGTGTTCTACCTTCAAGCTATAATTATAAAGAAAATACAACCATCGTCCACATAAATGGCACACCCAGACAATGACCCAGGACTCGGGTACATGGACTCTCTCAGAGAAAATATCACTCCTTTGATGCCATCACACAATGCTATTAGATAAAAAAAAGAATCATCAAGGTATGACATGTTTGACCCCTTTTGTTATCAAAGCTTGGAAGTTCCTCACCATTCACCATCCTCACTGCTGTATATTTTAGTTTGGGGAAAAAGACATTGTGTGACTATATTAAATTTACCATAATTAATAAATAACGCACTTAATATAATCAATACAAATAAATAGATATGATTAATAAGTATAATTCAATAAGTATATTAATAGATAAATAAATTCTTTACTGTGATTCTGAGCCGTGTATCTATGCTGCATAGATACACGTATGTATCTACTGCTGCAACTCACGTGACCCGCCCGTAGCTCCGCCCACCGCCAGGGAGTGAGTGAACACCTACAGGAGCTTCTGTTTACACTCTGTGTCATAGCTGTGTTTTCCTCTACAAATTCCCACAGCCAATTCCTCCCTCATTATGGGGGACAAGGCAGGCACCCGGTGAGTATTTTTTAAAGCGTCAGGCATTTCATATTTTTGGGATCATTATTGTTCAAAATATGAAGCGAGCAGTAGGAAAGCTAACGTTAATACTAGCTGGATTGTAAATGGACGTGGTTGGATAGCCTGACTGAGCATGATGGATAAACAGCACCTAATATACACGTTTATTATATTAAAAATGTTCAATCTTCATAATTTTGTTAGAAATGTCTTTTAAGCATTTCCAAAGTCTTCATTAGAAGTCAGTTCATCCTTTAGCATGCATGTGGCATAGCCAGGCAGCTAACAACAGCTGCTCATGTAAGGTCTATGCAGAATTCTCATACTGCTCTATCTAATTATTTCTTGAAAAAACAGTATTATTAGTAATGTCAAGCATGATCGTAGTATTACTGAACTTTGCGAGCAAGCAAACAAGTTCTCCCAGTATGCCATTTGTTGCTCTCCACCATTTGTTTGCTCTTTTGGTTCTTGCCATCTGCTTCACTTTAAAAGGCTACTCTCCACCTATTTGTACAAAACGATCAACTCTGATAATGTCTGTGATTATTCATGCATACATTTCTGTTGTTCAAAAGGGTATTCAAAAAGTCCAGTCCTAACTGCAAGGTAAAACCTTTCTCTATCACACAATCACAGTTTTGGTTTCCACAAGTTGTAGTTACAACCCTGTCTGTTTTCACAGCTTACAGTATACCTGGGGAAAAGAGATTTTGTGGATCATCTTGATCATGTAGACCCCGTTGGTCAGTGACTTAAGATAAAAAGTTCAGTTGTATTTAAATGGAGAAGTAAAGGTATTAAAGTTCACTGACATACAACATATTGTCCTTCTGCTACAGATGGTGTGATCCTGATCGAACCCGAATATCTCAAAGAAAGAAAAGGTGAGTCGGAAAGCATCTTTGGCTTTGCTAATTTGGTATGAATGAAAATTTAATTGAAACTGAAATTACAATTCTGACTGATACCGATAAGCCAATAATTATTTTCATGTCATGGCCGGTAACTGATAAATCGAAGATAGTAAAATTCTATATTGTTTTGTCTAAATAATAAAAACCTAAAAATTAAAATAAATAAATAAGTGCTTCAAATTAATTCTTAGCATCTCAAACATAAAGTACAGTATGGAAAATAAAATTTGTTGTCTATAGATTACATTAACAGTGTTATTAATTTAGTAGTGTTTTTAAAGATTTAAGTGAGGATTAGATGACGACAAAGGTAATCTAAATGTAAGTATAGGGAAATGAGTGTGCACAACTAAATTATATGATACTGATATATTGTAAATCCCAACTGTTTAGTTTTCCAGTTGATACCGGTATGTTTGTAAAGTTAATCTCATATGCAGTGTTTTTCCATACTTATCTCATGTTGCTTCACATCAAATGCAAATTATGTCCCACTTGTGGTGTTTCTGTAATAATCCCTAATACTTTATTTGATCCTTCTTTCAGTGTTTGTGACTTTAACCTGTGCTTTCCGGTATGGCCGCGAGGACCTTGATGTTTTAGGGCTCTCCTTCCGGAAAGACCTTTACATCTTCACTTTTCAAGCCTATCCTCCTATTCCAGAGGAATCCAAGCCCCACAGCCGTCTGCAGGAGAGACTTTTGAAGAAACTGGGGCAGAATGCCTATCCTTTCCATTTCACTGTGAGTTTCTCCCTGCCTTTAAGAACACAGGCTATTACGGCAGTTTATATTTGTTAGAGATGTCGAAGATATATTAATTATTAATAACATATTAATTAATATCATATTATAAATATATTATTAATTAATAATTTAATAACACTGTTAAAGGTACAATATGTAAGAATTTTGTAATAAAATATCCAAAAATCACTTGCACAGTGTGATATATTTCCTGCAGTTGTGTACTTACAATATCCCAAAAGTTCCCAAAGATTTTTAATTTCAGAGAAATTCCGATTTTAAATAATGGCTCGTCCATGTTCACTTGTCACCTGTCAATGGCGTAATATCCGCGTTATCCCTGGTTTCCGCTCGTACTGCCATAGTAACCATGGCAACAGACGTGGACAACTGCGTTATGTTTAAGTGGACATATATTTTTCTGTTTTCCAGATACCTCAAAACTTGCCATGTTCAGTTACCCTGCAGCCCGGGCCTGAGGACACAGGAAAGGTATTATCAGTTATACACAGCCTCTTTTTAACGCAACAAACTCCATCTAACACCTTCAGATTTGTCACCCAATTTTGCACACATCCTGTTTGTGAAGCTTAGGCAAACTCTTCCTTTGTTTACCTCTGTCTTTCTCGCTCCAGGCCTGTGGGGTGGATTTTGAGATCAGGGCTTTCTGTGCCAAATCGATGGAAGACAAGAATCACAAAAGGTTTGATTCTCTGCAGTTTCCTTCCTTTTTTTTGACCCATTATCATATGTTTTTAATGGAAGCATTTGTTTTCAACGTTTCCTCACAATTGCGGATTTATGTCACAGTTCAGACTCTTTTTTTTTCTTACAATTGTGAATGTACAACTCACAATCTCATGGTATGAATTCGTACTTGTAAATGTATAACTTGTTTCCTCAGAATTAAAAGTTGTTGTTGTTTTATTCTTAGTTTATTTCTCGCAATTGTGTTTTTTTGTTTACGCCACAGAATAACAAAATAAAAAAGTTCATTGTGAATTCTTATCTTGCAGTTCAGACTTTTTTTTGTACAATTGAAAGTTTATATCTCGTAATTGCAGGGTATAGATGACTTTTTTTCCTCAGAATTGCCAATTTCTTGGAATTCTTAATTTACATCTCACAATTTTTTTTTCTTCTGCCATGGAATAACAAAATAAAAAAGGTCATTGTGACTTTTTATCACAGTTGAGAGTTTATAACTCATAATTGCAAGGTATAAATTCATATTTGTGAGTTTACATCTTGAATTCCTAATTTTTTACACTTTGCAATTTTGACTTTTTTTTCTTCAGAAGTTTGATTTTACATCTCGCAGTTCTGTTTATTTTTTTCTGCCATGGAATAACAAAATAAAAAAGGTCAATTGCGACTTTTCATCTCACAATTCTGACTTTTTTTTCCGCACAATTGCGAGTTTATATCTTGTGGCGGAAACAAGCTTCCATAGTTTTCAGTATAAATCATTTTAGAAAAGAAAGTTTAGATCTTATTTGAATATTATTATTTCTTCCTCAACAGGAATTCAGTGCGACTAGTGATTCGTAAAGTCCAGTACGCCCCTGAGAAAACCGGCCCACAGCCGATGGTGGAGACTACGAGGAGTTTCCTCATGTCAGACCGGTCTTTACACCTAGAGGCTTCATTAGATAAAGAGGTAACACTGTTTAACACAGATCAGTGCTAGTTAGAAATAATGAACCTGTAATTAACCTTTATCTCCTCACACAGCTGTATTACCATGGAGAACCCATCAGTGTTAACGTCCATGTTACCAATAATTCAACCAAGACTGTCAAAAGGGTTAAAATATCAGGTGAGTCACAGCCATCAGCCCATCTATTGTTGTTTTTAGTTTGACATTATTTTCATATCAGTCTCATCATCTATGATCTGTTTACATATTATTACTGTACTGTTTGCATTTGTGTCTCTACAGTACGACAGTATGCTGATATCTGTCTCTTCAGTACAGCGCAGTACAAATGTCCAGTGGCTCATATAGAGGCAGAGTAAGCATATTTTATGTTTAGATACTATATAGATGTTGGTGTTTTGAAATGATTATCTGAACTTTTAGTTGTCATTTATCAAAGATTTATGATTAAGATGTCATTTGGATAACAAACCTGCCCAAAAGTGACATGACAAAAACATGTCTGTTTGCTGACTTTCTAACAATGTCTATCCGTGTTCTGCAGCGATCAAGTGGCATCCAGCTCTACATTCTGTAAAGTGTACACACTCACACCCACTCTCAACAACAATCGAGAGAAGAGAGGGCTGGCGCTGGATGGAAAACTCAAACATGAGGACACCAACCTGGCGTCCAGTACTATGTGAGTATTACTGTACTTAACCAGCTCATTTTACCCATATTCTCACTGGCTGGCTCCTATGAAAAAAACGTATAAAACGCATTTATTTTTTCTTATAAAATTGTAATGTTGTAGTCGAATTACAAACATGCAACATATTATTTATGTATTTGCATATATGCAAAGCTCAGGCTAGTTAACCAAATGTTCACAAAATAAAAAGTTTCCTAAATTCTAAAGTAAATGAGAGGTAAGAAATCAACTTGTGTTTATAGTCTACTCTTTACTACCGTTCAATTTTTTTTTTAAATGTTATAAATATTCTCACAAGACTGTATATATATTTTTATCAGAAATACAATAAAAACAGTAATATTGTGAAATATTATTACTATTTAAAATGACTTTTTTTTTATTTTCAATTATTTTAAAATGTAATTTGCCATTTTCTAATGGTACAAAGATTGTTTGTACCATTATAAATGTCTTACTGTCACTTTTGATCAATTTAATGTATCTTTGCAGAATACATTTTTTTTTTCTAAAAAAAAAAAAACTTTCTGACCTCAAACCTTTGACCAGTAGTGTACATGAAATCACATGACCCTATTCACTTTCCTAATACACTTTCCTGGTCTTTTTGTATACAATTCATCAGTCCTTTATTTCAAGAAAGTAGGTTTCGTGTTGACTTGAATTCTTTTTAGGATAAAGAGTCGACTGACTGATTCTGTTTGTGTGTTTGACTGCAGTGTGAAGGATGTGAGTAATAAGGAAGTTCTGGGTGTCCTGGTGTCCTATCGGGTCAAAGTCAAACTGGTGGTCTCCCGTGGAGGGTGAGTCATGTGTCACACCTGCTTCCTCTCTACAGTCACACACTGGGGAGCAGTTTTGATTGGTCTGTAGTCCTCCACACAAAGACTGTTACATGTTGCTGCTGTTTTAGAAATAATAATAATAATCAATCAGTTTTTATCTCGCATGTAGTTCATTGTGTATGTATGACTAGTGTAGGTTGACTAGTTTATCTAGACTTTTTTTTTTTTCTTCTATAATTTTCTTGGTTTTGATATTTTCAGCGGAGGTGCTTTAATTAGCGTGCTGTGCTTTAGCTGTTAAAGCTCTCTTTCAGGAATGCTGTGCGAGCTTTATATTCCCTCCCTGATCTCTCGCCTCTCTGTGCTGCCTCGTTCTGGTTATTGAATCATTTTGTCACTCTCCCATTGTTTTATGTATCTCTCTCTGTCTGTTTCCTTCCCCTCCATCTGTCTGTCACGTCAGGCTTTTAAGCAGCTTGCTGGAGAGGTAAATACATCCATTGTGCATTCTGATGGCTTGCTGTAGTGTCTCTAGGTTTGCCATTAAAAAGGAGATCTGCATGGTGTTCAATGTTCTGCTCAACTTGACCCTGGTGTTTCCTGTCTGATTTCGATAGTTAGAGCACTAATCTCAACACACACATGACACGCCATGAATGGATGAATCTCACTACGAAATGCCTAGGTCATATTTTATATTACCTTTAAATCCAAAGAACAACATGTTGAAATGTAAATAGCCTATTTTGGGCCACTGATGAACCTATATTACACTGATCCTGTGTAGAATCAATATTATTTTGTTTACTAAAATAAACAAATTAAATTCTGTAAGGTACTTTACAAATGTTTTTAATATTTGAATCTAATGTTTGTTTTATTATTATTATTTATATGATAAAACCCCTTCACATGATAAAAACTGGATGAAATGTTAAGCATGGTAAATTGCGATTTCCAGATTGCAATATATTTAAAAATCAACTTTCCCCTTGAGGATTACAGAATTACATTTTCAGTGGAAGTGAATGTGGCTTAATTGTCATGAAAATGTTAGAATCCAAAAAATCATAAAATCGTATTCTAAAGTATATAAAAATCTACTGGTCATATGTTTGGGCTCGGTAAGATCTTTTTAATAGTTTGAAAGGTTCTTACACTCATCAAGACTGCATTTATTTGATCAAAAATACAGTAAAAGCTGTAATATTGTGAAATATTACTACCATTTAAAATGAATGGTTTCTATTTTAATATATTTTTAAATGCAGTTTTATTCCTGTGATGGCAAAGTTGAATTTTCAGCATCATTACTCCAGTCTTCAGTGTCACATGATCCTTCAGAATATTTTTTTCATGATTCTTGAATAGCATCTAATTGAAATATTTGGTAACATAATTGCCTTTACTGTCACTTTTGATCAATTGAATGCATCCATGCTGAATAAAAGCATTCTTTTCTTTCCAAATGAGTATGTATATACATACAAGCACATTACATATTAGTTTTGATTTTGTAGTGAAATATGGCCCAGTCAGTTCTAGAGAGATTTGTCCTCTTAAGAGCTCTTCCACACCACAAGTATTTCAAATAATGGCTGTGTTGGTTTTGTTTTATCTCTCTTTCATTCAGGGATGTTTCGGTGGAACTGCCTTTTGTCTTAATGCATCCAAAACCTACAGACTACACCCTTTTCCAGTCAAACTCTGGTTTGTGTCAAACACAAAACACCACATTGATTGCACTGAACTAGGTTGTGTGTAACTGTCAAAGTAATAACACCTTCATTAATCATTTAATAATAACTATTTTTGTTTAACAGCTGCTCCAATGTTGGATCCACCGATTGACACCAACTTGATAGTGTTTGACACAAAGTAAGCAAGCATTTTTAATATCAATATCAAACTCAATGATCAGATTTCCCTCTCGGTTTAAGCTTTGTTTTCCATGTGACTCTTTCTAACAGCAGTTTAACCCCAGATGACGACATCGTATTTGAGGACTTTGCTCGCTTGCGGTTAAAAGGAATAATCGACAAGGAGGAGGACTGCTGAATTTTTATCATCTCATTCACCAAGAACAGAAGCGCTTCACATCAAATTTTGCATCTCTTGTCTCCCTAAGGGTGTAACATAGAAATAATTATTTTCATCTCATTACAGTTCAAGAAGTATTTGGATATTTAATTGGGGGGGGGGGGGGGGAGTAAATGACTTATTAATATACCTGTCTAAAGCTAAGGAGGGGATTCCAGGGAATTTCATACCTTTTTGAATAGGCATGTAATAATTATACTCTATTGTGCCAACTGTTATGTTATGAACAGCAAGCCAATCTGTAAAGATGGCTAAATTGCTCCATATTTATTCCTTTCACAAAGACCGTCTTGATTTTTCCTGTGATCTGTGTACAATAATAACCCCCTGTGCATTACACAAAGATGGACACGGGCCATGCATGTCTCTCTGTGCTGCTGTGAGGATCATATGCGATTGAGCAAATATTGTCTTTCTGCAGGTTGTACATATATGAAAGTGCTGCTTTGAATTTGTTGGGCTGCTGCATTTAGTAAAAAAAGAAACAGCTAATGGATGTATAGAGATTTAACATCCCTCAGGAGAAAGGAAATTTGTTGTTTTAACAGTTTTCATAATCACAGGATACACTGTTTGCCATTTTCTTTTAAATCTGTTTTTTTATTTAATTTTTTTAATAAAACAAATAAAATACAACATGGCTGTGTATTAAATTTGGGGTATTAAGAGTAAGCTTTATTACTAACTTTTGAATTCAACATTTCGCTAAGAAAATTGAAGGTTTTTGCTCTCACACTGCAAAAAATGATTTTCTTATGGTTTTCCAGCACAAATAAACATTCTTAAATCAAGACATTTACTAGAGAAGCAAAAATACTTAATTATATCAAGTCTTGTTTAATGAAAAGTTGGTCAAAATGAAGTGAGTTTGTTTAAAGCAAGAATAAACATCTGCCAATAAGGTCAGATTTTTTTTTTTCACTTTGAATTAAGACTATTTTTTCATTCAAGACTTGATATCTTAAGATATTTTGCTTCATAAGTAAATGTATCTTGATTTAAGAATGTTTAGATATTTGTACTGAAATACGACAAAAAAAATAGTACGAAAATACATTTTAATTTTTTTGCGGTGCTTAAATGCTTACTGTAAAATGATCTCCAAGAATGTAGGGGGGAAGAAATCATCAGAAACATCATAAAATTCACATTCCTAGATAACTACGTTTGTTTCAAGAAAGAGGACGCTAAATATTCGACTCTGTCGGTTTGATATCTGAGCTGTTGTTAGTGTTAGCTGCTACACACGGTGGAGGGCGAGGCCTTCCCCGATACCGCTTCTTCAGTCGACCAGCCAAACGTTGCCACCTAGTGGGCGATATAATGTATTGCAAGTCATTTATGAGTAAAAGCATTGAAGAAGCAATAATAACATATCACGGTATAACATTCACCTTTCTTGTGTTGCATTGTGCTTATTAATCCTCACAGCCTCCTGTTTTTTCTCCTCTAACCAGCGGTCTAGGAGTTCCTCCTCCTGGAGTTTTGTGGCAGCCATCTCCTCTGTCAGTGTGCTGTGCTCCCGTCTCAGTGCTGTCAGTTCCTTTGATTGACACTCCAGCTGATACTCATATTCCTCCAGATCTGACTTCAGACAAGAAGCCCCCTGGGCCAACAAAACCGCTTCGGTCCTGTAACGGGCAACTCTACAGCAGGAATACATGATATAACCCTATTAGGACTGCTTGTCTTGATGACTTTATCATCTTTTTTCAATATGTGCTGTTTGACCTACTGTGAGTGACAGTACTGTAACTCTGCCTCCTTCAGGTATATATTGCTGGTCAAATCTGCGATTTTCTGCTTGAGCTTGAAAAAAGACAGATGTGGAAGGGTATTCCATGGTTAATAGTGAGAGACTGATGTAGCCTATATCTCTCTCTCACACACACACACACACACACACATATATATATATACAAAAGTTTTGAAACAAATACTATTTTTAATGTTTTTGAAAGAAGTCTCTTATGCTAATCAAGCCTGCATTTATTTGGTCAAAAATATTGTGAAATATTATTACAATTTAAAATAATGTTTTTCTATTTGAATATACTTTAAAATATAATTGATGTATGTGATCAAAGCTGAATTTTCAGCATCATTACAGTCTTCAGTGTGACATGATCCCTCAGAAATCATGTAATATGCTGATTTATTATCAATGTTGGAAACAGTTATGCTGCTTAAGATTTTTTTATAACCTGTGATACTTTTTCAGGATTCTTTGATGAATATAAAGTTTTTAAAAAAATTATTTAAAAAAGCATTTAAAATAGAAATCTTTTCTAAAATATACACTTCTGTCCAAAAGTTTGGGGTCAGTATTCTTTTTTTTTTTTTTTTTAATTAATACTTTTATTCAGCAAGGATGTGTTAAATTGATAAAATGCTGTTCTTTTTAACTTTTCATTCATCAATACATCCTGAAAAAAAGTATCACGGGTTCCAAAAATATATTAAGCATCACAACTGTTTCCAACATTGATAATAACTGAGTATCAAATCAGCATATTAGACTTTCTGAAGGGTCATGTGACACTGAAGACTGGAGTAATAATACTGAAAATTCAGCTTTGCATCACAGGGATAAATTATATTTTAAAATATATTCAAATAGAAAAGTTGTTTTAAATTGTAATAATATTTCACAATATTACTGTTTTTTTTGTTGTATTTTTAATCAAATAAATACAGCCTTGGTGAGCATAAGAGACTTATTTTAAAAACATAAAAAAATATTACCGATCTCAAACTTTTGAACGGTAGTGGTATGTATATATCAAGTCCTAGATTAAAAAAAAATCATAAAGATTAAGCATAACAGAAACCTTAATAAAACTTACAAATTGCAATGTTATGCATAAAATCTATAGATCTGGTGGGGAATAAAATGAGAGTTTTAGCAATAAGGCAGTTTATCAGTGATGTTTATTGATATTTCTCTTACCTGTTGATTAAGAAATTCCACCTCATTCACTCTCAAATAAAGTGTGCCGCCTTCATTTGGGCATCTAGAGTATCTGTTTTCTTTGGAACTGAATCAAATATAACAGCACACACAAACATAGTAAATTGCGATGTGTGTCAAGTAAATACACCAGTATGCATAATGTAATTTATGCCAATAAGTCAAGAAATCAAATCAGTACAATAATAGATGTCACGTGTTGTGTTACCTGCCTTGCCAGAGTTTGATATGAAAGTCCAGCATCTCCTCCAGCCTGGACACTGTCAGAGCATCCAGTCATTACTGAAGCACAGCAGTACTTATAGCTTGTTTATGTACATTTGACAGCATCTGTATTACTCACCCTTATCAAAGAGGCCAGAGAAAGGATCTCTCTGCTTACAGTCTCTGTGAAACAACTCCGCGCGCACGTGACTCTTCCAAGACTCCATGTCTGCTCGAGTTCAGATGGACAATTCACCTATTTCTCACTGTTTCGAGTCTCGTCTAAAGTATCATTTCAGCGGTTTTCACATTGAATATAACTTGCAGCCCTATACAACCAATTTCTGTGGGAGATTTTCTTCAGATGTTGTACAAATCGCTTTAATTAGTAGTTAAACATTTCCTTGTTTAGTTTTCTCTACGGTAAGTGGGCAGGTTTCGCGTTTCTATTATTTTTGTTCTTCTGCGGCTTCCGTACTTCCCAATATACTAATATACGAGTGCTTTGTTTAGTACAGTCAGTGGTTAAATATCTGGTCAAGGTAACTTTCGTTGCTTAAATATACATGCAAGTAAGTAGACTTAAATTATTTTACAAACATACATTTCTGAAGTGTGTTTTTAATTTTTCAATAATTAAACTCGTTGTATAGCTAACGTATGTGTGTGTGGTGTCTGTTGCAGTTTAATAATTCTGCATGTTCAGGTATGAGTTGAGCGCTTGTCTTTTGTATGTTTGTGCTTTATGTTTTTTTCTGTATTCTGTAGGTTGTGTGCTCGGGATGGCTAATGACAGGCTGAGAGCGTTAGAAGATGTGGAGAAGGAGATTGCTTTAGTGCTGCAGAGCGCAGGTTTGTGTTAGACTTAAACCAGTTTAAAATAGTTTTCTAGTCTTCGCTGATTTAGGCTAGTTCCCTAGTCTGGCCATGCTGACTTTAGCTGGTTTAGGAAGACAAAACTCATTTAAACCTGCTTTAAACTCAGTAAACTGACCAACTGGTTGAGCTTATTTTAGCTGGCTTAGCTAGAGAAACGCATTTAAACCTGATTTAAGCCCAGTAAACTGACCACCTGGGGTAGACCTGGTGACTAGCAAACCAGCTTTGGCCGATAGAGGCCTTTTTTTTTTAATTAGGGGTTTTGTAACTGTCATTATAAATATACCTGCTTAAAAGCTTAACAGTGTTAGGATTTATTATTTTGTATATGTTTAATCTAGTATACAGTTTGAATGGTAACAATCTGTCTATCAGGAACTATTGTGCTGGAGCTTTCTAAAGAGAAGGCCAATGCCAGTTTATTAGACCGACAGCTGAATCAGTTCCAGACCTCCATCAACAGAGTTGAGAATGAACTGAGTGCACAGATCCGATATCTGACACAGGTGTGTAATGTGTATGTGGGTTACATCTATCTAATTATCTATCTATCGTTCTATCTATCTTTCTATCTCCATCCATCTATTGTTCCATCCATCCATCCTTCCTGATCTATCATCCATCATTCCATGCATCATGCCATCCATTCTTCCATGTCTATCTATCTATCTATCTATCTATCTATCTATCTATCTATCTATCTATCTATCTATCAAAACATATAGCATTGGAGAAAAACTTTGACTGCCTCTGATGCACTAACTTTTTTATTTCTTGTTTTCTGCGTAAAGGTGGCAACAGGTCAGCCTCATGAGGGATCGACATACTCAGCCAGAAAGGACTGTCAGATGGCCTTAAACCGTGCAGAATATGCCCGTGTCAAACTGGGAGAGCTGGGACGTACCTGTGAGATAATGCTTGATCCACAGACGTAAAGACATATTAAATGGACTGTTACTTTGTAATATTTGCCAGCTGACTTCATAAGTGTCTGTTTCATGACCTGTCTGAAAACCATCTACAAACACTTTTTTCCCCGATAATCTTAGGAAATCCTGTATGACAAACCCAGTGATTTGCTTTGAATATCTTCCCTGTGTTGTAATAGCACCAAAGCTTTTGTCTTGATGAGAAATGTTATAGGTGTGACAAAAAAAATATATATATCTTTTTCACTAGTATTTTATTGAAGGGAACATAAGACCTCTCCATTCACTTATCTTGTATTGTTCATCACAGTTGTGATAATATCAAGTACATAGAACAAGGGTTGCATGGTGTACATCAATAAAATAATAGACATTTATATTACCACACACACACACACACACACACAAAAAGATTGGAATTCAAAAAATGTCCACCATACACACACATTCAACATGAACACAAGCTACTAACATCAACCCATTGTTTTTAGTGTCTAATAGCTCATTGATCAGAAGACAACCATTAAAGGAATTTAACAACACATGACATGCATATATATGCACACAGCATGTATTTGTGCCTATTTACTGTATGTCTTGGACACTTTGTCTTCATTAGAATATCAATATATCTAGTATTTAAAGATGATCTTCCAAATATATCAATTTCAGACAACATAACAAAGCAAAATCTCCTCCTAGTTTGTCGAGAAGTCTTTTAAAAATAAATAATTAGGAATAATTGGAGTTGAATTTGAAATGGTCTGGATTTATGTGACCATGTACTCCTGCCGCTTGTTAAGGCGAACCTGACACAGAGACACTGCGCCAACACCTACGTAGATGGCAGCGGCAATGAAGCAGTTGATTCCAACTTGGTTGTAGAGTCCGTAAATTGTCTGTGGTGGATTCTTACTGTTGAAGAGAATGCGTTCATGAGTAAACATTTGCATGTAGAAATGTCATATCAGCTCAGGATCTGCCAGTTCTCATTCGACGCAAGGAGCCTATTCAAAATGTAAGCCCTTATCATACTTATTATTATTTGATCAAAAATATAGTAAAAACATTAATATTGTGAAATATTCTTAACATTTAAAAATAACTGTTTTTTTTATTTGAATATATATTTAAATCTAATGTATTCCTGTAATGGAAAAGCCGTATATTCTGCTGTCCAGTCTTCAGTGTCAAATGATCCTTCAGAAATCATTCTAATGTGATGATATGTTGCTCAAGAAATATTTCTTATTATCAATGTTGAAAACAGTTGTGCTGCTTAATATTTTTGTGGAAACAGCTATTTTCATTTTTATACATTTATATCTATAGCTATCTGGAACATTATATTTAAAGATAGGGGAGAGTAACTCACTCATCACGGATGTCTTCCTCAGTAAAGGGAACATCTTCGATCAGCACAGCAGATTTTGCACTGAAGAAGATTCCCAACATTGACTGAAAAAAAGAGTGCATAATTCTTAAAAACAGGGTTTGTTAAGAATATTTAATATTAAGACATTAGGTGCAATTAATTGTGGAAGAGCACCCAATATGATATCTATCTATACACAAAGACAAAAAAGGACAGAAAAAATGGTCAAGTGAAGGAGGTAAAGAATAGCTATCAAGGCCTTTCCATCCTATGATCCCAACACCTGCTGTTTTCTGATATATTCTGCTGATAAATAGGTGACTGAACAGATATTTTTATGCAAATGTATAACTATTTTACGCATTTATCTTATCAGGGAAGATCCAAATACACCAATATTTACTAATGTTACTACCTATATAGGCAAAATATTCCTGTCGTTGGGGGTGAATCCCATTAGCTACAACTAGCAAGCGATGTCACGAAGACTATAATCCTTACCAGCATAACGACACCCCAGATGCTTAACACGATCCCACAGGCGGCCAATTTAGGCCCACAGAATAAAAGCGACGGCATTTTATCTGAGATCGCCCACAGATTCTTCCTCTCAAAACTGGAAAAAGGATGCTACATCCAGTCGTCATCCAGGATGACAGCCTGCCTCTAGCCTTCTCTCGAACGGATGTATATCGGCGGCACTCGGGTTTGTTCGACTAGTTCCGTAAGCTTTTTCGCCAACACTCGGGTATTTTCGTACGGATGTTGCGCAGATCGTTTCAAATCATTTGATTGGCTATGGGCTGACCAATTACACGCCTCGTTTTCGAAGCGCATTGTATTCTGGGAATTTTTAGTTCGAACTATTATGTTGCGTTCATGCTTATTATAGATACTTTTTGTTAGATATATGATAAAGTTAGCATTATTATTTCGTACACAAGGTCGCTAAATGACTGCAGTGGTCATTTAAAATCGGTAGTTTCAGCTTTTCAGCGCCGCTGATTGAAACTCGACTAGATTGTTTTTTTTGTATTTGTGTCAGTTCTTTTTATTTCAGCTCATCACTCCAGCATGACTTCGGCCTCCACAAAGGTAAAACACTTGCGTCGTACTGCATCATAAATATTCGTAAGTAATTTATAAATAATAATAGAAACATAACAATGTCTATTAGGTGGGTGAGATCTTCTCGGCTGCAGGCTCGGCATTCTCTAAACTAGGCGAACTGACCATGCAGCTGCATCCAGTGGCGGACTCTTCTCCTGCAGGGTGAGATGCTGAAACTGCATCTGCAGTGTTTCAAATCTATTCTTGTCTTCTCTCCCGTTAAATAGTCTAATTAGTTTTGTTCTATTGTTTAAGTATAGTCAATGTTTTATAAATGACTCATTTTCCCTTCTCTCAGAGCCAAATGGACCGACACGGAGATTGAGATGCTGCGATCTGCAGTTCGCCGCTTCGGTGAAGATTTGAACAGCATCAGCTCAGTCATAAAGGAGCGTACAGTGTAAGTGTGTGTTAAGTTATAGTGATGGATCATGGAGTTATAGCTGTATAATTGTCTTTTAAAAAGTTCTAATTTTAATAATAAATTGAATATGAAATACAGTGTTTAAAAAAAGAACAGAGTAAATTACAGTCAAGATTAAGAATAGAAAAGGTTTGGAATAATTAAGATTTTTAATGTTTTTAAAGTCTCTTATGCTCACCAAGGCTGCATTTATTTGATTTCTGTGATGCAAAGCTGAATTTTCAGCATCATTCTTTCAGTCTTCACTTCACTGTCACATGATTCTTCAGAAATTATTCTAATATGATGATTTAGTGCCGAATTATTGATTGAAAATATTAAGAACCATTATTAACGGTTCATGGCAAATAAAACTTCAATCAATGTTAAAAACATTTTTTGCTGCTTAATATTTTTGTGGAAACTGATTGATTTTTTTTTTTCAGGATTCTTTAATAAATAGAATGTTCAAAACAGTATTTATTTGAAATATAAATATTTTAACAACATTAACAGTCACATTATAAATGTCTTAAAGGGTTAGTTCACCCAAAAATGAAAATTATGTCATTAATGACTCACCCTCATGTCTTCGGAACACAGTTTAAGATATTTTAGATTTTGTCCGAGAGTTTTCTGTCCCTCCATTGAAAATGTATGTACGGTATACTATCCTTGTGCAGAAAGGAAATAAAGACATAATCAAAGTAGTCCATGTGACATCAGTGGGTTAGTTAGAATGTTTTGAAGCATCGAAAATACATTTTGGTCCAAAAATAACAAAAACTACAACTTTATTCAGCATTGTATTCTCTTCCGGTTCTGTTGTCGATCCGCGTTCAGTGCCGCTGGTGACGTAAGACGCTGCTGACGTGTTATTAGTGCGCACAAGCTTCGTTTACAGTCTGAGGGAGACGCACGCTGTAAACAAAACAATCTTCGCAAACATGTCTAAGGATTTCCACACAGAGGAAGACTTGCATTTTTTTGCCCAGCCATATTTATTTGAACCCGAATACACGGACGCACCAGATACACGTCAGCAGCGTCTTACGTCATCAGCGTCACTGCGGACTCGTGAACGCGGATTGACAACAGAACCGGAGGACAATACAATGCATTTGTATGGAACATTCACAATATTAGTGTTTTTACTGTATTTTTTATTGAATAAATGCATAATATTGCACCACAAATCTTGTCAAGTCACCTTTATTTATATTGCGCTTTTTACAATACTGATTGTTTCAAAGCAGCTTTATAGAGATGACAGGAAAATAATGCAACAAAGTTTGTTTCCAGAAGAAAATAGCATCACAGTCCAGCTTAAGTAAGCTCAGTGATATTTCATTTTTGTTGTAAAAAAGTTATTAATTTAGTTCATTTATATATATATAGCCGCTCTGGAGAAAACGTGATGTCATCGTCCAGCTCAGTTCAGTTCTCATATAATGGTGTCAATACAGGCAGATCAATAATATTGTTGAATATTAAATGAAATGTCCCCAACCACTCACTCTTTTTCCTTGTCTTCTTGTAGTGCCCAGATTAAGACCACAGTAAAGAGGAAGCTGTATGAGGACAGCAGGGTTCCTCTCACTGCAGAGTCACCTAAAAAAACGATGAAGAAAACCACAGTGACGCTGGCACTGCCTCCTGCATCAGTGGCCCCCACAGGGATCACTGTTCCGACCACGCAGGTTGTCGTCACAACTGGATTGCAGAGTTCTTCATCTTTACAACCAGTAATAAAAAACCCTAAACCAGCAGGTGACTCACTTTCTGAATACAAGGGATGAAAAATGAAAGCATATATCATTAACAATATCAGTTTACAAATGCGGTTATATGTCTGTTAATGCGCTGGCTCTCTATTATCAGATGTGACTCTGAGTGCTCTCAATGACTCCGATGTGAACAGTGATTTGGTGGATATTGAGGGGCTTGGAGAGGGCTCCACTAAAAAACCGAACTTCGACCAAGGTGAGTCCCATTTTAAATGCATTGAAAGGGATGATTACCCAATAATGACATTGACATCATTTATTCACCCTCGTTTCGTTCCAAACCCCTTTATGGTGCTTTTGCCTCAGTTTTAAAGCTTGAAAACTGTATTTCCATTCAAGGTTATTCTTACAGAAGAAAGTCATACAGCTTTGGAATGAAAGGAGGGTTGATTAAATTAAATTTAGTATTTTTGGGGTAAATGATTCCTTTAAAGGTGAAGTATGTAGTTTTACACTAAGAAAACAATCCGGTCAAATGTGTTTTCGACTACCTCTGGAAGTGGTAGAAAGTGGACGAGCTCAAAATGGTTTAGACCCCATTTACACCTGTATTTTGTGTCGTCCACTTGTGATCCGATCGACCAAAACACATCTTAATACCAGGTGGAAACAGAGCCATTGGACAATGAACAATAAACTGGGTTAAGATAATGTATTATGACATTAAAAAACTTACATCACCTTTAACAAGTGGAAAAGTGTGTTTACTTGTATGTTGCTGTTGACACTTTTCTTTTCCTTTTTTTTTTTTTTCTGGCAGAGAGCTTGAATTTGGACTCCAGTCTAATAATGAACTCCAGTGATTTGCCCCTGCTGTCCCGCTGATTTTCATTGGTCAGTCAAAGTGATATTCAGGGCAACAGGGACAAAGATTATTAAGGACAACACATGTAAAGATTCTGCAGTTTGATCGTGAGATATACAGAATAGGGAAAGCAGCAGTTGGCACCTTATACCTTTTCCACTGTGGGTCCAAATAGCGCCAGACCAAATCTCTACTACATCACCAACCATTCTCTACCCATTTCAGTGAAGAAGTATGAGTATAAAAGTAGGGTTTTTTTTTATCTAATGGAAAGGAATCTAATGGAAGATGGAAAATGTTTTTTTGTAGTTCATGTTGCGTGATCTGCTTTACCCGCAGTTGAAAAAGGGTTTACAGGACAGTGGTGTCAAACTACTTTTTTTGTATTTTAATAGGCCCTTTTTACTTAAGTAAATCTTTGTGAAGTGACATAAGATGCTGACTGTAATGGAAAAGTTGCAGCATGCAATCAAAAATAGAATTGTACCATTTTTTTCACGGTCACTGTATGCTAGGTGCAGCTTCTATTGTATGTATATATTATTTTAACATTATTAAATGGGTCATTTCAACAGCACACACAAGACATACCCGTTTAAATTTTATATGAACTAATCAGCTTGACGTACAATGTCTTAGCTCAGCATCAAAGACAACATGCAAATCAATAAAATGAGTTTTTATTAGGATCTTCTTCATATTTAGAATATATGGTATCATATACATTTCATTTAATGATAAATGATATTTATTCTCTGATAATTGGACATTCATCTTGGGTGATGGGGAATAAGTGTACTTTTGCTACTAATACGTCAAAAAATATCCATCTTTCACTTAAATTGTTTTCTGCCTTTTAGAATATATTTACAACTTGAACAACTGATAGTCAGAATCTATCGGCTTTGGCATTCCTTTACATTGTTTTTCGTGTGCTCACAATCCATTTAGTAACAGCACTCAATCATTAGAGGAAAAAAAAGACAAATCATGACCATCTCTGACGCAGATACAACAGATCTTCTGGCAAATCCGAAAAATAAGACATTGTACATATTGTAGGTAATAGAGGGAAATTAATAAAAAACTGATTCAGAACAAACATATCTCAAGTCTTCCCTTCAGGTTCTTGATAAATACATAATATGATTATCCCGGTGAATGTGACAAATAATAATTCCAGCAACATTAATGCATATTGCACATTTGTAATCACCTTTAAAGACCCATATACATTGGCATCAATCTTTGAAATGTCAAGGACCTCGACTGGAAATTGCAAAATTACAAACAGTGCAAGTAACTTTGGAATTAAAACTTCAAGACTCAAAACCTGTAAGGCATTGTCATTACTGCGAATTAAAATCTAAACGAGTAAAAATACAAGGCAATGACTTTATAGCGAAGAATGAGCCATATTCCTCCTGATATGTGAATATGGAAACAGAGGAACAGCTTCAAATGTCTGACGTGCAGCTTTACAAACCAACAAGCTGCTGGTGTCAATAAAATAAAGACTTTGGGAATCAAGAATGGTGACATATATCTTTACATTGATATTATATGTACTGCAACCAGGGCCTTTACACATCCATAAATAACAATATAACAGACGCCACAAGCAACATAATTTGCATAACGTTGTGAAGTATCATGGGACACTTGTTTTAGGAGGGCTTCCAGTTCAATTAACTGCAGCATGTGACTTTTTTGGATAATATAATCATTTTCAACAAGCCTAATAAAATATCCAGCTCAAACACCAGAACTAAAGACACAATCCAGAGCTACTGCATCTGATACTTGTAAATACACAAAAAGATGATCAACTTAAAAGCTAGAGGAGAGTAAAAAACGAGTTAAATCCATCTTGTGAAGAACACATTACGACGAAACTCTCAGGACAGACTGTTCTCGGCTCACTCAAAGAACTGAATGTTTCCCAAATGAAAGGATTCAAACAAATAAACCCGATGCTTTACAATAAAAGTAAATATTATCCCACTCATGTAACAGCAACTTTGATATCTAACACTGTGCAAATAGTACAAGAGGAAGAGTATGATATCCGCTGAAACTGTGATTGTATCAATGTAGAAGCTTTATGTGTTTAGTAATACAACAACCCACTTGCATCTCAAATCTGTACATCTCAAATTTCTGTACATAATTCACAACTTAAGGGTCTCGTTTAGGGTTTCATGATGGAAAAACAGTTCGACTAATGATTTTCACACTGAATAAAGCATCTTGCCTCAGACGGGATACATTCTCAGGCTCTAGGTCAGTTTTCGATGTGGACTTTTCACTGAAAGTGCTTTGCCTATATTCCAACACTAGGTTCTAGACGCGATGTTAGACGTCTAGTCTTTACAGTACTTGTTTTAAGTAAGCGTTAAGAGAATAAAAATGTGGGAGTTGCCTGAATGCGCTGGTATCATTTCAAATGATTTAAAGAATATTTTTCAAACTTAAAAAGTTCAGTCTGAGCTAAAAGCTATATGGAAAAATAAACATATTTACAGATATCAGACCCCTCGGATAAACGGGGGGGGGGGGGGGGGGGGGGGCAAAATAATATTCGATTATTCACATATTTATACACATTTATACAAAAAGTTGACCTCTATGGCCAACTGATTTTAATACTCTCTATCCTTATTTATTTTTTCAATGGATTCTGGAGATTTTACCAGACTGTTGGACCCCATTAATGGAAGCTGAAGATGTACCAAAATACAAAAGTGTTTTGCCACAACATAAGGAAAGCAAAGAAGAGCAAAACTGGTCTGTACACTGAGGAATGGGTCTTTGTGTCCAGATTCACCACTTTGATTGTAGTGTGTTATTGCAGATACTATTTCAGATATACAACACACTATTCTGTAGGCACCGAAGATCCATAATTATCCACAAATTACATGATAGCCTGCAGCGTCCATGTTGTCATGTCAGAAACATCCTTGTCTTCATATATTGCATCTTGATTTCCTCTAAAATCAAAGTCACAACTAGGACGAATTTCCTTCAGAAGTGATTCAGCTGAAAGACTCATCAAAGCACCAAAATAAGAAGTAGGAAAACGGGAAGAGAACTTAAGGTTGACGTTTGGTCTTCATTTAACAACACCTTGAGTCCAAAGCTCTACAAGTTGGTGATCTGGACTCTGGTGTGATGAATACTGAGGTTTAGATGCTGGGGTGGTGTGAGGTGAAGGGGGGCGGGGGGGAGAGGGACAGGGGGCTGGCCGGGGTGTTTGAACCGACGGGAGCGGTCCCAGAGGAAGAGTCCACTGACTGGGAAACACTGTATGTGTGAAGAGAGTCATTAAGCGCTGAAGTTGGTACTCATGAGGCATGAGATTCTGTTCAGTTATTATTGAAGCATCTTTACAAGACTCACCTGACTGTGTAACTGGTTATGTGAGCAGGGTCTGTGACTCCAGCAACAAAGAGCTTTTTAGGCGGACCGTCCGATTCCACGCCACCTGAGTGGAGAAGATGAAATAAATAAATAGACAGAAAATGTAATGACAACTAAATCTATTAATAATAAGAAGAAATGAGCCCAAAATCAACGTGATTTCTGAAGAGTCATGTGACACCGAAGACTGGAGTAATGATGCTGAAAATTCAGCTTTGCATCACAGGAATAAATTACATATTTAGGCAGGTAATATTGTAATAATATTTCATAATATAACTGTTTTTTGTATTAAATAAATGCAGCCTTAAGTGAGCATAAGAGACTTCTTTAAAAACATTTAAAAATCTTACCGACCCCAAACGTTTAAATGATGGTTTAGTTACTCCATGCAAAGAAAATGTTGCTAATAAAACATTCAAAAGTGCTTATAAATTGGAATTCTTTCACTATATTCATTAGATCTGATAATAGATTCAAATGTTCTTTTGCAAATGCCTTTTAGAAGAAACAACAGGTTATAATTCAGAATATTACTACCTTTCCTTTTCAAAGGTGCAACCGATGGCCATCTCACTCCAGAGCTCACAGATCCTCTGTTCGATCAAAAACACATCAAAAACTTAGTTCAGAAAGGATATTTCTATATCTTACATTTTGAAATGAATAAATATGTGACCACATTCTGAAAAACAATCCTAGTAGTCTTGACTTCTGAAGGATATACATTCTAATATTGTGGTTTTATTCACAAACTTACCCTCGAAACCTTCGAGTTGGACTGGGTGAGGAATTAGGAGTGACACCGCTGTCCTGGGAATGGAATCCCTGCGTGGGACATACAGAGAGAGATGACTAAAAAGAATGACAACGGATAGACACTGATGAACCCGAAGAGAGTGAAATACTCACTGGAGACAGATGGCCATGCCAATGACTCGCAGGAGGGAGGGGAACAGCAGATGAGGCACTAAGATGAGGGGGCACAAAATCAGTTAAAAAGATATTTCGATAATAAACTGTTCACTTATGTATATCTAGCTACCTTAGTCTCTGTAAACTCCCTCTCAAAGTGAGCTCCATGTTCTCAATCTGGAAGAAAAGCATTGTACAATAAAACCTCACTTGATTGAATATTTCTCATGCACTAAAAAAACTACCAATGCTTATGTTTAAATGCTTAATTAGTTTGGTAGACAAATATAAATTGTCTACTGGCGAATCTCTTTACAAAACTAAAATATAGGCTATATAAAAGAGCTTTAATATTAAGTTGGATTTTGACCCAGTCTCACTGGTATTGGGTATCCCTAATGGATGCAGTTTCATCTGCTAATAAGAAATTGTATAATATCCTATCCTTTGTTGCCAGAAAAAAAGATCTTTTACTTAATTGGATAAGTGATAAATCTCCATCTCTTGAAGGTTGCCATAAGGTTATTTTTGAGTTGATTACCCTGGAGCGTCTTACCTAGTTATTACATCAAAAAACATGCCAGTTTTATAAATTCTGGACCCCATATCTGGACTATTTGGAAACTCATCTTCGCCCTATTACTTTACAAGGAACATTGTAATTGTATAACTCTCAGGACATTGAATCTTTGTCCTCTTCAGCATCTTTTTGAAATATTATATTTTCAATATCTTTTTGTTATTGTTCTGTTTTATATGCAAATCTGAGCTATTGGTGTTCCTTTACTTTTATTTTATTGTATTGGTTTTTTTTTGTGATGTCTTGTTATATTTGTATTATAATGAAAATTCAATAAACATAATTATAATATATATATATATATATATATATATATATATATATATATATATATATATATATATCAGTATATATAGGCTATATAATTTTTTCATTCTTAAAGTAAAATCACCCAACAAGTGCTTAACAACATATATGTGAACTTTGCTACAGATTAAAAGCAATCGATTCTTTAGTTCTCACCTGTCTCTTGTGTTCGGATCTCTCACATGACAGGGAGAATGGGGACAGAGGGAGGGTCTGCAACACAAATGTAATGTTGTATTTACTTCTTCGAGGTTTTTTTTTTAATAAATGTCCAAAACTGATATTCACAGACCATCTGAACACTCACCCGGGAGGGAAAGCTCGGATTTACAGACACGCTGCTCCGACGATACCGAGCCGAACTATTAGAGCTAAACACTGTCGTCCCATCACTAAAGTGCCGACAATGAAAAGTTGGAAATTTCAAAGAATACATTTGTTTTAGGATCAAATTATTTTGCAGTGTTTATTACTTTTTAAACATCATGGCCCGGTTGTAGAACGTGGCCTAGAAAAAAAGCATTACTGGTGTGCATCTTGAGACAAAACAATGTTGTTGCAAGTTGTTTTCAGTTAAAACAGCTCAAACATGCATTTTAGTCTGAGACTCGCTGACTCGGCTTAGCCTTAAACCTTGTCAGTGTGAAACCGGGTGAATATATTCTGTTCCATTCTCTCAGCGATGAGTGCAATTCCCTCACCTGACGTTCGTGATCATGGGGGCGCTGTTCGACCTTCGGAGGGCTCCTCCTGCGCCTGCGCACTGGTCCACCTCCATCCTCTCCATAGCTCGTCCTCTGGCACCGAGGCTGTGCGTCACTCACGGCCGGGCTGAACGCCCCCTGAAGCGGCCAGAGCACCAACTCTCCCCCGGCAAAAGCCCGACCAGCAGGCCTCACGCCAAAATACCCGATCCAATTTAACTGGTTGACTGCTTTCCCGTGTCTATCGCATTTTGTTGAAGTTTAAAATGAAACACTGTAAGCTTTGTACAGTAATGTGATGACCAGCTGTGAGCTCGCGCTACAGCTTGTTTATCGGTTCGCGCACAAACTTGGTATAAACTCCTCAGGTTGATTTCGTCGGCGTAAACATGAAGCTTGTACAGTTATTTATGTGCATTACGGAGATTTTTCCTATTCAGACCATTAGATTAGTAAGTTACATTCAGGGCTATTCTCAATGCACAGCCAATAACTCGACAAGGTCCTTTGGCTTTTTAATCCAATCCAACTTATCCAAACAGAGTAAATAAAACATCGAAAAGCGCAAACAGCACATAAGCGAATTAACACAGATCAAAGTAGTCCAAAAATAAGCTTTCGGGTCTTTTCGGTCAAATGTCGTGATAAAGGTGAAGCTTTATGCCACGGCTTATTTATCAAGTTTACCTGCTAGTTTTTTAAGCAGTCGGAAAAATGACATAACACAATCCCGATAAACATGTGATCGTCGGCTCTGTCGGTGAAAGCATCCTCATCTGAAAGTGTCTACTGATACAGTCCGAAACACGGGATACATTAAAAGTTTTCCGGTCATTTCTTAATTTAGAAAATAAAACATATTTCCCGCAACCAAATAGAGATTGTGCGTCCCCTTGTACAACAGCGCCTTGCTCTGGTAGACAAGAGAACTGAATAGAGATAAAGCACTGTGCTCAAGAGAAGTGAATATGTGGCTTGCTGCATATTCTTTTGCCAATTATTCTGGCCTTGTTGCAAGAGTTTGCATATCAGATAAATCTTTTTTTAATTTAAATCAATACGATTAATGAGACATTTCAGGTTATTTTCATTGAGGATTAATCCAAAAGAATCACCTTGGGTGACTGTCATATCAGTAATGCTCTACAAAACTGTATTAAAGTTAAATTAAGCTTTTGATGTAAGTAAATAGTACTAATTTTGAAATACGATTTCATTTGTTAACATTAATAATTGCATTATGTAGCCTATTGTGAACTTTAAATATTTTCCACACTATTTATTAATTTTGGTTAATGCTGATTGCTGATTTATAAATGTGCTATTGTTCATTCATGTTTTTTTTTATATAATACATGAACTAATTAAAACGTTAAATGTGTATTATGAATGCTATAAAAGTATTTTTCATTGTGGTTCATGAGACCTATGCATTAACTCATTTTAATGAATGACATTTATATAACAAATATCTGGTTTTCCTTTTTAATGGTGAATTCTTATGAATTTTACACACTTACATATCCAATATTAACCGTTTATACTAGTGAACGTGTGTATTTTCTTTCAGAACTGTATAAGGCAAACGAAGTTAATTCTATACTACCATTCATAAAGCAAAGGTCTGGTGTTGCTTATGAATTGGCGAATGCTGAGGAATTACAAATTCAAGCATAAATGAAGCATAATAAATTACACGGGATGAAAGTGTTTCAGCTTTTAAGTTTTCATTTAGACAAAGTGTGTGATTTTATCTTTGAGATGCATTCAAATAAATGTTTATTCACTCCAGGCCTTACATTTTTAAAATACTAAGGATGTGCAATTCAACCGTTTCAGGATCTCTACAACAAACAGGGCATGCCTTGCTGATAATGTGAGCGAATCAGTTTAATTGTCACAAGATGTAAATTAGTAACTTTTTACTTCCTGTTTCTTTTGTTTATTATTTTGGCCTGTTAACAGTACTTCAATTCTGGTCACTCAGCAATTAATAACTTATTTTGTGCTTAAGAAATGCCAATTTCATACTTTGGATGAATTATTACTTTATTAATATTTACTGGTTTTACATTTTTACTCACCAAATATCCATCACAAACAAACACAAAAACATAATGTTTAAAAGAGGTGGCTGGTTATAACTGCTCGGTCGCATACTAGCATTAAACATGCTGCAATACTCAAGATTGTGTGAAATTACTCTGTAATATTAATGAATAATAAATAAATATGAAATCGGAAGCATGTAAAGTAGGTCTGTCCCTTTGTGCATTCCCAACCTCATTTATGTTATTCCTGATGATTTCGAGTCACTTTCATGAGCTTCGCCTGCCTTATGTGAATTGCCTTGCTCTTGATCCTCAGCCTCTTTCTGTCCTCCAAGAATCTGTAAAGGCCAGAGAAGGTGGGTGTTATGACCGGCGTCGGACCGTCCACAGCAGGCTAAGCTTTTGTCTCCTGTTAAGAAATAAAGGAGCGCATTGAGCCACGAATTGCAGGAAGCCAGCGGCCGAGTGATCTTGTAGCAAATGGAAACCATCCGCATGGTTTGGCACTCGGCGGCCTTCGTTTCTTTGAGGACGAGGAAGAGCGTGCGCGTTATGTGGAAGGGCAGAAAACACAGTGCGAACAGGATGGTGATGGCGATGATGGTTTTGATGGACTTGCGTCGCCTGTTGAGGTACGGTGCGTGCTGAGAGCCCGAGATGGACACGGACGTCCTGTCCTTGACCCCTTCCACCCCACCACACATTCCCCCTTCCTCCTGCACCTGTGGCTGGGAATGTAGCGTCAGGAAAATGGTCCGCACCACCTGCGAATAGCACCACGCAATGACGATAAAAGGGAGAAAGAAGCCCAGAAGGTGCAGAACGATTCCATAAGGCACGTATTCGGAAAACTCGGTGTCTATTGCGTCATCCCAACAGTTCCTGTATACCTCCACCTCGACTTTTCCAGCGTCACTGCCAACTTCCGACCAAGAATCGACTCCTTCATTCACTCCACCTCCTAGTTTCCTCAAAACGTCCCCTGTTTTGGCAAACCGGACGATGGGGCACGTAAGTATGAACACTACGACCCAAACGGCAGCGCAGATGCCTCTAACAACCCGCTTGCTCTCCAGGGTGATGGTTCTAATCGGATGGCAGATGCCCATGTAGCGATGGACAGATATACAGGTGAGGAAGAAGATGCTGCAGTACAGGTTGAAGTAAAACAAGAAACGCACCAGCCTGCACATGAAGTCTCCGAAAACCCAGTGGTCACGCATCACGTAGCTAGCCACGAGGAACGGCAATGAGAAGCTGTACATCAGATCCGTGGAGGCCAGATTGACCATGTAGATCAGCGAAGTGTTCCACTGACGGCCACTCTTGCACCGGTAGGACCGCAGGAGGACGGTGGAGTTCAGGACGAGGCTGAGCAAGAAGGTCAAGGAGTAGCACAGAGGCAAGATGACATACTTGTAGGACTCGTCGATGCTACAGCTGTGCAGCGCGCTGTGGTTTCGAACATCTGCCTGCACTGATGCGTTGGAGACTGAAGCCGTGGTCTTCATGATCAGCTGCCCTTGATCTCGTAACCACAAAGCCACATCACTGTCTTCTCTGGACCTCTTCAACTCAATCTAGAAGCACCGCATTCTTCAACCTTCAGGATATCCTGCGAGGACATCGCTCCGAGATAGAGAAAACAGATGAACGTTACATATCTTTACTGTGATTGCATTGTAAATCTGAACTTTCGTGTTTGCAGTCCGCCCTATGGTTTATTTCCAAGCAAACTGCAGGTTGACCAATGACTTAGCCCTTCAACTTTCTCTGTCTATAATGCTGATTCGGCCTCTTCTGGTCTATTGCCCCATCAATCAGTAACAAACCGTTCCGTAAACCCTTCATTCATCTTTCCATCCCCCATTTTTGTGTTCCATGTATTGGACAAATTCTTTTGCTTTGCAGTTTGTCTTTGCACAAATTAAGAGGTATCCACACGCGCCACTTCCTGACCTAACTGACCTCGTTTGCAATGAAAACTGTGTTAAGATGCCTAATTTATGTCGAGACATGGCTGATGCATTCATCTATATGCACAGTACCTACATAACATGAAGTACTAATGACAATGTCCATGTTTGGTTCATGAAATACTTGAGTTTGTTGCTTAATAAATATTCCTGTGTACTACAGAGGCAGCTTTGGTATTACAGTATCATGTGTTCTTGCAGGTATGTTCCAGTAAATAATTAATACTCATTCATTCAGACAAGAATCGCTGAGCGGAAACCCAATCCAGCGTACAGTTCAACACAAAAGTGTGCATATCAATTATAAACACCATGATTTGAGTATTAAAAGTTTGAAAATGTAAACTAGAGAAATTTGAAATATTATTATTGATAAATAAATATTATTGAAAGACTATATAGGTAATCTTTATTCATTTAAAGCAACCCCCACACACCACACACCCTAAGTATTAAAGCAATGTTTGTTTTGTTTTGATAGATCTATATGAAATATCTTACCTGTTTAAAGGTCAAGGAAAAAAGGTAACTCCAATGTGCAGCCAAAATGCATTAATTTCTTCACGCATCTGATAAAAGGTCAGGATGAAAAGTTCAGTGCTGTGTATGTTTTGCTGCACTGCAACTACAGTCTCTGATTACAAATTACTTTATCAATTTACAATCCAGATCTGCAAAATTTTACTAATCATGTCTCAATCAGTAATTCTGTGTGCTTCCTTCTTTTCTGTCTCGCCTCTTTGCCCTCTCGTTCTCTCTCTCTCTCCCTCTCTCGCTGTACACACACACACACTTATTTCAAGTTTCACTTATTAAGTTTCACTTATTAAGAAACTTAAAAAAAAAAAAGTTTAATCTATTATTTGTTCTAGGATACTTGAGGCACCTTAAAATGGTTATCGAGAGGTTCTACAAAAGGTTCTTCTAGTCCGATTAACCCCCAAACGACCGTAAAGTCACCATATAATCAAAATTGATAATTCCTTTTTTTGTGTGAATTTATTAGAAATGATTTATATCATTATGGACATCATTATTTTTTAGTCTTTAATCAAACTTACCCACCCTCTTGCAGCGACATCTCTTCTTTGATGACGTATTTATTGCCTTGAGGGCAGGACAACCTGTCACTCACATGAGATCGACCAATAGCAGACCACAACCACCAATCAATTCCCGATGGACAAAATCAAGCCCCGGCCTAAATTTGTTCTTGTTCGAGAAGCTGTTTCACCTGTATATACATCACAATAGAGAAGAAAAGACTATCGCAACCTCCGTTTCATACCGTATCACTTAATTTTTTGCAGAGTATGAATAGCATAATTGTCATGATTCCACTACTTGCATTTACAATTACACAAAAAGGCTGATGACTCTGTATAAAATACAAAATAAATGATTTATTAAATTATTGTGAATATTTAGCACTGAGATATTCATTCTCATGTTTAAGTTTGATACACAGGAAAGTTGTAAGGCACATTCATATGACACAGCATAATTCACACCATTTATATTCATATGACGATTACATATACTGTTTTTCAATGGAATGCTTAATGTAACGGATGATTAATACATCACAGTTATTGATCGTATATGGCTTTAACAGCAGCTTGTTATATTCTCTATTTACAGATGCAAAACTAAACCATAAGTGATGGGACATGAATCAGAGCCATTAGGGTTTGTTATTAAGGCACTTTTTTTCACAATAAAACTTGTGACTATAATCAATGTGACTCACATTTTAGCAAAAGTTTCTTTGAGGGCTACATTTCTTCAAGAACAAACAGGATATTCTGGCCTTGTTAGTCCACAGGATGAGTAACAGTAAATTACTGCTTTCAGAAAGTGCCAATGTTGAACTGCAGTTACGCAGCTGTTGCAAACAAAAGTCATTCACAATGTCGTCATATCCTGTACATCCAGGAGCAAAGCATCTTGCTTATTCCGAAGGTGGTCTCGTACTACAAGATGTTTCACCAGTTCTGAGCTCAAATCTAAAAGCACAAATAGTGTATGAGTAAATATCAATGTCATTTTACAGGTGCCAAACCATTTTGGATAAGTGTTTAAAGAAGCATGGGAATTATAACACATTTGTGAGTGGCATTTTTGATTTAAAATGTTGTTCTTGCAAACTGAACCCTTGAGGAAAAAGATACCTTGAATGTCTTCATTCAGTGAGGCCCTGAGCGCATTCAGCTGCAGTAAAGAGCATGTCTGCAGATCACTAAGGCTAAGAATCTTTCTCCTTATGTTCACGTTACTGTGGGTGACTTCTTGCTGAAATTAAAACAGAAATATGACAAAAATAAATACCAGAGAAATGAATGATCGCACAAAAAAACACACACTGGATTAAGTTCAAATAACACAGAAATCTTACACTCCTCTGCCTTAAAGGCACAAGTACCACAGCAACATTGCAGAAGTAAAACTCCCATTAATTTTTTTAATAGAGAAATATATTTTTAATGATTCTGTATAAACCTTTAAATAAATGAATCGTTTTTTCAGCAAGGATGGTTCTTAATCTTTTTGAATCCAAGGCCCCTTAATATGAAGGATTAATGATCAGGATTTTTAAAAACATGTTTTATGCACAATTAAATATGTTAGAGCTTGGCATAAATAGACATACAATTTATATTCATTAAAATACCCATGGCCAAAGCAGTTTGGAAAATGGATGGATGGAAATTCCTATGGCGTTTTAAGATTTTATAAATTTACATGATTTTCCCATGTCTTGAAATCACACATTTATTTATATATAATAATAAATTAAAGGTAAATATTTTAAGTAATCTTGAGGTCCCCTTGAAAGTTTGCTGAGGCCCCCTAGTGGCCCCCGGGTTGGGACTCACTGCATTAAATTGATCAAAAGAAACAGTAAAGACACTTTATGTTCCAGAAGATTCTATTTCAAATATATAGTATGTGTTCTATTCATTAAATGTAAATGTTCCACAAAAATATTGTTTTGAAATGTTTCTTAAGCAGCAAATCATCATATTAGAATGATTTCTGAAGTAATGATGAGTAAGAATGCTGAACATTCAGCTTTGTATCACAGGAATAACTAGGGGTGGGAATCACAGGGTACCTCACGATATGATACACCGTACACGGCTCACGATACCGAAAATATCACGATGCAGCAATCCTGGGATATATTGCTAGACAATCCTATAATGATACATCACGATATCTGTCTATGAAAACAAAATGCCTGTGAAAAGGTTAAGTGCAGGTTTTCTCTCCAAACTGTTAGAAAACAATACAAAAAAAGTTTTTCAGTCTGTAAATTAAATTGAACATTTTAAGCTTAGCTTATACTTTTTAGAAGCTTAAACTTTTCTTTGTGTGTAAACTGACACATTTTATCTGCTTATCGACTTGTTTTATATAAATCTGGTACATTTCAAAATTTTCCAACCTCTTTTATTTAAACCTGGGAACATCTCAGTGTTTACCAGCTTCCTTAAAATAAACCTGGGGCGAGTGTTGTCAAAGGTACCGACTTAGGTGTTTTCAATTTTTTAAAACGTGAGGATACCAGCATTTCCCCATAGCATTTTGAGCACTTTTGAGCGTATTCTTAAATAACTCTGATTGGCCATTGTGTTCACGCGCTCAACATATATGTCTGTGATTGGCTACAATGATCAATGCTTCAAAAACATGTTGTAAATAGACATCTTTCACTCTCTTCACCGAGCGCTTACACAGGTACGCACGGGAGTGTTTGAAAGCAGGCGTCTATCAGTGGATATATTAGGGAAAATTACTTCTGGAAACAAGGCCACTTTTCCATCATCATCTACTTATGTGATCCTGTCTAACTTTATACTGTGGAACACAAAAGTAGATATCTTGAATGATACTTTTATGGTGCTTTTGAATCAATTTTGAAACTTGAAAGCTTCAGTCCCCATTACAAGCTCCACTTTTAAAACATCTCCTTTTGTGTTCCACGGAAGACAGACAGACCATACTCTTAGGTGAACTATGCCATTGAAACCCCTCACCTCTTTCTCTTTCTGTTCGGCCAATAGCTTGTCTCTGAGAGCCCTGAGAGCTGTTTTCACTTCCTGTTTTAGCCCCAGAGAGCAACTCCCACGTACCTCCGCCTCACATGAGCTCTGAGGATGACAAAAACCTAATGCTTTTTTGCAGCCTCATAAATCATGACCTGAGATACAACTTGAAAAACTCAGGGAAACTACTATCACGACTATCTGCTCCCACCTCTTTGCTAGATGCTCCTTCGTCATCCTCCCCCTCACTCTCACTGTTGTTGATGAAACAGAGCTGAAGATTTTTAGGACTATTAAATCTGTTTCATGGAAACACACAGTGCACATTTGAATAGAAACATCAGAACAACACGTCTCAACATTATGAACCTGCTCATGTGTAATACCGTGAGGTTATGACAGGAACACGGCAGGGACTGTAGTCGTTCTCATCTGCCCATGGCTCCCGGTGGAGTGAATGGTGTTTTGACCCTGTCCAGCATCCAAGTATTCTGTCTCGCTCTGATAAACCCAGACTCTAAAACACAAGGAGGTCAAGATTGATAATTATAAGAAATGTTTTACTGTATTTTAGGTCAAATAAATGCAGCAAACATAAAAAAAAATCATAATTAATCCAAACTTGGTGTTGAAGTGTATATATATAAAGTCCAGATAAAATGTTACCTCTGCCTTTGTCCTTCTTTCCTCTTCCTGCCTTTCTAGCTCTGCAATCCGTAAACTTAAATCCTCCCACTGCATGATGGGTAGGTTGTGATCACCCAGGGGGGTCTCATCACTCTTCTGTTTGGTCCCCTGGCCAGAGGGTGAGGGGTCATCTATGGTCCTCTCATAATGCCTGTCGCTGTCTGGATTCTCCTCCATCCGTTGGAGAGTTAAGCTAGTCCAGCATAGACAGGCTAAAAGCACATCCATATCCACATGCATTTAATGCCACAAAATGATAAATATAATTAAATAAAAATAATTAAGATAATTTCCAAAACTTTCAAAATCTTTCATAAAGCTAAATTATTTTGAAATATATTATATAGACACACAGTACCGGTCAAAAGTATGGAATTATTATAATTTTTTTAATTGTTTTTGAAAGTTATCAAGCCTGCATTTATTTGATTTGAAAATACAGAAAAAAAACAGTAATATTGTGAAATATTATTACAATTTAAAATAACGGTTTTCTATTTTAATATATTTAAAATAATATATTCCTGTGGTGCAAAGAAGAATTTTCAGCAGCACATGATCCTTCTGAAACATTCTGAAATGCTGATTTGCTACTTGGGAAGCATTTCTCATCAATGTTGAAAACAGTTGTGCTGGTGCTTAATATTTGTGAAAACTATGATACATTTTATTAACGCATTTAAAAGTTAGGCCTTTAAATTCATGACTAAAGCAACAGGGTTGACAGTTTTATAGCAAATTTGAAATTTAGCAATCAAACTGGGGCATATTTCCTAACACAGGAGAATTTGGAAACATGGCTGGGGACATGCCAAAAGACTCCTCGTGGAGACAGAAAGGGAAAGATACATTTACCACATTTTTGTAAAGTTACGTATAGGCTAAAAGAGAAAATGCCTGCATTAACACATAAAAGTTGGTATCTGTCTTTCATTGTTCGTGTCATTGTTTACACATCATGAGAGACAAAATTAAGACACTAAAGGTCGGTGTTTCATTCTAGACCTTTAAAGGAAACCCATGCTACATTAAAATCCTTATTGTCAGAGAAAACAACTCAGCCCAGTCACATCGAAGTGAAGCAGCTTTTCTGTTTGCTTAGTGACGCGTGATTAATACGTGCATCTTTTAAAAACCAATCTTCAGGGTTTTTTTATCAATCATACACTTTATACTTAATTTTACAAGTGACAAAGTTGGATCGCTGTGGAGCCCCTCCAGTTCCTGTTTTCTTTTCTGAAAGATGTTTTTGACATTATTCACTCACCTTTTATCGGAAAACTGATGTCGACATCGCGACTGTCACCTAAACGTCAATGTATTTACACATTTCGCCCAGTTTAGTGAATTATTTCTCCGTACTTCAATGCTTCCTCTGCTGGAGAGGAAACACCCCTTTGGATTTGGCTTTCCACCCGCCCTCTCCGTCCGTGTTTCTTCTCCTGTTTTCTTAAACCGCAAGCTAACGGCGACTTTTTATCGATGTCGATCTTCTGAACTTGTGGAGTCAGTTGCTTTCTGTTAAAAGTTTGAATTGTGCGAATGTTTTGTACTGTTGTAGTGACAGCTGGAAGTGCAGATAAGACTGTTTGGGAAGGGTTGAGAAAGTAGGTGTCCGATTTCACATGTTGGGATATGAAGACCGCGAGCAGATGGGAAAGTCTGCGGGACTGTGTCGTGTTCACACTGCTGATGAAAGCTGTGATGCAATGCTTCAATTATGTAGAAAATCACATCCCCTTACACCCTAACATAAACTTCACATCGCATCTCTATGTAAATATTTAAACATTTCTGGAGGAGCTCGGGGTTGTTGATTTGCCATGAGTTAAGATGCAGTGAAAGAAGTGAACTAAAACATAAAAATAAAAAAACATGACAGCCTTTCAGACATTTTATTTTGCAGGATCATACAGTAAAAAAGAAAATTAAATGGAATGTCAAGAAAAACTTTAAAAGGTTTAAAATGACTCAAATAAGTTGTGTTACCATCAACTAAACAGTAAATATTTTACACTATAGACAAAATGGTTTTACTGACTAAAAAAAAATTGTGAAAAAATATTTATGGCAAAAAATTTTTTCTAGCAATATCAGCCTTTTGAGACCCATTTCTTTTTTTTTTTACAAACTCTGGACAGTTACATGGACAGTGTTTATTGGAGTGTTATGTCATTGACCCATTTATGTAGGCCTATACATGTAGTATACGGGTTAGTGAAGGCAATGATCGACCCTAATTATTATTTTTTTAGTCAGGAGATATCAAGTGTGTCTCCTGTATTACTTGTGGAGTTCATGCGCTTGTATGCTGTCTTTAAAACAAAAGAAAAACATAAGTACTAAATACTAAGAAATGTTTACAGTTCAAAGGTTTCAATTAAACTTCAGTCAATGCTAATATTTTATTTCAATTTGTTATGCAAATAATAAAAATGGATATAGATTTAGACATTGTAAATTATATCATACATACATACACTCAATCATGGCCACTTCATTAGGTACACCTTGTTAGTACTGGGTTGGGCCCTGGCTTTTGCCTTCAGAACTGCCGTAATTCTTGGATTTTGGTCCATATTGACATGATAGCATCACGCAGTTGCTGCAGATTTGTCGACTGCACATCCATATGAATCTCTCGTTCCACCATGTCCCAAAGGTGCTGTATTGGATTGAGATCTGTTGACTGTGGAGGCCATTTGAGTGTAGTAAACTCACTGTCATGTTCAAGAAATCAGTTTGAGATGATTTGAGCTTTGTGACATGGTGCGTTATCTTGCCGGATGTAGCCATCTGAAGATGATACACTGTGGTCATAAAGGGATGGACATGGTCAGCAACAATACTCAGGTAGGCTGTGGCGTTTAAACGATACTCAGTTGGTACTAAGAGGCCCAAAGTGTGGCAAGAAAATATCCTCCACACCACCCCTAGCCTGAACTGTGATACAAGGCAGGATGGATCCATGCTTTCATGTTGTTTACACCAAATTCTGACCCTATACCATCTGAATGTGCATGGCAGCAAAAATTGAGACTCATCAGACTAGGCAATCTTCTATTGTCCAATTTTGGTGAGCCTGTGCGAATTGTAGCTTCAGTTTCCTGTTCTCAGCTGACAGGAGTGTCACCCGGTGTGTGTTCTGCTGCTGTAGCCCATCTGCTTCAAGGTTCAATGTGTTGTGTGCTCAGAGATGCCCTTCTACAGACCTCGGCTGTAATGAGTGGTTTTTGAGTTACTTTCTATCAGCTCGAATCAGTCTGGCCATTCTCCTCTAAGTCTGGCATCAACAAGGCATTTTCGCCCACAGAAATGCCACTCACTGGATATTTTCTCTTTTTCAGGCCGTTCTCTGTAAACCCTAGAGATGGTTAAGTGTGAATATCCCAGTAGATCAGCAGTTTTTGAAGTACTAAAACCAGCACGTCTTTCGTCGTGGCACGTCCATGCCACATTCAATCACTTAAATTACCTTTCTTCCCCATTCTGATGCTCATCTTCAGCAGATCGTCTAGACCTACATGCCTAAATGCACTGCGTTGCTGCCATGTGATTGGCCTAATTAGTTAATTAGATCAAATTAACTTTGATCTCTAATTTTTGTGTATAATTATTAAGAATCATTAAGAGAATTTTCTTCCTTCAGTATTTCTACAGACTTTCTTTTCCTACAAAAAGAAAGCATCACAGGTATGACAGGAAAACTGTGTAATTCAATTCATTTTCCTCAAACTCTAGCTAAACTCAATCAGTCTGTTCTGGCGAAGCTTCCAAAAGCTCCCACTGTGTGGCATCAATGAGCCTATAGTTGATCTGTCTGTATTTGTGTGGGTCTTTCTTCCTCTGTCTGCCCACCTCTTCATATAGACTCTGAAACACTGGCTGAGGGGGTGTGAATCGGGCCGACCTGGCCAGATCCAGATAATAATCCCACTGATCCTTGTCCAAATGGAGCAGGTGCTTCAACTGCACACCTTTGTCTAGTTTTTTTTGCATCTCTCTCTGCACCTCCTTCTCCATCTCTGCCTGGGTGGGCAGCTTTACCGAGCCCTCCAGAACAGCTAGAGCAAACTGAACCTATGGATACAAATTATAATGTTACAGTGAGAATGATTCACATATGCACTATTCAAACAGTAATCAAACCATCCAGTTTTTTCTCTCTGCTCACCTGACAGTCAAAATGTATGAAAGGGCAAATAATTTTGCAAATGCCAATAAAAAACATAGACGGGAAGCCAGGGGGCAGCAAGTACTTGTAGAGCGGAGTCACAAAAAGTTCCTGTACGTCCAGGCCTAGCTCTGATGGACAAAGGAAAGGGAAGTTAAAGTTGTATCCTGTACAGAACAGAAGAATATCAGCCCGGGTCACTGATCCATCCTGGAACTGTAAAGATCCATTCTCCAAGACCCCAACAACAGAGGTAGCCTGCTGGATACCCACAGGCAGAGGTAAGGACATAGTTGGTGTGCTATGACTTAGAATCACCTAAAATGAGAAAGAGAGAAAACAGAGTCACTCTACTCTCAATTTTTAGCAGAGAGGCCAGCTTCTCTTTCCACTCCTTACAGATACTAAGACCAGTTCCAAGTGTTTAAGATTATACATTTGAACTACTCATATGGATAGGATGGACAAATCCAAAACAAAATTGGCAATGGCAATCGTAAAATCGTTTTTATTCAAATTTATTTACCCTCAAGTTGGTCCAAACCCATATGTCTTTCTTTCTTTTGTAAAACTTAAAGGAGAAAAAGTCATGCTGATCTTTTTGATGCTATAAAAATGCTCAGCGGGAAGGTTTAAATAGCGATGAAACAGATGTTGTGACAGATCTTTTCTTTATTGTGACATACATCCGAGTGTAACAGATTATCAGAAAAAAATAATCTTTCTTCTGCTGAACACAAAAGAGTTAATGAGCCCCATTGACTTTCATAGCATATTTGTCAATGGGGCCCATCAACTGTTTGGTCTCTTTTGTGTTCAGCAGAGGAAAGAAATTCATACAGGTTTGGAACAACTTGAGGGTGAGTAAATGATGACAGAATTTTCATTTTTGGGTGAACTAACCCTTTAAATAGTGCTCTGTATACTTATATGACTTCAAAAGACTTTGAATCAGAGTTATTATTAACTAAAACTAAAACCATAAAAAATGTTGTTACTTGAAATAAAATAAAATATAATATAAAAAAGAAAACTTTTATTTCAGCTAGTTACCAAAGCAACATTTTTCATTTTCATTTAGTTAAACTTGAAGTACAAAAATAATTAAGATTTAAATAAAATTATAGACATATTAAAAAAAAAGAAACTAATAAAAATGACAAACAAAAAAAATACTACAACAAATTGAAAACAGGAAATATATATATATATTTTTTTAATTCAAAATGCTCATAAAAATATATATAATAGCATATAAATTATACTAAATAACACTGCTTTAATGGACTTAAATGGACTGCTTTTGGTATTTTTTTTGGAGCTCAGCATTGGTCATCATTCAGAGCTGCACAAACTGACATCTTTTGTGTTCCACAGATGAAAAAATAATACTTCGGAGGATAATGACAGATTTTCATTTTTGGGAGAACAACCCTCTAATTCACAACCAAACAAAGCCATTTAACATGGTATATGTAATATTGTAAAAAAAAAAAAAAAAGTTAAGCCACAAACCCGAGCATTAACTTGGGCTAACTCAATGGAAATGTCCACACCAGATGCTCTGGCCCCCAAGACCACGACGGACTTGTTGGCGAAGGGCTCTGGATAGCGATACGAGTGACTGTGTAAGACTTTCCCTGCAAAACAGCAGCGGAAAAAGGCAAAGATAAATGTAAGAAGATGAAAGACAGAGTGAAAAAGGGGAGATGCAGGGGTGTAATGAGACTAATAGTTGGGGCTTTTAGGGTTATGCATAGTGATCAGTGATCATTTGTTGTACCTTCAAAATGCTCTATTCCAGTAATGTAGGGCAGGTGGGGGTCGGAGTAATGCCTGCAGAAAGAGGAAGGAAATATGAGTCAGCGCTGAGACGCTAAAGGGCTCCTGTGGTCTTCTGAATTCCCTCACACAAATGCCACATGAATGCATAACATAATACCCATTCACATCACCTCTGAGAGAATTCAGTGAGATAAAAGCCTCTGGGAATATTATGGGGTAAATGAACATGCCACTATTTGAATAATGCTATGCATTTAGAACATCGCTGCGAAGCTGCAATTGGAGATTAGATGCAATTGTGTCCATTTGAGCATGTCTGGGAGATAAAAGGACTTAAGATGGCATTCCTCACCCGTTGCAGACGAACACTGAGTCGAACTTCTGTGTGTTCCGGTCTCCACATGTGCGGTGCGAAATTACCTCCCACGTCACAGCTCCCCCTGTCTCCGTCTCCATGGAGACGGGCTTCACCTTTTCCACCGCGGTGTTGAACTGTGAGGGACAAAGCAGTCTGTCATAAGCAATATTCTTGCTTCTGTTGGTAAGAAAAATACTAATACTGAGAACGTTTCTACTGTGGCTTCTAAACACACTTGACGGGTCTTTCGATTTTTGTGGTGACGCTGATGTCTTTGTCTGACAAGCAGAGGTCAGCGGCCCCTATACAACCCTGATCAATAGGCAATCTGTAATGATCTCAACTTTCTGGCCACTAGTTGATGAACAATTTTACCCTAATAGCTGTTGATACTCAACTCATACAGTTTATATAGAGTTTAATGTAGGAGGACTATGACCATGTTCCAGCAACTATGAAAAGAGATGTCAGTAAATACCAGACTTTTTTAATGGCATTGCTTTCTCAGACTTAGAATACATGGACACATGACTTTGTCACCTGATAATTTATCCATATTGTGTGTTAAATGCCACACTGTGTGAAGAAACATCACTATTAATTTTGTTAGCACCTCTTATACTATACTTCCCATACCATCAGTTTCTCTCATTGTTATGGAGTTTTACCTGCTTCAATACTCAAATATCTAGAGACATTATGTTTAGGTCTGCAAAATAAACAGTCATATGAATGGTGATGGACTGGTTTATAACAACACTCTGGATGGTTTGTCTCCTGGTTTAGGCTTTCATAAATCTAAAAATGTACAGTCAACCCACATTTCTTGCATTAAAAGAAAAAAATAGTAGGAGACTGATTAAGTTTCATTACAGACATAGAATTTATATTAAAGACAAACACACCTTGATGTGACGGGCAATATCATGTCTCTCACAGTATTTTTCCAAATACAGCTGAACCGACGTATGGTGCAAAAAAGAAGGCAGGTGGTCATCAAAGGGAAATTCAGGGAACATCATAACCTCCTTAGGCAAATTGGTTCTTTAAAACAGATATGGGATTTTATAGCACATAAAGTTGCATGAAAATTGGACACAAATGAAAAACAAATAAATTTCCTGCTCAAAATAAAAAGACACATCTTAAACATAGACTTGTTTACTGGTCTGTTCTGCCAGCTTGGTCAGGTCTGTCTATCGCTGACTTTGTTTTGTTGGTGTGCGCTTGTTGGTGTGCGCTTATTAATAGAGGAGAACATTATTTTGGTAGGATATTTGCTTAAAGTCACCATGAAATCAAAATGACAATTCTTTTTTTTTTAAGAAATAATTATTATTAATGATTCATCCATGCACATCCTTATTTATTTTTTTAAATCACATGCCCTCATAATCTTTAATCAAAAAAACGTCACCAGCAGCAATAGTAAACAACTGCATTTTAAGTCAAGCTCCACCCATTACATCCAAAGAGGGGGAGTTGGAAAACTATTGCAACTTCCATTTCATGGCAACTTTAATAGGGTTCAGCTTGTTAGTCTGGGAGATCAGACAATCTAGACTAGTCTAAACCAGCCCAAAAGTGATGAAAACCACAAGGTTTAAAATGCATTTATTCTCAGCAGGATTATGCACAATTTATTGATCTCTACCTGAGGTCCCTATACATACTGCTGTGGATGGGATACCCATTGTCATGTGGGCCCACTCGTTCCTCATAGAACCAGGTCCCACCTAAATGATCAGCCATTTCATACACCACGGGTGGATCAAAGGTCTCGGGCCTAGACAGGATGTGTCGAGCGGCGCAAAGCCCTGCCGGTCCAGCCCCTATCACCGCTACACGAGCTCTAACGTTACTCCTCCGCTCCATTCTCCAGAGCTTACACGAAAACCGACACAGAAATAAACAGACAATAATAAATAAAGTTTCGGAGTGAGATATCTATAAGTATATTACCCTCCAATGTTAAATAATTTCTCGTATTTATAAAAATAATCAATGATTTGTATCTTGACAAATGTGCGCATGCGTAGTGTCGTTCTTTATCAGCAAACTTGCAGGTCTCATATGAGTCAGAAGCAATTACCTGTTCTGGATCGGAAAACTCAACGCCGGTAATCACTCACACACACTACACACACAAAGCTGTTTACTGCGGAGATTTAGCGAGCATAATCCCCCATTTTGAAGGCATTTCGAAAAGAAATGCTTGGTCACCACAACAGTTGAATAATGTGTCACTAATGTGAACTTCGGTCATGTCTTTGAGTCAGCTGCCTCCAATCAATGTGGATTTCTCCTCTGTTGTTTGGTGTGGGAAGGCTGCATTGGCTGAAAGGAAAATCTTCCGGCATGCTCACTTTATAACTGTCAGTTCTTATCAGTAACGAGACACACACTCACACTGTATACGCCAGTGCCAATTCTTTAACAGTTTCACGATACTAACAAACGTTCCCAACACATTTCCCTAGTTTTCTTTCAGTAGCCTAATGATCTGACTGACTGTAAACGCGGGGCGGATGATATAAAGCGCGTGCAATGAATTCAAAATAAAGGCACACTTTCACTTTAACTCAGTCACTTTTAAAACAACTATTATATCTAAAAATTCGATGAAACAGTAGATAAACATCTCTAATACTAAAAGCGGTAACTCGTAGGGAGCTAGTTATTGACATCAAGTTAAGTTTGTTTGTTTATTGTTTACATCAAGGTAAAGTGTTTATGATGCCCTTTAAAGTAGGCTAGGCTATGCTGGTGCTATGATGGTATCAGAATCAGATATATTATGATATTTACATGGTATTTAAAAAGTTAGTGCCATTGTACTTTTTTGTTAGTGAATAGCCTATTTCTACAATAAGACACTCTTTGTGTATTTACTGTATTATATAGTTAAATGGGTAGCACTTTATTTTACAGTCCTGTTCTCCATGTGCATAGTATACTTATACTATATATGTAGGCCTACTTATTATAGTGATTACAATGACTGGGTAATAATTAGGTAGCCTACTAACCATGAACCTACTCATAAACCTAAACTTAACCTATGTAGCCTAGTTATTACCCAGTACCTTCTTAGGTTAGTACACTGTAAGTAGGTCTACACGTAAGTACACGTAGGCTACTGTAAAATAAAGTGCAACCGCAAAATGTTGCATCAGGAGTGTCACCTAGCCCAGTGAAATACTGTGCCCCTGTAAAATATTAGGGTAACACTTTACAATGAGGTTCTTTTATTAAACATTAGTTAATGTATTAACTAACATGAACTAACCATGAGCAATACATTTGTTACTGTTTTTGTTAATCTTTGTTAACGTTAGTTATAACGTTATACAAATCCAGCTTTTATTGCACACAAAGTTTGTCATGGATGCTGTACTGCAGGTGAAAAACTATTTATATCCATAACAATATCAAAAAAGAATATCAAAATATAGGGACAATTTTTTGATGGGAGGCCTGTCAAAGGCTGAAACACTCCTGGTTGACAGGACAGTGTAACTGATCAGATTGGCTTTTGATGTGGTGGCTGTTGTTGGGCCCTGTTACGAGTGAGGCTTATATCGGATTATAACTGTAAACATTTTATCAGTGTACTTTAGCATTCATAATACTTAGTTCTTCACTTTATATAAAAACCCCATAATTGATGACTATTACTGAATTGGATATTAGCACTGAGTGGAGCAATGGATGTTACATTACATTGCAAATCACCATAAAGATTATGTTCAAGTTAATTATATTTAATTAAGTTTAAATTGCATGATTATAATTATGCAGAATTTACCGCAGGCGTTTAGTCTTTTTTTTGTGTGTGTTGGAGTATAATAGGCCTGGCCTATATTATACAAAACCTTTATGTAAACGACTCAGTTCTAAACATCTAGCAAAAACCCTATAAACATCTCTACATTTGCTACTTTTTAATATTGATGTTAATAGTCTAAAACTTTACTGGCTATAATTTATTGGAAAGAAAAAGTTGTAGATACAACATCAATCACTAGTTTTGTATCTATACTTTGAGGGTTATCTTTTCTGTCAAGTACAGAGTTCTTCTGGTTTCTGCCTCTAAATATCATCCTGTTCTTTTTTCCAAAGTTATGTCTTTGACTCGAGTAAACTTGGAGTTTACTGACATTTATCAGGCTCACTGATCCGATGGTGGCATTTTATCAGAGCTTCTCTGGTCTGAATGTCTACAGAGCAGGATGGACACAGACCTTGCAGATTCATTTCTGCTGATCATCGACATGCATATACTTGGGGACATTTAATTTGCATTTTGCTCCACAATTATGGTTTATGAATGATTATTCTCAAATAGCTGCATGGTTCAAAATAGTCAAATGAGATTGAAAACGTATAACACCAGTCTACGCTAATGCAGTAGAGGCTCCAAGGCTGTTCAGTTTTAGATATTAGCTTTAAAACCTGAGTAGAAAAATGCTCAGTTACTGATACTTTTGATTTGCATATTTTCCCAGTGATTCACCTGGCAATGATTCGATTTCACATTTAGGAAACAAAAGCTCAAGGCCTTAAAGTTGGCATGCAATGTTGTAGATCTTATTGTGAACAAGTCATGGTGCATGCTTTTCATCTTTATAAAATTTTGACAGTTTTGACCTCGTAATTTTTTCTCAATCTTCCATGCAGTGGAATTCAATTTCTGAATTTCATTTAGGACAATTAAACCCAGCCCCACTTACAATCCACTAAAATCTCACATTCAGATCTGCCCCCATCTAGGCAACAACAGTCCCCAGTTATTTTCTTTTGCAATATTCAATTCACTCTGATGTACGGCACAATATGGAAGAAAATAACTTTTTCTACTTCCATTTCATCAACGAAAATATTTTATGCATTTTGGTTGTTCATTTACACATCTATGGAATTTTGGGGGCCTGAAAATGCAAGTTTTTGAAAACGATACCGTTATTGTCTCCATTTAAACGTCAAATATGCAAAGTTTTGGAAAAAGTGACGTCATGGGCACGCGTGTGACATGTTCAGTCTATAGTGTTTCTTTACAAAGTGACATCGCCAACTACTGACCTGGCAGCATAATACAGCGTTTTTAATAGTTTTCACGGATCCGTGTGAACGGCAATCGTTTTGAACTGTACGCGAAAAACGCAAAGGATAAACTTTTCCGTTTTTAATACATCGTTGTTGTGTGTAAACATACCCTGAACTTTGGGGGCCAGAGTTGAGTAGCCTCAGGCAATGCATTAGCTCAGTGCTGCTCAAACCTATCCTGGGAACCCCCCACCACTGTACATTTTGTATTTCTCCCTTAACTAGCACACCTGTTTCAAATCACTAGCTCATTTGACTGCAAGACTTGGATGGGGTTTGTCCGATAAGGGAGAAAATATGCAGTGGTGGAGGACAGGTTTGAGAAGCACTGCAGTAGCTAACCGTCCACTCATCTGATGCCTATTGCTGACAAAACTGGTTAGCACTTTCTCAATATAGCAAGCTTTAATCTGATTGGCTGACTTCATGCAACTTCCAGGAATATTTATTTTCTATATGTTTTCTATATGCGGTTTGGCACACTATTATCAACTCATTCCCCACCAATGTTAAATATTTAAGTTACTAGTCAGCGCCAGCATTAAAAAAAAAATCATTTTCACAAAACTTTTATGTCCCTCAGAATATTTTGTTGTATGAATATGTAAACAGTCAATATATCAAAACAGAGCCTCTGCTTTAAAAATCTAAAAATCTAAAACAACCAACATTTCAAACAAAAAGCTTAGAAAATCACGTTTTTGTCAAAGACGTCATTCAGATCGATTTTAGACCAATAATCAAAACATAGATAGAGTAGCCTAGATCGGGTAGAGTAGAGCTTGCACAGTCCTATACCTCTTCCTGGGTTCGACATTTCTCTAACGTTAGGCAATTTCAATTTATATATGCTTTTGAATGTTTGGTGCTCACGTTAGCTTAATCTTGCATAAACAACTTATATCCGCTCCTTCTGGTTTATGCAGATCTTCTTCTTTGGTTGTTTTTGGATTTGTTTTTGGAATAACATTAATTGCCATTCTTTTTTTGCGGTATAATCTATTTGAGATAAACTTGTTCCTTACTGTCCTACCCTTACTGTAATGTAAAAGCAAACTGTGATCGGCTGCTATACATGTTGATAAGCCGTCTCTTCTTGTCTAACTGGGCTGTTTTCCCCACAGTAAGCTGTTTTGTGAGCCTTATGGCTTTTGTCAAGGATCGGCTGTGTGTTATTAGTACTGTAACTATAACTTATTAACATTGTGCCAATGTTAATGCTCAAGTCTTGTCATCTCCAGTTTATGGATCACACACACACACACACACACACACACACACACACACACACACACACACACACACACACACACACACACACACACACACACACACACATATATATATATATATATATATATATATATATATATATATATATGTAGCATTAAAAAAAACCCAAATCAGGTCGTTCTTTAGGATTTAAGTGAATGAGAATGATGCATAGAGAAAGAGAGATAGAAACATGTGGTTGCATTACAGTACATATATTAGTTTATTACATGTATGTTTATTTTAGAAGACGCCATGAAATTTTAATTAGTTTCAGAGGTTTTGTTCAGGGGGTTGTTGATCAGTCATATCCGATGAAGTATAAAAAAAATCCCCAAGAGGATGAGGAGTCTTTTTCCACAGGCACGTGAGCCAGGAACATAGTCATTTTTAATCCAGATAACATATTCTTGTCACATCTCTGGTTTGCATTTTGTTTCTGAAGCATTAATCTTCCCACCTTTCAGATATGTATCAAGATAATGTCTTCAGATTAGACAGCATTAGCGTCAAGCACACATGCCAACATTGTACTTAACCTGGTTAACCCCCCTGGGAAAGATAAACCTCCTGCGTCCACCTCCTCAGTCAATTATGTACTTGACATCCATAATCATTAATGTTATTTACAGACAGCCTACCCCACTGCTGGAGAGTGTGTTTACTTGAAACCCTGTGAGACCAGGTTATTGACAACGTTTTACTTTTCTATTGAGAAAGCGAGCAACAGCTCTGGGATGCCTGAAACCGGTAAGTGCAGTCTCTATTGCTATAAACAAAAATTATTATACATGCTAAAGGTAATTAATTGCGTTAGAAAGTGAAGTCGTCATGTATTTTATAAAAATTAGTTTAATATAGCCCACCATATCTAAATGAACTAGGTGAATCAGATAGGAAATAGATTATGAGTTATAATTAATCCAGATGCTGTTTTGTCTGCTGATGATTTTCTAGGGATATGGAAAGCGCAGCACTACTATGCCTCCCTCATTTCCATGTTGCACACAGAGGAGTAAAAATAAATGTAAGAATAAATATAAAAATAAATGAAAAATGTTGCAATAAATG